CACTTGCAATTTTTTTTATTCTATTCTAGAGTACGGTACGGAAACATTTTTCTTCGCAACACGGCTGCGCTGTCAGACGTAAAATAAAAAGAAATATGTCGTAAATAGAATAATGGGTAATAATCCAAGGTAACACTATGACACGACCATAACAGCAGTTCAGCACATATCTTTAAAATGAAAGCTAGTGAAAAAGTTCAGTAAATCGATAAAACCGTTTTCAGGGAAAGAGTGCTTATCTTCTATCTTCTAATATATTATTCGATATGCGACATTATTTCTTAAAATAATGTTAAATAATAAATATATAACAAATTTAGCCTGCTGAATCGAATACCAAACGACCAATAATTTTCTTTAGCGATCATCACAGAACGAAGCCCATTTTGACACTTGGCAAAGTTTCGCGAATTATCTTCTATTCACATACCGGTAGAAGAAGGATAATGAAACGAAAGAATTAATAATAAAAAAAAATTAGTATTAAGTTTTGGTACAAATTTCAATACATGAAAGAGTATAGCCTAAACAAATTAAAAGCCTTACCATAATCTTTTCAGAAAGACTTGCAATTGAATTTTCAACAAATGCTATATAGAACTATCGATTTTTAAATTTAATTAGAAGTAAGTACCTTTTTTTCACGTAAAAAAAAAGATAAAACCGAGTAAATGCTCTAAAAAATCGAAAATCCGGTTAATGTATGCATTCTACTCCATTTACTGCTCCCACTTTACGCTTTTAGGAAAATATCGACAGTGTGTATTGAGGGTTTGCCATTCCTATTTCACCATTGACATTTAAATTCATTTAAAACGATTATTCTCTTTCGCCAATGGGAAGTGCTTTTAAATTCCAAACGATGGGGTTCGGATCTTCAAAGATCATTTATATTCTTCATTTATTTAAAGGATTTCCCGGGAAAAGTTATGGCTTTTTCATGTTTTCTCTTTTAGTTAAAGGAGGATTTAGTTTTCCATTTTTAATTCAGATGTTAAGGGTGCTGAGAGAGGACACAATACTCAAACGGTTTTGGTTAGTTTATGCATAATTCAAATAAATTCATAGATTCAAATTAAAATTCAAAATGAATTTATTTTCCCATTGGTTTGGGTATAAAGTGACTATTATCAAAATTAAAACAAATAATTAATAAAAATATACTTACTTAGAATAAAACAAAAATTTTAATAATAAACTATTATCACAGTCGAAGACCTCATATAATCTCTCTTTTACAAGATGCTTAAAATTATTTCCACAACGGTACAAAGGATTTTTTAAAATACGAACTATTGCTCTTATTGTCCAGTCTCACAAGGTTTTTATTTAGTCTTTTTATCAAAAGCAAACAGTAACTCAATTTATTCAGCATTGGAACTAGTACTCAATATTTAAAAATTGTTGTTTTCGAAAGCATGGTCAGGAAAAAGAGACAGGCAGGCGAGCAAAACGTATAAAAATATCATTAATAAATTCAATTAAGGAAATAATTCCTTTGAGCGACCCCTGTTACAAAGGACCTATATTCTGAGATATAAATATTATTTCTGTAACATTAAAAGAGCTTGTTCTAAATTGAGAAGAAGATGTGAAAGTTTTGCTTGATCTGTTGACCGTTGACCGGCTTATTGCCACCCTTAAAAGTTAATAAGCGCATGTAAAAGGCTTTCTCAAAGATTTTTGAAAACAACAAAATAGCAAAGCAGTAGCTCTGTCGTTAGAGAGTCAAAATAGTCAATTTACGAACAAGGTGAGTAACAAGTGGAAAGAAAGTAATTTACATATGTTAACCGCTCATCGATAAAATTAAGGATTTGGTAGTTTATAAATTATAGAAATTGTTAATAAACCATCATGACAAGATTGGGGGCCTATTGACGTTGAATTAATCCGTTCGCTTGGTTTAAATCAACATTTAATGAACCCTTCTTTGCTGGAATGTCCATTTTAGCAAACAAAAAACATCACGTTCCCGTTGTTTTTAATGACCTATCACGATCGTATCCATAACACGACAGAGTCAATTTCCACATGCCAAAACCCTTGAGGCCAATCTGTGTTTCGTCAAAGCAAGGTCGTAACTAGTTTAAACGACGCACAGTTTGAGAAAATCACGTTTATCGGAAAAACGACTTTTCTGTTTCGTGTATATTATTTCGATCCGGTAAAGATAAAATTTTGAACTTCTCGCTCGACTCCCAGGTAGAAGACCACAGAAAAGAAAAATTTGAATATCATATGCTAAAATTGTGGGATATTATTTGTTTCATACAGTCCCATTCACACTGTCGTCAACCCTCATAATTATACAGGTGTCTCCCGGTCGAGAGACCATTAAACGTGTTAGGGATTTGGGAATTGAATTGAATTGAATTGATTAACAATCACACTTTTGTAGTCCATATGAAAAAGTGACAAATGTAGCATTGGTTTCTAATTATGTATGTCAAATATTTCCCTAATACATTCTTTAGGTGAAAATATCACGATTTAACAGAACTTACCTTAGTCCAAAATTAACTGAGATACAGAGTGTCAAATTTGCAAATTTTATTTTTGATTTTTTAAATAATTCCTGAAATTTTTGAAATTTTTTAACATGAGAAACTCATTTTCATGAATAATTTTAGGATAAATTGTAGAGGCCGCTACGTATGGTACTTTTCGTGCATTTGATTCTTTCTAACTTGTTTGTGCTTTGGTGTAGGCAGATTTTTAATAAAGATCTCCTAACACTGATCACTGATCACTGATCATTACGCAATAATTAAAATGGAATTCTTTTATGCCATCAATTTTAAAATGACTTAGATAATGCATATCACTGAGCTAATATGGTAGTACAGGAGCGTTTTTAATAATATTTATTTTGAAATTTCGATTTCAAATAGATTTCGACGTCAATGAAAACAATTTTATTGAAATACAAATTTAAAGTAAAATACAAAAACTATTCATCAAAAAATATTTCTATTGCGCAATAAATATTCAAAATGATTTCAATTCACTGTGATGCATTTAGAGAGACGTTCATTGAAAGACTGCCTGATTTTAAATAATAACTCCTCGTTTTGAAATATCTCAGCGGCATTGTCAATCCTGTGTCATAATTAATCTTGGGTATGAACTACTTCTTCATACACTAACACCTTCATATAATGCCAAACATAAAGGTCGATAGAATTGAAATCTGGACTCCTAGGCTGTCAAGGCGGCCAATCCAGTCTCTAACATGTCTCGAAAAGTGCGCAGGAGAGCCATCTTGTATGTAAACCACTATTCTTCTTAACCCTAAATATAGATCATCCAGACAATCAGCAAAATGCAAAAAATTTAGGTACAGCTCGCCGCTTAAATTAGGTGATAATTGTGGTTTACTTCATCATTTTTTTAAAACATTGGGTCTGCGTTTTGCCAGACCGACAAAAAAATATTTTGCACAGGGGTAAAGTGATATTGATAAAGGTTTTCTTGGAAAAAAAATTGACCAGAACCTAAGTGCCTTGATCGCATTTCCTTTAGTCAAGGCCTACTTTGCAAAATTTTGCAGGTATATCACATCTGGTTTTCTCAGAGGCCACTTCGCCTTATTTTACTGTCTTTAGTTATGATTATGTTAGTCAAAGACTACTTTGAACCATTTTGCATGTTAGATTAAATGCAACGAAAATTTCAAATACGAATTTCTCGAAAACGGCGACTCGGAGCGAAATAAAAGTTATATCTTTTTTGTGTAAAAGGGGTGCAAGAAGTGATATGTTTAATAAAAATCTGCATACGCTAAAGCCCAAAAAAGATAGAAAGTATCAAACGCACAAAAAGTACTATACGTAGCGCCCTCTACAATTTACCCCAAAATTATTACCGAAAATGGATTTCTCCTGTCACAACAACCCGATTTGCGAATTTTGGTGCAAGAAGTTCGATTATTTCAAGAATTATTTATCAACTTTTGGTAAGGTAATGAAAGTTTCGTTAAATCGTAATATTTTTTTTTTGATGCCGTATCTGGATATTTCGAGAACTGAAATTTTGGGTGCAGTTTATCACTATCCTCGTACTAAGTGAGTTAAGAATCATGATTTTATCGCATCATACAAATACTATATTAAAATATATATTTATTTCGAAAAGTGAACAAAAAAAGCATAAAATCTATGCAGAACGAGACCATGTACAATAGTTCAACTCACTTACCACCAATGGACCTGAATGATACAAATAGAAAATTACTTAAGGTGTCCTGTTGTCCTGCAGTAACAGGCTGCAATAATTGTCATTCTGATTTCAGCCTCGCATCTTAATTAACGAAGTTAGTCATATATGTATAAACGGTTTTAAGCTCACTGGTAACAAAATACGTCTTGAGCTTTTCCCATAAATAAATAAATATCTTTAAAATAAGACGTTCCCTGACTTTTTAGGGTTACTTTCATACCTTTGATGTTCGATCGTGCAAAACCCTTTAAATATATATATATATATATATATATATATATATATATATATATATATATATATATATATATATATATATATATATATATATAAATATATAGCAATTCACACAGATAACATAACATATACCGTGACTTTATTTTCGGGATACTTCACGTCAAATTAGAAAAAAATTAGAAAAAAAAATCGCTTTCACTATTAATAATTAAAACATCTCTGTTTTATCTTATTTTTTTAACAATGTTTGCAATTCAGCTATTTAGTGTTTCAATATATTTTTATTGTTTTTATAATTAATAGTTAATTGTTCAAGTGATTTTTAGACAATCAGAGGAAGTCATTTGGTGAATAGTATTGATTAGTTTTAGTTCGTTTATTTCAATTTTTAATTATGCCTTTTGTCGAATTGGCAATAAAATTTACGCATTTAAGTTAAGTTAAGCATTTTGACTTTTTGAGGAAAGATTGAATTATTTGGTAGTATCTATTTTAATATACACATTGTGGTAGTAATAGCATGGACGTCTCTGCGCACTTACGATGCAAAAATTCGACTCTCGATGCGGACACGGCTTCAGGGTCATGTAAGTTTCGTTGATACAGGGCGTTATGGAGCCAACGCCGTCGTTGTAGAGGCCGCAGTGGAAGCACTGCAATGACGTCACCGATACGACGATGATAGCCAATGCTCCGAACATCAGAAGAATCTGAGCGCTCATTTTTTTTTATTAAGCGATGAGGTGCGATCCAATACGCTACGTGACTGACCAAGTCAGAGACGGACGTCGAAGGTTCTGCGCGCCGCGACGCTCGATGACCGACTAAAGTTTTGCGATACGCGAAAAGTGCAAAATCGGGGGTGTGTCGACGTCGCTGAAGCGATTTCGCAAACAACTAGATAGGTGGGGAGATGTTACAATTACCATTTGACAATGGTAAAAATAGTGCCTCAATAGATTCTCTCGTTAACGTTCTTTCAAAACCGACTTATTACGCCAGAAAAATCGTAATTTTTTCATGAAAATGACACCAGAGTCCGGTAGCCCACACTATTGCGCCAATCACACCACAAAATGCTTATTTCCATATTTATTACGATTTATTGATTGCCAACTTATTAAAAAAAATTATTAATACGTAGTTTTCCTAAGGTATTCTATATCTTTCCATTCACAACCCATTTCATACCAAAAATTGTCATTAAGAGAATTAAATACATTGCTAAAAGTATAGTCCACTTCTAAGTAATTATCTCACACTGAGGGTTTTCCGAAGTCTCGAATTTTAAGCTTTTTTTTGTCTGATTTTTTATATTAACTACTCTGTCGTGTTCAGTGATCACCCCTCTGTCTGTTTAGTTGTAAAGTGATATATTTCAATTCAGATAATCGAATAATTATGCGATTATGTATTTTATGCAACAAGTTTTATAAACGACACATTAATCACGAGCGCAGACCAGCGGAGTCTGAAAAAATGTATACACATGTTGCATACTACCTATATTTTTTCTACAACCATTACTTTCGACAAACGTCAAAATTCCATCACTGTTTAAAAATAGAAAACATCCGAAAAATACCTTTACATACTTATTAAATAAACAATTTGGGTAGTTTATAAATATATAACTCCAAATCGATAGGTATACGATACGATAGGATAAATTTGATTTAAGTTCATCAAGTTGACAAGATTACATGGAACACCCTGAAAAAACTTTTAACAGAAAAGCAATGTTTTTTAATATTTCCCCTTTTTTAGTAATTTTTAAGTAATAACGCCATCATATAAATATTTATTGGATTATTATATCAAAAAATATTTATGATGTTCCATCTAAAAATATACTGAGTGTCTTCTAATATCAATAATGATGGGGGCGTTTTTTGGGTCCCTTTTAAAAAGAAAACTTCATATGAACATATGTCCTAAACGTCTGAACTTTTAAGATACAGAGAAGTAACGTTTTCAAAAGTATATATTTTTTAATATCTGTAATACCACTTTAGATATTTTATTGAAATTTGGCACATATGTACTATGTATCCCGAGGCAAATTTTTTTTTAAATGTGACGGGCGTACGGAATTTCACGTTGATTTTGGCAGACATTGATGACACGCCACTGATTTCTCTTAAAATAAAAATTATTCTTACAATCTCCAATCATTAATAAAGAAATTTAATTTCTTGTTTTTTTTTCAAACCGGATGGTCAATACAATATCGTACCATCAATATTTTGCCAAAATAGACATGTGAAATTCCAGACACCCGCCACTAGTGTATTTTTACACTAAATAATTCCTCTTAATAGAAAGTACACTTGTGTCAAATGTAGTTAAAACATAAAGTTTCAGATATGAAAAAAAAATATTTTATTTTTCAAAACTTTAAAACCATTTATCTCAAAAATTAAAGCGTTTAGGACATATGTTCATATGACTTTTTCTTCTTAAAATAGACCCAAAAATCTGAAAACACCCTGTCTATTGTTTACTGCAAGTTTTTGTAAAACATTTGTATAACTGAAAATACTTTTGAATGTATACCTTATTCTTAAATGCAAGAATTTTTAAAATAAATTCGAAACGACCTTGCCGTTGAAGAATTCTTAAAGAATTTGTAATAAAAAATTACGTAACGGGACAGGTACAAATGTTCGCAGATATTTGTACAAGTGGTAAACGCAATTTCATAAGAATTTTTGGATATGTGATGAGTAATGTTTTAAATCTAAGGAATTGCAACTGTGGGGTTGCTTTCCGGGTCATTTTCTTTGCGAGGTTTTGGTGAAGTCTACCTTGTGATGAATGTTTAATATTTTTAATGAAGAAATTATTTGAGAGAAGAGGGAATGTTAGATGTTTAATTTTCAGTGTTTCGGGTTGGGACAGTCTAACCCCTCTGTAAACAGGAGAGTTCATTACCGATAACTTCTGGGCCAGCCGATGCAACAATTTTATTGAACTATATTAAATGACATTTACGCCCATTAGGTGAAACCTGAAAGAAATAAAGTAATATCTAGGTACCTATTACGTCTGAGAACAATACAATATGTTTCAACTAGAAAAAAAAATCGATAATCGAAATGTATTAACGCCTCCATTCCACTCCAAAAAGCGCCCGAGTCAAAACGATAGAGATATTGACGTTAATCGTAAAAATTCAAACTGGTCGACATAGCTCAAAAACTAAAGAAAATAGCGCTTCCTAGTTTTCACTTTTCTTACGTAGCCCGCATAAAGATTCACGAGCTGGAACCATTCGAACGTTCAGTATCAATTCCAAGTAAAAATTAATCAACTAACACTAGCCCTTTAAAATAGCTACAACTTTCTATAAAAAGCACGAACAGAGGGTAGCGGAGTGTGGAGTGTTTCATGAACGACTATCTGAAGATATGTTGCATACTATACTTCTTGATTCTTTTGGATACAATTTTTAAAAACAGCTTGAATACAATCACGTGACGTGAACATCAGAACTGACAAAGCCGTTGATCGCTTCCAACCTGTGTCTAAAATACTAGAAACGTTGACAGTGTGTTTAAGTGAATCAGCTTGTCTCTAAGTAACCAAAACGAGACTCACCATATAGTATCGTGGCCTTTTATGATTTAATCTCATTCAATATTAAAACAGTGAAAACTTTACGATTTGACTTGTGATCGGACTGCCGCATTAATTATGCAGACACAATAGACTGGCGTAATGAGCTTTGTATGGGGTCGTAAAACGGTCTCCAAAATGCTGCGTTTTCAGGCAGTCGGGGTGCGCCGCTCTTAAACAAACGCCCGATAGCTCAAAATACAATCCGACTGAATATTCCGCAATGAATCCGATCGGGTGCAAATTGACGTCGCTCCTCGCCCCATTTGCTTTCGCTATTGCAGTTTTGGCGGAAGAGAGGTAAGACAATCGCCGGAAACTTGAAAACGTATTAGACTGCTACGGAATGCTTGAATGCAGATTTGAAAACCTTTGTAAAATAAAATATACCAATGACTTTGTGACTCTCATTAACCTTTGACTATCTTTTTGGAAAGGTGAGGAGTGACATCCAAATTATTTTATTTTCATGCCTCAATCTTGTTCAACTTTTGATAGAACCAATACAGTAAACTGATTTCTGTTCGTTTTAGTTTTAGGAGAGTGACGTCTAATACTAATATTTGCTGAAATTCAAATAATACTTTAAGCGATACGTCCGATTTATCTATTACGTCTTATCTAGATGTTCTAATATTGAAACAATAACATTCTTATTAAGAAGCCACATCACTCTGGCCGATTTCGAAGTTCCATACAGTGCAAATAGAATATTACAACATACGTGGTAAAACGACAGTTTCCGCACGCTATATCGGTGTATAATTAGGTATTTTACAGAAGGGAGTAGAAAAAATTATATTCAACCCAGATTGTTCTGAGGGATCACTTACGAAAAGCTATAAAGTAATAAATTAAAATTTCTCAAAGAAACTTTTACAGGCTACTGTAATACTTTTTACAAAACTTGTGAATTTCTCCTGCGTCGGTTTTTGCTTAGTCGAAATTGCTGACGTTTCGCCAATCATTCTGTTGGTTCCTTCAGAGCTTGAGTGAAACGTTACTTTGGTTAATAAACATCTGTCCGTAAATGCCTCCTCCCGAAAACGCGGTTGGGTTAAAAATCGTTTTCTTATTATTTCCCAAATGGTTTAAGACACACAAATGAAATTCAAACCGCAATACTTTGATAGGATCATAAAAGTTACTGCTTGTATAATTTAAGTTTAAAATAATTTGCAATATTTTTCCTTTATAGTTATTTCCGAAATAATCATTATTCCCTGAAGCTCAATTATAAAATGCATGAAAGTCAATCGGTGCCTGACTTTATTTCTCTAAAAACAAATTTTGGATGAACGGAGAAACAAAGATTTCTTGGACCATTTGACACCTAATATATGTTTTCAAAAAACTGGGAATGACTAAAAACGCGATATTTACTTTTTAAGTACACAGGGTGTATATGTGTATTGTAGATATTTTCCGTTAGCGTTACATATTCATACTAGGCAAGCTAATCTAGATTTTATTTTTTATAGCAAGTTATTGAAACATTTGAATTTGTGATTATAAACTTTCGGGTAACCAACTAAGATTAACTAACTAATCGTAAAAGTCGTACCCCAAAGAGAATAGAATATTTCTGCGGGAATGCAGAAAATTATGTTTTATGTCTGTGTGCATACTAAATAAAAAGTTAAATAGTGCTCCTATGATGTAGTATAGATATATACGATAAGCATCTTGCTTTTCTTATACTGTCATTTTTTAGTTAAATTTTTTGTGTAATAATAAAACAGAACCCTCTTCTGAATTGTTGTTGCCAATTCTTCATCTTTTAATAACGTATGTAATCTTGCACATTAGATATCACCTGCTGAGAATGATCTGCTGACCACAAATTTTGTGCTTTTGAAACATTGTGTTAGGCATTCCAGGTTTGAATTTCTCAAATTTCATAATCTCTCCACTTACAATGGGCGTGGTATTTTCCTAATAATCCTAGTAATGACATATCAATATGCAACCCGTACTGGCTTTCCACATTATCTTATTTAGAAAATATTCAAAATCCTCCAAAATGGGTTTGATGACCTTACTACCCTGGATGCATTTTGGGAACGTCGGAATTCGTACGTCCTTGGTTACCTCATATGCCTCAGTCAGGACCAAGACGAAGAATATGGTTTTCATGCTCAAGTCATGTTTGACATAATTGAATATATCTACAGAAGATGATGCAGATATCCAGCAGCTGGTCATAATATTAAGTGTTAAATCACACAAGCTTATATAAGCTAAATTATTTTTTTTTTGTAATTTTAAAAATACTAACTTCCGTTAAAGTCCTGTTGCAATAATACACTCCACAACAAATACATTCTAATCAAATTACAAATTCTATACATTCTTCTTAATTGGTTAGAAGCGAAAAAAAATCACATTACGGCTCTGCTCCAAAACATGCGATTTTGCGAAATACATAAAGCTGCATAATCCATAAGATTAGCAATTTTCTTTTGTGATGGACATGGAAGAAGAACACATAGATACGCTGGTTCGACTTTTCAACGAAATCTATTCCACCAGTGTGATTCCCAGAGAATGGCTTAAGTCAGAGTTCATACCAATTCCGAAAAAGACAAACGCAAAAAGATGCGATGAATATAGACTCATTAGCTTAATGAGCCATCTTCTCAAGCTGTTCCTTAAAATCATCCACACAAGAATATTCAGGAAATGCGAGCAGGATATAAGCCAGTCACAGTTTGGGTTTCGAGAAGGTATGGGAACTCGAGAAGCATTGTTTGGCCTGAATGTTTTATTTCAAAAATGTAGAGACCAACAAAAGAAGGTGTATGCATGCTTCATAGATTATGAGAAGGCGTTTGACCGTGTAGATCACGTGGAACTACTGAAAATATTGGAAGCAAAAGGTCTAGATAAAAACGATATTACAATCATCAAAAACTTGTATTTTGATCAAACAGCTATAGTAAAATACAACAATATAACAACTGAGCCAGCAAACATACAGAAAGGTGTACGACAGGGCTGTATTTTATCTCCAATGCTGTTCAATTTATACTCTGAACGCATTTTTGAAGAAGCAATAAAGGACACAAGTGATGGGATTAAGATCAACGGTAAAACGCTTAACAACCTCAGATATGCGGATGACACCGCGATAATGGCAGATAGTCCTGAAGCTTTGCAACGCTTACTGAATCAACTCGTTGCAGTCGGAGATCGATACGGACTTAAAGTAAACACCGCTAAAACAAAAATACTTATAGTGTCAAAAACCCCAGAACCACCAATAGATATAAGTATTTATGGGAAACGAATAGAGATGGTAGAAAAATTCAAATATTTGGGGACCTGGATTAGTAACAACCTAGATCCGGAAGTGGAAATTAGATCCAGAATTGAACAGGCAAGAACAACATTTAACCTGATGCGGTCGTTATTGTGTAATCCCACCCTAAATATAAAACTCCGATATAGATTTGTAAAGTGCTATGTGCACCCGGTGTTATTGTATGGTTGCGAAGCATGGACTTTGAAGGTTAGCACCATTAACAGATTAGAAGCCTTTGAGATGTGGACACTCCGTAGACTTCTCAGAATACCCTGGACAGCTCATATAACAAACGAGGAGGTGCTGAGGCAAGCACAGAGTGATAGAGAAATGTTGCACATGATCAAGAAACGTAAAACTGCTTACTTGGGCCATATAATGCGTGGAAGTAAATATGACCTCTTGAAATTGATAATGGAAGGGAAGATTGAGGGGAAACGGGGCATAGGAAGAAGAAACTATTCCTGGTTAAAAAACATCAGAGATTGGACAGGAATGGATGCTCACTCCCTACTTCGAGCTGCTCAAGATCGACAGACATTCGCCGAGATTGTTGCCAACCTTCAATGAACTGAAGACGGCACTCTAAGAAGAAGAAGAAGATGGACATAAGATGAAAAATGTCATCCCACAGCGTATATACTCGTATATTAAAAGTTTGGACAAACCATCGCCACAGTATTTCAAATAGAGGGATTCCTTTATTAAATTTTTTCTCTGCAACCTTTAAATATGCTGAAATGGTTCAATCTCCCTTTGGTTTTATACTTTTGATTACGCATATTGTTTTCTTTCGATGTAAGACATAAAAATTAGGATTAAGAAAACTCCGTTATTATTAAAGTTATCAAGATGAAATGTTGATATAAAAAAAAGAATTAATTGCCATATGAAGCATCTTAGATTATATAAATTTTTGCGATTAAAGTACCAGATATGTTTTTAAAGATTTTCATTCTGATGACGGCAAAAAACAAAGCTTTGAATTCAAATTATGAATACGCTATTTTATTTCTGTCAAAGTTATGATGTAAAAATGTTTCAAAACCAAAATATCTTTCATATTAAGGCAAATATAGCAAATTTTTAAAATAAACAGTTTTTTAACTTTTACTCGTAACACATAACCTAAGGGTGCTACTCGAAATCTGATAATATCATTTATAAAGTGTGTTCATCGGCAAAGTAAATGTCCAAGGAAAGATGTAGAGATATAAACATTAGACTTAACATCAGATTGGCCAAATGTTATTTTTTCTTAATCCTTTTCTACGGAGTCATGGACAACAAACTGACTTAAAAAGACTCCAGATTTTCGAAATGACAGACGCCTGCTTAGAGACTAACAAATGCAGAGATATTAAAGTCAGTGGAAAAAAACAGAGATAGTGGGCACTGTAAAAACAAGAAAATTTCCTTACTTGTGTCACGTTAACTCGTCTGATGATAAAGTTTTAGTCACCAAAGGTTCGAACTGATCGACGCCAAAAACTTCGAACTACTAATTCAGGACATAATGTTGAAAACATTGGTTCCATACCAGTGTGTAACGATCATTACTGATAAAATATACGACGACGTTTTTCAACCAACTTGGTATGAAAGATTCCACGGACTCATATCATTTTTTAAGGTAAACCGGTGCCGACTGTCACATAGTAGCGCTAGTTTGGAGAGTTCTCTTTTAGATACAATTTTACGATGAAGACAACGAATTCCTCTTCCAAAATGGGACCGAGCAATCGCTGACCATGGCGAAAAACGACGGTTGCCAGATGTACGTCATTTTGGTGGCAGACGGGGAACAAGTAGCTGAACTGTTGAAATTTGGAGATAGGTATAGTATTTTTTCTTCAATGTATATTCGAATATGATCAACGCTGATGCAAAAAAGACGGAGTATTGGAAACAGATATTATTTTATCGATAAATTCAAAACAATTGAATTTAGGATTTCGAATAAAAATAAAACAAAATGTTGAAATTTATAAATCACCCTATTTAAATCACACATTCTAGTGGCATACCTTTTCTTCTTAATCAAAATCTGCGATTATGTTCTAACTCAACTTAAACTACTTGAAGAATTTAAAGTGGAAATCATAAATCGAGTAAAATCAATAATTAAAATCGTCTCTAAACATTTATTTAGGATTTTACCTAGCAAAATCAACCAAATCGTTTCGGACTGCTTGGCAGTTGATATTATTTTCGAGTACTCTTAGAACACAGAAAGGTTAAAACATTAGCATTGCTGATGACAAATCATGTCGCTTCATTTATTTGGACATATTAGAAATCAGAAAATTTACTTTAGCTGTGTCCTTCATTTTAGAACGATATGTGGAATCTTTTTGGGCAAATAGAAAGGACAGGCATATATTTTGTTCAAGAAGTAAATTTCTTTCCGTTTCTTAGGTCACGAACCTTTTGCGCAGCTGCACTTTATCTTCTCACACGTTACGTTTAAGGATAAGGAAGGATAAGGATCTCATGATTACATTGTTTCAGAGGGCGGTTATTCGACACCAAATCCAAGTACGTCTTATTGTACAATACCCAGCTCTTCGAGAAACATTTGTTTTACATATGGGGCAGACTAATAAATGTCGTGTTTATTCGAAGAAACAAACCCAAGAAACCTGGGAATGGCTCTAAAAAAAGCCCGTGGTACGAACTTTCGACCGTGCCCTTTCCGTTTTATTTCAAGGACGTCCTCGTACCTATCCGTCTGGATATATGGGCCCAGTCAAAATTTAGAAAAGGTCGGAACCCGCAAGCCACTTGTGAACTGCCATATTATAAAATGCTGATTTGCTTCCAGCCGCCGAACTGTTTAAAGACAAAACATTCGATTTAAAGAATCAAACGTTAAAAGTGACAGCTTTGGCCCACATACCGGGCACTCTCAAAATTTCAGGAGACGACATCGGAATGAAAGCAGCCAACCGGGCGACGTTTCGAACGAGTTCGCCTTCTGACACTAATGCATCGTTTCGAGGAACGGAAATAGAAGTAACAAAAATTTGCATTATCATTTGTTTCTACACAGTTGTCCTACCTCTTTTATTGATTTATTTGTTTAGTCAGTTCCTCACAATAGGAGAGATTAGTGAATAGTTTTTATAATTTTCTTATCAGCGACCAGGCTTAATGGCGGCTAAGTTTGACGGTTACTTTTACAATGTGGGCTCCAAGTTAGTGTAACAAGTGAGCCGGATGCCTAACCGGGTCCTGTTTGCGTTCCAAGAGCTGCAGTGTAAGCAGCGAGAGTCGTCCCCAATTAAAAGCAGAGGAAAAGGGGAACCGTGCAGCACGGAAATATAAATAGTCAGGGGATATAAATAGAGACATTATATGAATTATTGTGAATTGTGAATTCAAGTTAGTGAATGTGTGTAAATAGTTAGTTACTTTGGAGTCAAGATGTAACCTATTTCGTGGATAATGACGATATGACTTCGCGTAAAGTTACCATAAATATATAAATATATGACACTCGAAACAAATCTACGTTTCTTAAAAGACTTCGCTCAGCGTTGCAAACCGATGATAAAAATACGGAAACGTATTTAGTTTAAATTAATTGTGATTGTGAAGTGGCAAATATGGAAAAAAAAATTAGAGAATTCTGTAAACATTGAACAAAAATTGCTAAAAAATTCAGTATAAACCAGTATAAACCAGTTGGCTCATAGAAAATCCTTTTGCATCACTGATTTCTCATTTAATACTTTAATATATTAAACGCATTCCAATACACCACATGTCAAACCTAAAAGACTATTCAAAAACAAGAAGTATTAGTGTTTTGAACTTACAACTATTAAAAGAAATTAACACAGGCGCAAATTTCAATGCATAATAATTCTGTCTGCATTGAGTTTTTCTACATTGGTTATTTAGTAGTGTAGCAATGTGTTGAATGCGTATGAAGCAGTTTATTGTTGTACTTATACTGTGACGTTAGAAAAAGCTACTGCAATAACTTCGACTTTATGCGGCGACGCAACAGATATCTTGCAATCGTGTCTGATAGAACGAGGGAACTGCGAAGAGGGGATGAAATAGTTATAGGTGAGAAATGGCTGATTGCAATTGGCGTATGTAATACCATTTACAATTCAGAAACCGGGTACAGAAATCAAGAAAGCTTTCTTGATGGATTCAGAAACTCCAAAACGCGGCAACCATTGAACCTGGCGTGTCCTCATGCATTAGAATTCGACACAGCAAAACAGTCAACTAGAGGTCAACTATTGTGAAAGATAAACCGATCACTGATTGCATTTAGGGGAATCAGAAGCCGATGAACGATGGGCTTCTGAAAGGTTTCCTAAAAACCTCGGGAAGTGTGGAAGTGGAGGAGTAGGATTTTCTAAGTTGACACAACCACTAGCTAAAAAATAAACTTAAATTCCTGTTATTTAGCTCATATCACAAATACATAATCACAATAATAACAAAAGTGGGAAAAACCAAATTATTTCTGAAATATTAAAGAAATAACTTGAGGATCTCATCCACCCCTTACTACATATTGTAAATTGTAGTCTGTGTACTGGAGCAGCAATTGTGCCACTACTTAAAAATTGGAAACGAGAATTGCTTCGATAAGTACTGTTGATAAATTAGTTAGTTAGTTAAACTTAGGCTCCAACGATTCTTTGAGAAATAAAATATTCTGCCACTAACTAAAAATATTTTTAAAAATTGCTCCAGTACGAAAAATGCTTCAGCAAAGGCGCTTGGGATTCTGAATGTTGAAAAAAAAGTTTATATCTTCACAGACTTAAAAAAGCATTAGAACCTATAACACATGGCATACTGCAGGAGAGGCTTCACAAAATGAGTATTGGAAAATAGACCCAATGAGTCAAAATTAGAAGTACCATGAATGGACGAACATCATTGATGTATCAATTGGTCCTCTATTATAAATGGAATTCTTTAAGTCTTTGGTAGTGAAAGTATAGCGTTGTGCACACCTGGCAAACTCTAGTAAGTGTTTGAAGATGTGTCCATGTAGCCATAAAATAGAGAAAATGGAGTCTGAAGAATATTTACGGTAAACTGGAAAATTTACGTACAGTGTGTCGCAAAAAAATAAGGAAATTCATACTCAAATTTTACGCACTTGCACTTCATTTAAAATACTGCAACTATTTTGGACGATCTATAATTACCTATGGTATAGTATGGTATGGTATGTACGGATCTTTCGTTTCCTCAAAAATACAAAATTATCATTTTTCCAACTCTGCGACAAGAAAGTAAACTATTGTTAGTTGTACACTAGGCATATAATAAGATTTATGTCAACCAGAAGTAAATTATCAATCAAACCTAACAACTGTAGTGCGATCGATAATGAAAACTTATGTCTATCTTTTGCCAGAATTTTGAAATATCGTAATGAATAAATTACGCATCTTCAAAGCTGTAAAACTTTATTTTTTCTAATTTGACACAAATACGGCAGATATTATTGGATGATCAATTGCACGGTTGAAACACCAAAGTACTTTCTAGTTAGCATTGATTTTGACAAAGTTTGTAATTTTGTTGAATTTATTTATGACAGAGGACACTGACATTGACCACCCAGATCATCCACAAAATTAAATTCTGCATTCGGGCTTAAAACATATATAAATATATAAAATAAAAAAAATAATCAAAAGCTATTGAAATAAGATGTAAGGAAGCCTGATAGAACCTACCATGCTATGGAATACACAAATGCAAGTCAATGCCTTATGGCGTCTTAGAAATAAGATAAACTACGGGGTATGTGTCTAAAACCCCATAATTAATCACTTTGGAAAAAGCGTCAAATGTCAAATCCAACCATAATGTGAAAACTGCCAGGGCCATTTTCGCACCGGCTATGCAAATACGGTCCGACCAATTTGTATTTGATTTCTATGAACAAAATTGAGTAAACGCCGTCATGGGAGGGAACTAGGGTTTAACCGATTTGATTTCAGATCGTTGAGGCAATCTCGAACGCGATGAACTTTCGATGCGCCTTATACGAACCTTCGGAAATGGCCACGGATGGGGACGTCGGGGGAAATTTCACAGGATTGCTGGGTGAGATGACGTCTGCAGTCGCGGATATCGCGCTGGGCGACCTTTACTACATCCCCTACGTGCTCGACTACATGGATTTAAGCGTCCCGTACTATACCCAGTGTCTTACCTTCCTGACGCCTGAGTCGTCAACGGACATTTCATGGAAGACACTCGTCTTGCCATTTTCGTGAGTTTTGTAGCTTTTTCGCGCCTATTGTGGCCACGCTCACACGCGATTTCTTTTATTACAAGGAACATAAAAATCAACACTGTATTCTCTCTAACGAACTAAAACGCACATTAAATAAGTAAGTTGATTATTTTAACACGCCATGGTAGTCACTTTCACACTTACACTTCGGACCACGTGCACCCCTGTGGTTACTGTAAGTCTGCCAAACCAATCCCAAATGCTCTCCAGTGGGCACGTTTTACATTGAATTCGTGTATGTTTACGGATCATGCAACCTCAGAGGATAACGAAAGCGAACGTGGACCGAGCAGATTGATACAACAATAATAATAAAAATAAATATACACACACACAAACTGAAATTCCAAAATTTTACTTATAGCATTATACTGCACAAAAGCAAAAATAAGCAACTCCTAAAACAAATATGAAAATCATAAAAAGCTTGTATTTATAACTAAAAGTTACAACAATCGAGACACTTTGTTAATTCATATTGTTTCCAATAACGGTTTATTTTTTTGCATTTTTGCGACAATAAGAAGTTTTTATAGAATGGATTACATCGTTTCCTTATAACGCGTTTCTCTCCAAAGGTTTTTTTAGAAGATGCTTTGCCCCTATACATATACAATTCATTTACTATATAGGTGGAAGTACCACTTGACTGTTCTTCCAATAAATAGTGCATATGAGATCATTTGATCAGAAAGGTCGATAAAAGCCTTTCCTTGAATCTAACCGCGACGACAAGTTTATTTACTTTTTGCCCCTTCTGAGTTTCTTGGACTATTGAGTCATCTTTTATCCTTCCTCTTTAGGTTCTGCTCTCATTTTGTTATGCTACCACTTCTCTCTTCAATTTTGCGTTGTCCGCATCTGGAGGATTTTCTTCCTATTAGCATGCAATTTTCCCACTTTTAGATAAAGACCCACTAATATACTATTATCCGTATACAGTGTTCTGCCACTAAGGATCCATCGGATACAGATATATCATCTGCTCTTTCTTTCTCAGTGTAAAAAATTATCTGGTTTGCAAGATTTGGACACGGAATGACGTCATCGTGAGATTTTTCTCTTCAATTTCATCTGCGGAAGATAGTCACGGTGGAATATGGAGTCTTTGGAAAAGCCTGTACCGTCAGTCTCGGGTAGATTTTCTTGTTCTTGAACCAATTCTGCATCTGTAAAACTTGTGCTAGGTGTATTTGATTTAAAGCGTTTATACTTTTATAAAAGAGACGATTTAAAAAACTTACTGATTTAACACTCAAGAAGTTAAATTTTAGTTTTAAATTAAGATTTTTATGACATAATTTCTCATTTAATAGTTTAATCTACTAAACACATTCCAATACACCATATGTCAAACCTGAAAGACTATTAAAAACCCAAAAGTAATAGTGTTTTGAATTTACGATATGTCCGTTCCAATATTCCAACTCTTTAAAAATTCATTTTTTCTCAATTTGTGATTGCGTGTATTTATTTAGCGGCGTTATGTGGGCTACAGTCCTGGTCTGTCTTCTGCTGATTAGCTACGTGTTCCACGCATTGGCCGGATTCCACGTGCATATAAACAAAGTTAAAGAGAAGTGCCGGAAAAACGGCAAAGTGCCAAACAACGTGAGAAAAACACCCATAAATTTTGCGCTGGAACCCCAGATATTTAAATTCGGCATCGATACCAAGTACACCCTTATGATGGTAGGTTTAAAATTAATTTTGCCACTTACGCAATTTACGACACTCTCTGATTATTTAACTTGTTTACTTAATTTTAAATGAAAATAAATAAGAACTAAAAGTTCAGATTTTCGCGAAATTATATATTTTGACATGACAATTGTTTCGACAACACTGTATCTTTATCAAATGTGATTTGATAAAGACACGGTGTTGTCGAAACAATTGTCATGTCAAAATATATAATTTCGTGAAAATCTGAACTTTTATTTCTTATTTATTTTGATAAATGGATTTTCATCAAGTAAAAGCCTCCTCAGTGTAATTTTAAATGCTTAGTTAAAAACATACTATAATAATTATAATTACAACACCTTAAAATTCTAACATATCAGCAACATAATCATTATCTTTAAATTAGTTATTATGCAAACTAGCAATACAATGTGTAATTATTTATTATATAACAGAAAATTTACGAGAGAAACAATGAAAAAAATTTTTAATTTTGCTAATTCCATAAGTTAACTGTGTAATTTACCTCAAACAGAGTATGATACTTATAATTGGTGTTCATACTCATAATTGGTGCAATAAAATCCCAACAACCGCATCTTAATTAACTAGAAAGCGCCTAGAAAGCAGAAATTCGCCTTCAAACGACAAGCAGAAATTGACCCTCCTATAGTTTTACAACTTCGGTTAACAACCCTCGGGTCCGACTTGGCTTTTGACTTGTCTTAAAACTCCTGGGATGGAACTGAAAGTCCCAGCAACTAACCAAATGCGCATTTTAAATTTGTCCTAATTTCAATTTTAATTGGTTGTTATGAAAGCTAATATGGCTTAAGAAAGTTCTCGGCAAATCGTTTAAGCAATGGATAACTAACAATGAATTTATATTCTCCGCCCCAAAAAATACCAAATACCTAAACTTGTGCCAATATTCCAAACTATTTACATATAATGGAGAAAAAGAAAAAAATAAAGCACACTTTCACGCCTTGATAACTGCATTAATTATTTTTAATCAACTGTTGAAATTATGCGAAAAAAACAGTCTACTTGTCCTTTGGACAACCGAGCTCATTTGTAGAATCTCTAACTATGTCAGTAGGGATCCCGCTACGCGAGAATTCAATAATTCAGTAGAATCTTCCTTAACGATCTTCTCGCCTCTCAAAAGCTCCGCACCCAGACAATATCAAGCAAGTAGTGACCATATTTGATAGGTTGAACCCAAATACCTGTGTGCTATCTATTTATGTAAAAATGTACAAAACAAATATTTACATTTTACGTTTTCTAACGATAACAGAAATAATTTATTCTTGTGCGTTGGACTTGTGTGCAAAGATTTTTTTAAAAATAAAGATGAGTTTTATAATTTTTTATAGTTATTAAGAAAATCTTAAACATCTTCCCTTTAATAAATTACAATTTCACAAATAAAGTGGAGAGGTCTATATAATAAGTAAGTCCATTACCTAAATGTTATTCAATTGCCATTCACCGATATCGCACAAAACAGTTATTGTGGAACTAAAGAAAACTCGATTCATTCGTTATCAGAGTTTTTATTAATGAGTGAGTAGAACAAAAATGAAAAGTACTTAAGCAGGTCGTGTGGCACTTTTTTATTTTGCAATGGCATAACTTTTTTAAGAGCTGATGTTTTCCGTGTCGATTTCCGAAACGTCACCACAGCCTACCTGGTTTATTTTAGAAATAATTTTTTTCTGTACTCTTATTATTAGTGATATGAATATCGCTTGGGCAGTGACGATAATTAATACCGTCATCACTTGGAAGTGCCTTAAATGAGTTTTTAGGAACAATACCAACCTGTCAAAGAGGAAAACGAGCCGGAAGGCTTGTATCAATTTTCGGAGCCGGTGAACAGCGTTCTGTACACCTACAGCATGCTGCTACTTGTGTCCCTGCCGAAATTGCCTACTGGCTGGTCGTTGCGAATGCTAACCGGTTGGTACTGGCTTTACTGCTTGCTCCTGGTGGTAGCCTATCGCGCCAGTATGACTGCAATCCTGTCTAGGCCGGCTCCACGGTAAGAAAGACAATTTTTATTGTCAAATGAATACCAGGTCGGAATCGAGTTATCAAATTTTGGTTGCAGAGATTGTGTTTCATATTTTAAAAATATTTTCACTGTCACAATCTAGCCAGATCTACTTGAAAGTCGAAAAAACTTTGAGATTTCAAATAATTTGTTCTGTTTTTGAATTTAAGGCAAAATTTAATTAAACAAATTAAAAATTTGAAGCACGCCTTACAAATGTATATAGGCCCCACTTTTAAAGATAACATTACGTTCTTTAAATAATAAATGAGGGCGGGATATGTTTTGTTTTTAAAAGACATACTTTATACTTGTTTAATCTGTTTATACTTTTGTCAACGGTTGCTTTTTAGTGTTACGATAGACACCCTTGATCAATTGACCACTAATAAGCTGAGGTACGGGTGCTGGAGTGAAATAAACCGAATTTTCTTTAAGTCGTCTTCTGATTCTGTACTGCGAGTTATAGGTGAACAGTTCGAGCTGGTGGCGAGTTCAGATGAAGCAGTAGACAAAGTGTCACATGGAAACTTTGCCTTCTACGAAAATATTTACTTTCTCAAGGAGGCTCTGGCCAAAAGACAACAAAGGTATGTACACTTTTATTTGTACTATGCGAATAAAACTAACATCTAATCAAAATATTGACTCCTTTTTTTGAAATAATTTAAGACAAAGGGAATTTTTTATATTATCCGGCAGATTATTACAAGTTTTATATACTTCACTCATGAGTATTTTTTGTCACGAACGAAGTGTATAGAGAAGCTTACGAAATTCAACTGAAAAAAGTTATAAATTGCGAGGTTTCTCACGATAACCGTCCGTTCAAGGTTTTCGAGGTTAAAAAATATTATAATTTCGAGGGTCATTCAGGATTCTCTATCTTTTAAAATATTTGAGCTCGTAGCGCTTCCGGTTGTAGAGAAAGTCACAACTAACTTCCTTATTTTAAATGGGAGACACGGTATATGATTCAATTTTTCGATTTGTTAGTTGGTTGTACGTGTCGTATCTGAGAAAACAAAGTTTTTCAGCTTTGAAAATGATGCAATTGATACATTTTGGACACCCTGTATGTTGTAAAGCAATTCTCAATATCAATTTTGAAATTACCGTTTTTTTGTTTCCATTTACCAACACAAAAGTTCACAAGAAAACAAAAAGGGGACATCCGGTATGTTATTCAATGTTTTGTGAGAAAAATCATAGTAGGTGTCGTATTTGAAAAAACAGAGTTGTGCAGCTATTAAAATCATGTAATTTGTTGATACATTTTAGATCACCTGTAAGCATAAAGCAATTCTCATTTCAATTTGGAAAGTATTGTTTTTACCAACACACAATTTTACTGCAAGGCGCCGTGTTAGAAATATGTTTATAATTATATTATTAATATAATAAATATCATTATAAATAGCTAAATGAAGCAAACTGATGCCTTTGAGCATTCTTTGGAAATCTACAATATATAATAGTGTTAAGCACACATACACAAAACAAAAAAATAACCGCACCCGCCTATGAAACACGTAGTCGAGTTGTTGACGTACATGTGAAATGACACTTCGGAATGCAGACCAAGTTCATTGAAAACTTCATAATATCGCGACATTTTTACTACCAGTCTTTATAATAGCAATATCCAAAAATACCTGTTCACTTTCCAAAAATCGCTTTTTTTTTCCGAAAAAATAAACCGAAGTAGACGTAGTACAAAACATTAGCTATATGGCTTTAGTGTTTATTCGTTGAAACGTTATTTAATTAAAAAAGGCATAACACCATATCGCCATTGTTAAATTAAACAAAAACTTGTTATTTTATTATTTACTTATCATTTATTATATATTTTTATGTTTAACGATATATTAGCAAGACCATTTAGATAAGGTTTAGGTGTGTTAGGTTTGCTTTTCCTTTGGGATACATAAAAATATTATTCTGCGTATGGTATCGGTAAAGAACCCCGACGATGTGCAGCACTGACAGCCTGTCGAGATATTAGCACCACATTAAAATGGAAATAATGCTATCTCCCTTGATTTTATATCCCTAGCACAAACTTCAAAATATTTTTAAATGAAAGAGAAGTAAAAAAAAAACTTGAATCTAAAAAACCAGAATTCCAATTTTTTGTAGCCTTGAAAACTTCTAACAAAAGTCAACCGGTCTTGGTCTAACATGCGCGTGCAGTGCAGTGACTTAAATGTACAAACTCTTTGCCACGCAGCATTGAAAAAGGTCTCTTGGAAAAGTATATCATAAATGGCTTTTTAATAAGCAAGACCAGAACAAAGAATTTTTTATGTTTTTATCTTGTGAACTTAAGAATTTAGTTGGTCTATATTGTTTATCTCTATATTCCTCAAAGTTCATCCAAAGTTTACAGAATATATTTGCCTCAGCCTTTTTGTTGTTATTAATTATATCTCTAAATAGTCGAGTCTAATGGTAGTTTTTTAAAAAAACTGAGTTTTAGTTAAATATTCCAAATGATATTGTGTTATAAGTTTGATTTCCTTGCCATACAAATCTGTAAATCTTGACATGAAATAATCGAAAGGAAAACTTTCAGAAGGATAGTCGAAAGGAATTGTTTTGAAATATTGTTTTCATATTTGCCCAACATTTTCGCCACACGCAATTGGCAACGACTCACCCGATGTAGATTGGGTATATGATTTTAAATGGCAGAAAAACAGATAAACCACTCTGGGTGACCTTTCCAGAAAACATTGATCCGAAGTTGATTGTCATCCAAAGATCCAGATGTAATACTTTTTGTAGTAGGAAAGAAGCTTGGCAATCGACAAATATAATACGAACGACATAGTTAGCACTCTATTATTGTCTTCTTTTTCTTCTACTATTTCTTGGAGATCTGTCGATCTGTTAATTCTGAAGCTGTCTCTGCATCTTTTCCTATGATGTGGATTACGAACTATCTTTCCACCTTTTAGGTGGTCTCCCGGGAGGTCTTGGGCTGGGCGGGTTGTTTTCCAGGACTATTCTGGGAAGTCTGTTGTCGTCCATCCGTCTTACATGGTTGTACCATTGCCTCTTACGTTGTCTTCCCCATCTCACAATATCTTGTATCCCGCACTGCTCTCTGACATCTGTGTTTCTTACTCTGTCTCTTCTTGTTTTCCCCACTATTGTTCTCAGTGTTTTCATCTCTGCTACCCTTAGCATTTGTTTCGTCTTGTTGGTGTCTTCGCGGACTTCCGTGCCGTACGTGTCTGATACAAGTCTTGTAGATTCTAATTTTGCTATCCTTGCGCATGTACGGATTGGACCAGACTATATCTCGTAGGCATCCTGATAGTGCGGATGCTTTGTTAATCTGGCTCCTTATGTCTTTAACTGGGTCGTGGGTGTTTGATATATCTATGCCCAAATATCTTAATTGCATCACTTGTTCTATGGGATTATCCTCCACCACGAGCTTACATCTGAGCCGATCCTTCGCGATTAAGATACATTTGGTCTTGCTGATAGAAATGTTCATATTGAGTTGGCGGCTTTCTAGGAAGAACTGGAATAGTTGTCTCTGTAGGTCGTTTTCTGATTCGGCGATAATTGCTGCATCATCGGTGTAGCACACCATTCCAACTCTTTTGTTGCCCAGTCTGTATCCGAGGTTGAGACCTGTCACTGTGTTTATACTTTTGTCCATGAGGAGACTAAACAAAAGGGGGCTTAGACTGTCACCCCGTCTGACTCCTCCCGGTGTTGGGATATTTTCAGTGAATTGATCTCCTACCTTGACCTTTGTTACGTTATTGTTATTTAGGTTGTGGATTACCTTCGTTATGTTTGCTGGTGCCTTATTTTCCATTATTAACTGTAAAACGTCTCACAATCGGACCCTATCAAATGCCTTTGTTAGGTCAATGAAGCAGATATACGCTGGCAAGTTGTACTCTGTGGCCTTTTATTTGTTTTATTATGAACATTGCGTCTGTTGTTGACCGTCCCTTTGTGAAGTCCTGTTGTTCTTCAGCATTCTTAATTTGTGCTTCCAGTTTGTCCTTCAGAATACTCGTGAAGAGTTTCATTGCCGTATTCAAGAAAGTTATTGCTCTATAGTTTTCTGGGCACGTTTTTAGTCCTTTATTGAATACAAGTATGGTAATGCTGTTATGCCATTCGTCTGGTGTTTCCGTTTTGTTTAAGATTTTGTCAAATAGTTGCGTTAGTTTCTTTGCCACTTCGCCCCTCCATAGTTTAAAAGCTGGTTGGGGATGCCGTCCGGTCCGGGCGATTTTCTGTTTTTCAATTTCTTTAGTTTTGCTTCCACCTCTTCAGCAGTGATCGTACCACTTATATCTGTTTCGTATTCGTTTATATTCTGCATTTTCCCAGCTACCCCTGTTCCGCAGCATCTTCCAAACTTTCCTTTAGGCGCCATACAGGTCGTGGTGCATGTGCTAGTAAAATTGGCCCAATGTTCTCTTTTGATTGATCTTATTCTTGCGTTTGCTCTGTTTCTTACTTGAACATATTCTGCGTGCGTTTCTTCCGACGGTGCACTTTTGTATGTTAAGTAACATTTCCTTTTTGATTCAGAGAGTTCTTTTACCTCTTGACAAAACCACGGTTCGGTGTGGTTTGTCGCGTTTACATTAATTCTACGCTTTCCAATCGCTTCCTCTGCTGCTTCTTTGATGCATTTCGCAATACTTTGCCAGCTCTCTTCTGCTCCCCATTCTGGAGTCAAATCTTTCTGTTTTAATTTGTTAGTAATCCTGCTCTTGTAGAGGAGTTTTGTGCTCTCCGTTGTTAGGGACTCTAAATTGTACTTTTCGATGTACTGTGGGGGTTTTCTCTTTTGTTGTGGACGTTTTAGTAGTATCTTGCCAAGAACCAGGTTGTGATCGGTCCCCACGTTAGCGGATATTAGGACTCTGACGTCGAATACTTGTGCTTTTGTTATTACTCGATTTGTGAGTATGAAGTCTATCATCGATCCCTGGCCTCGACTGTTATTGAAAGTGTATATGTGTTGGTCTTTATGTGAGAAGTACGTGTTGTTGATCCTCATTTCATTTCTAGCGCAGAAGTCTATCAGTGCTTCCCCGTTTTCATTGATTATGGCTTCATTATACTTTTGCTTTATACCTGGTATGATATCGTTCCCGATCCTTGCATTAAGATCTCCGAGTATGATAATTTCGTCTTTAGTATTTATGTTGTCCATGACGTTTTGTAGTTGCTGATAGAAGCTTGCTTTCGGTTTCTGCTGTGGGCTTAGATATGTCTGGTGCATACGTGCTTATCAAATGTGTCGTGGTCTTGATCATTTTTAGACAGATTTTCAATATTCTGTCGTTGATGTATTCAATGTCTTCGATGCTCTGTGTATACTTATCGTGCAGCAAAATTCAAACACCTGATTGCGCTATTTCTGATTTCGCTTTTCCACTGTATATTAGTATGAATTCTCCGTATTTTGATGTTCCCTGTCCCTTTTTCTTTGTCTCGGAGATCCCACAAATGTCAATATTATGCTTCTTCATTTCTATTATGATCTCTTGATCTCTTCTTTTCGACGACGTTGTGTTCCAGCAGGCGATTGCTGTGGTGTGGTGTTTAGGTTTTCTTTTGCCAATTCGTTCTCCAATTCGATTTTCCAATGTCCTAGCGTGTGTCGTCATCTGATAGTTTCGTCCAGTTTCCGAGGCTGTATCTTCAGTTCTGTGAGCTAATTGGTTCTTTTTACCCCAGGCAGCTAATCTCGCCTAGGAACTCAATCCACCCCTCATATGATCCAGATGGAGTTTCTATTATTGTAACACTGTATATTTGCGAACAATGAAATTTATATCTATCTAAAATGATACACATATCATTATATCCAATTTTAATTAATTCATTTTTGCGCGCACCCAACGGCACAAACTGATCGATAGAAGCCAACGTGTTCGGATTCCGATACTCGACAGCAATGATAGCAGTGGGGCAAAGGAAGTAGGTAGTCGCGGGCGTGGCCTCGAGTAGTATATTCTGTAATCTCTGGTTCAAGAAATATTTTTTCATACCTACCTAGAATGGTTACAAAAACATTTATATGAACAACCCGAATTTGCATTACCCCTTACATCCAGGTACCAAGAAGCAGTTCTCGGAAATAAAACCAACCAAAGTAGAAACGCCATCGATGATGTCATAAAATCTGTTAGAAACTTACATATAATGAGAAATTGTGTATTCAATCTGCCCGTATCGATAGGTCTGCAAAAAAACTCGCCGATTAAATTCCGTGTGGACAAACTCGTTAGGCGGGTCGTTGAGGCGGGGTTGATTGAAAAGTGGGTGATCGACGTTATGCAAGAGGTGATGAATGGGAACGTACAAGACGACGATATGAAAAACGCCAAAGCGCTGATGAATTTGAAAAAGTTTTCAGGGGCACTGGTCGTCCTTGGAGTAGGGTGCATTTTTAGTTCTTTCACTTTGCTTGCGGAATTGATCTACCACCGTTATGTCATAGAGAGAAATCCCCATTACAATAAGTATTCCAAAACAATTGTCGCAGTTAAAAAGGCACACTAATTATACGCACGGAATATAACGCATAACTTGTTAAATAAAGATATATATTTCATTGCGCTTCGTTATTATTATAATAATAATTATTATTATTATTATCATTATTATTAATATTATTATTTGTTTCGTTATTAAAATAGAAGCCATTTAACTCCTCACACTATGTATATATGGCGAGCTTTAACAGCTTTTAGAGCCGTATTCCGCATCCTAATGGGGGCTAAACACATGCAGGCAAGTCCGCGCGCAAGTGTGTCCAGGTAAGTCTGCGAGCACACACTATTCAGGTAATCCTCGAGGTTCACCAGTTGGTGGAGCCTGCTATTTTTCATTTTATGGATAGCTCTTGTCCACTTACAAAACAGGTAAAGACATAGGCCAACAGCAAGAGATTTTCATTTACTGAGCTGGTGTCAGGGTATCAATCGATTAGTCTATCCCCGTTGTCATTAGCTTCTTCTTCTCCATAGGGCCCTTCTATTGAATCATTCAATTTTCGTCCTGTACATGCATTGATATCTCCTAATTTCCTTGCGTGCATTTATTTATTCGAGAATTTGGCTCAAACTGCGCTCGTAGACCTCTTTTATTGCATTGGTTTCGTCATCTGTCAGAGCATATTATCTATAATTCGACATACATGATCCTTTTGTTGACTGACTCCCACCATTTATATATAAAATATTCTTTTTTGGTTATTTATTTATTGGTCAAGAAACACCAGCTTTAATCCTTTTGTTTTTCTCTATATCGCTGTATAAATGAATATAATTATCAAGTATCTCCTTGCCTATGGTCCTTATGAATGCAAAGATGTCCTTTTGGAGTTAGTTTACACTACCTAGTACTTCCTTTTTATTTTGTTTGCTTTTCAGTAATGTCCTTGATCCCTCCTGATTCCGAAGCATTCTCCTAGGATTTTTTGCAGTTAGATTTATTTACAGAAGACGGGTAGCAAACCCACAGCTCTAATCCTCCTCCTCTATTCGGGCTTGAGACCGGCTATGGTATCGTGGGGCGACTTTACTGCAGGCGAAGTTAACTACTCTTCCTCCTCTTCCTCCTCCTCCTCCTCCTCCAACACAACACAACAACACAACTGCACACTGCATCCGAGCCACTTCGGATATTTCCCGGATTTTACCGCACAGGTTTGGCAGCAGTCGGATGTTTTCGGAGATATTTCCCACGCCTTGAATTTTGACATTTATTAAACACTCGTGACTTAAATGCCGTTTACTGCACTTGTTGCATAATTAAGGAATGGTGGCAGGTTATGGTGGAAGAAACCGAGGCACACAAAACATTAACAATTAAGCTTAAGATTACAGTGGTTCCGATGGCGACCGCTTTGATATAATGTTTGGTTAATATAGTATTTGGTCTCCTGTAAGACCTCCTGAAACTCTACTATGTAAGGTTATGAAAACTGTTGGCAAGCAATAAATGACCAATGTTAATTTGAAATAAACCAGTTTAAAAAACGTAGTACAGACTGGTCGGATTGTTCGTCCGCAAATACTTTCTGGACAAATAAGATATAACGTTACATATAAAATATTTAAAATATTACTGCTTCTAGAGTTCGAATCACATAGCTGCTAATGTGACTATTCCTATTTCCTACTCTAAAATACCCAAATTAATACACTAATCAAGCGTATGCAAATTGTTACTTTGACATCAGATTAATTAACCACTAAATAATATTATTCACGAAATTCAATTTCGGTTGTGCTACAGGGAACGCAGTTGGAAAATTGGAACTAATATATTATACAACTTGTATCGCTGAAGATGGATGGATCAGAGGATATTTAAAATTGTATCCTTCTTCTTATGCTTGACACACCATGCTCCCTCAAATCACGTTCAATTCTTCCAAAAATTGTTTTATCGGGAATACTTCTTTGTGAATATTTTTTCTGATATTCTTTTTTTGTTAACGCGATACTTTTCTTGTTTTCAATATAACAATTATACAGATCCAATCTTTCATTTTTTGGGTTTTAATAGAAAAATCAGATTAATTATATCAAATAATAAATCAATGACAGAGAAGTCGTGTCAGAATGACATATGTAAATACATTACATTACGTTTATAAAGTGACGTTTCAGTGTTGCCCAATTGTCTATTTTCGACGCACATCATACTGCCATGGCGGGACGCGCGCTAATATTAAAATTTAACAACCTCAATATAGCATTATTAGAATAGAAATTTTCAAGTCCTTAGGAAACTATGTTTCCGGAATAGAAAACCTTAATTTTTAATTCCAATTCGAATAAAATAATAAATATAAAAAACACCCCCTCAGTTTCGTGTCCTATGGATCCGAGTCACTTCGGTCATTTCCGAGATTTTAGCGCACGGGTTTGGGACCAATCGGATGTCTTCCGAGATATTACCGCAAGGTTGGAACTTCGACGTTTGTCAATTTTGACGGTCATGTCAGTGAATGTATTCGGTATTTGTAACGGTCGTAGTCAAAGTATAATATGTTTATTAAACTTTTTAAGTCACTTGTTTATTTAAACACTCGCTCCGTTGCGCTCCCCTCGTGCCAAATAAATTCGTGATTCAAATGCTGTTTATCACACTTGTTGCATAACATACAAATTAGGTTTCTGATTCATTTTTCAAGTGATAGTGTAACATGACCCCGCAGTTTTTTCTCTTTTAACGCACAATAAAAGCATCGGAAGTTCAATTCAATTCAATTCAATTATGCGTTTCACAAAAAATGTTGGGCTAGACTGCTAGGATCATTCGCCCATTGCCGACTTCCGTCGAGGATCTTCGCTTTTGGTCATGGACCAACACGTACAAAGAAGACATATAACCAATATTTGCTCAACTAGCAAAAAACGATTCTGACCGATACCAAAAAAAATCTGCTTCCCCCCGCTTCCACCACGGACCATCCGGGCCCATCCGGCCACCATTCCGGCGTGAACAGGGAAAAACGACGGGGCCGACGACGATTATCACTTTAAAACATGCACTGAACACTAAAAACACTAAGTCCACACAGTGGAAACCGATATCAAACTTTTGAGGACGAATACAAGGGATTCTGTCGGGAGCGAACGGAGGTTAAACCGCCGCGTGCAATGCTCCACCACAGAATCCAGCATCGGAAGTCGAAATCTTGGATTCGGTTTTACTTCTAGTGGCCAACTATAATACGTCACTCGGCCAGCTTAAGTGAAAATTTTGATGATTGCTAACCAACAGAGTACAATCCTTGTGAGGGACGACAATGGGCCAATGATCCTTATAGGATTGCCCAACTTTTATTTCTGATTCATCTATTATTTGTTTGTTTCATTCTTGTCAAATTGAATCGTTAAGTTAGAATAAATTGGGGAATTTTATTAATTAAGCATTGAAATGGGTCGTAGAAAATCTAAAAGGAAGCCGGCTCCTAAGAGAAAAGCAATCGAACCTTTAGATACTCAATTTAATTGTCCATTTTGTAACCACGAAAAAAGTTGTGATGTAAAAATGTAAGTGTTCACCGCATTCCTTCCTTATTTTGTCTTTAATAAATTTTTTAAGCAATCAATTTACAGTTTCTATATGCCAAAACCTGAAATAATTTTACGTGTATCAGAAGATTAGTTAATATAAAATTTTATTTTTAAACAGGGATAAAGGGAGAAGTACTGCTAAAATAACATGCCGAGTGTGTTTTGAAGATTTCCAGACGACTATAAACTTTTTGTCTGAACCTGTTGATGTATACAATGACTGGATAGATGCATGTGAGCAAGCTAATTAAGTTTTCCCTTTACATATACACTGTACATATTATAGCTTATTAAATTTTGTGTACATAGGCAAGAGAAATTTAATGCCCATTTTATTCACTGAGATATGTTTATGTTCTAAAATTATGCTATTAGGAATATTACTAGTTAGTCCACTCAACCTGTACTGATTTTATATTATGCAAAATATTAACATTTTTACATAGGTATATAGATTTGTCCAAAAACTTTTTAGTAAGTTTTTTACCTGTTTTTTTTTTCTATAAATTTTTTAAATAAAGTAGATATCACACTTGCAACTTACAATTATTTATTAGAAAAAATATCATGCCTATATCAACTACAACAATACCAATATCTTCTTTTATTAACTAACCCACTCAAAGTTAAATTGAAACTGAAACCCAAAAGTGATAAATTGTGTTTAACCCAGCTAGTCAAAAGTACAACAAAGATATATTCACAAACTTATTAAAAACAACTCAGCTAGAAAAGGAACCTGCCGTTCTTGAATGTGACAATGTAGTGCCTTGTGTTCGCCTCTCTACACCTTTCTTACTCTGCAATAGAAAATTATATTATCAATTTGGATTTAAAATCTAAAAAAAGAACCTACATTTATTATTCTATAAATTTGATCTAATGCATGTGGCAAAATGGGTCTAATAGAATTGATTTCCATAATTGTAATATTATCTACTGCTGCATACATAGTGGTTTTCTTGATCAAGCTATCTACAGACGACCTCAGTTTTGAAGTTCGAATATCCCATATATCTTTGATCATTGTCCGAACTTCATCGGCTTTGGGAATATCGTCCGATGCACATCCCAATATCAACTTGGCTTCAACTATGTAATTTTCTGGCATACTCGTAAATGTTCTATTGCAAGAGAGTAATAGAAACTTTTAAGTATAAAACTGAATACAAAAACCCACCTTGATTCTTTTTCATCATTTTTAATTCGTTCCAATTCTTCTAACCTCATCCAATCTGGTGACTGAATTTTGCACTGCTGTTGCCTTTTTAAATTAACCGCCAACCACAAAGGCACCGTCGTCGGAATGCCGGCTCTGAAAGGACCCACATCACCGGAAATTAAATGGATGGTAGCGCTGTTAAACGACGGCACTATAGATATTTGCGACTTTTCTCCAAAAAACTCAACTTCGTCGGGATCCATTTCGTTAAGCAAGAAAACATTCATATAACCTATTTTTAAACACAACAAAGCACGGACCATAAATGTATCTAGTGTTGGAATTGTTTGAACATATACTAATCCATAAATCAAATTGAAATATCTGGAGATCCTAAGGATTCTTCGTATTTGAATGAAAATGTGTTTTTGTCTGGCAATAACTTAATTGTAATCCCAAATACAGAATGTTGGAATTATGTTTCGTCGAGTAATTCAAATGATTACATTGTCTTTATCGGTTCGTACATATATTTTCGTAGATCCATTACCTTGATTTTCCGCATCCGCGTGCCTCTACATTTCACCTTCTGAGCAACACATTTCGCCATTTTTTTTCTAAACAGCGATTTCCACACATTTAACTTGTACGAGAACATTTAAGGAGATAATGATCCAAACGTATTGATGATCTGTTCGCGGCCATATTGGTTGTTGAATGCCGGAAGGTCATTGGTTAAAAAGTAAGTTCCTGAATTATTGGCATGGGCAGGGCCTCTAGAACTCTAGTAGCTATGGTTACCTATAGCTGAAAGTTGGAATTAATAATTATTTCAATTCGGTTCATGGATACTCTCAACTGTATTCTCTGCTTATTTTTTCAAACTATTTCTATGCTTTGTGCAGTTAAAATACCTATTTGCCCAATATTTTAGAATATTCGTTATTTAGGCTTCATTATACGCCGGCACAGGATTCTGTGGTGGAGCATTGCATGCGGGCCTTTAACCTCCGTTCGCTCCCGACAGAATCCCTTGTATTCGTCCCCAAAAGTTTGATATCGGTTTCCACTGTGTGGATTTAGTGTTTTGAGTGTTCAGTGTATATTTTAAGGTGACAATCGTCGTCGGCCCCGTCGTTTTTCCCTGTTCACGGCGGTATGGAGGTTGGACGGTCCGGGGCGGAAGCGGGGGGAAGCCGATTTTTTTTTGGTATCGGTCAAAATCGTTTTTTGCTAGCTGAGAAAATTTTGGTTATATTTCTTCTTTGTACGTGTTGGTCATTTACCAAAAGCGAAAATCCTGGACGGTAGTCGGCAATGGGCAAATGATCCTAGCAGTCGCGCCCAACAGTTTGGAAAAGCAGAATAGAATTGAACGCCAGTACATAGCGTAAAAAACTATTACACTGTTTGCCGTGGCTTTCCGCGAAAAGCCGAACTATAGTCATTTAGAATATTAATATCTTTACATATCTATACAATATATCACATTGATAGAAACGTTTGTCTCCGATCATTAAAGGTCAGTGAGAAACAACAAATGCCTTACACCGCAAAACAGTGCAACTCTCAATGTCATAAAAGCTATAGATGCATTAATAAGTAATGATGTTTTATTTACCTGTAAAATGCTTACCAACTTATTTATTTATTAAATGATTAATATTTTAAATGTTGGTTACTAGTTTACAACGTATGGTCAATATGAGCCACTGAATGTAAAATGATATAATTTAATTACACCAATTTGTAGAATAGTATATTATGCAACAAGTGTTATAAACAGAATTTCAGTCACAATCTGATTTGGCATGAGCCGAGCGAGTGCTTAATAAACGAGTGACCTATACAGTTTACCAAACGTGTTGAATACTATACTTTTTCTACGACCCATACTTTTTGAGTGCATTGTTACAAAACAACATGATGCTCTGAATTGACAAACGTCAAAATATCCTGGAAATGTCTGAAATGGCTCGGATCCGTGGGAAAGGAAACTCACCTTGTAATATGACACTTTCTGCATGCTAGATAATTGGGTATTTTTGAGAAGGGAGTAGAAAAAAGTAGCGGATACTGTTTAAAAACCTTACAAGCATTTTTATGGTTTTTTTAACGTTATATATTGGTTGGCTGAACACTTCACCAAAGGGACCTTGTTCAAACTGTAAATTCAAAAAACTATACTTTTTATATACTTTCTGTATAGCGTTGCCTACTATTGCACACCTTTACAAAAATTATTACTTCATTTTTTGTTATGTGTGTTGCGTGGTTAGAGAGTTGTTGATTTTGGGATGTGCAAGATCTCGAAGTAGCAATTGTTAACTTCTTAAAAGGTAGTTTCCAAGAACACAGAAATGGTGACTGTCTATTTTGGAGAATAAACAAACACATTGATAAGGATGACTTGTCAAAATAAAGTTAAGAAATCCTTAAAAAACATCAGACCAGATTATCCCTATTAAAAAATAAACAACTATTAACAAACAGGTTTTATATAAAATTATTTCAAGTAACAGGGAGGTTATCAATTTTTGAGCCAGTTTGAGACAAGTGCTTGATGACATCCACCCAATCCCAACCTCTAGGTTTTTCTCCCTTTCCATCCATTCTATTCCACTGCCTTCTTTTCTGAGCCTTAGTCAGTTGCTCCTTTTTTTCCTTTTTGGCAGATTGTGAAGGTTCTTGGTCTAATATGTGCAACTTTTCTACTTCAATTTCATTAATATTATCTGGTTGGTCTTTTATCAGTTCTTCAAATTTTTCTTTAACAAACTCAAACAAAGAATAAGTCATTGACATTCCCAAAAATTGCTGTGCTTCTGTTTTCACCAAATTAACTACTTTATCTTTAATGGAAGGCAGACTAGAAGCAAAGCAATCAAAAATATATGCATATTTTCTTCATACTACTTACACATGTTTGTTATAAAATAACTCCATGGAGATTTGTGGCAGCTCTTCAGGATATGTCTCTCCCCATTTTATTTCCAAAAGAAATGACTTCACTGTGTCGCTCACCCCATACTGTAAAATTGAAATGAAACCTAAAATATTTGCCTATATTGGGCATAAGAACTGGCGAAAAGCTTTATAAATAATTTCCGTTACAAGTACCTTATACTGAAAAGTATTTTGGGCAATCTGCTTAAAGCATTTATCGCCTTCATATATCGAAGCTAAAACTTCCCTTTCCTCTTGCTGAACTATCTCTATTTCATCCATGACTATATCTAAATGGTTTTCATTATTTTTAAACAAAGTTTTTAAAATAAATTAACAGAATATAGAAAAATCTTCATGCAACATTTTATTAGAAATGCCTTCACATAACCACCAAAACGAACGGAGCCATAGATAAATCTTCTTCTTTTATGCTTCTCCATTTGCTTCCATTAAAATCCTTTGTATTCGTCCTAAAGGCTTTGGTATCGGTTCAAATCAAGTCGTTTTTGTGTTACAAATATTTTGTGAACGTTTTAAAGTGTTTAATAGTCCGTTTTTTGGTCATACACATCGGTGAAAGTCCGGATGGTTCGTTGTGATGGCGGGGGTGGCCGATTTTTTTGTTGGACTGTGACCAATAGAAAAATAATCCTCGCCGGACATCGCTAATGAGCGAATAATCATAGAAGTATTGTTCAACCGTTTTGTGTAACTGTGTCTGTCGTTTTCCTTGCATGACATGAGAAAGTCAGAAGCAGAGAAATAGAAGTGGAAGTAATGAAAAAACATCTGTCAAATCAAATCCCAATCTAAAAAAAAGTTAATGTGCGGTGTACGGGTGTTGTCTTTCAATGAGTGTGTATTTGGTATTTATTAACTTTATACCATTCTTAAATGTTATAAACTAGTGCGCAAGTGAAATGGCGTCGTTGTCTTTACCGCGTGTTCTTCATCCACGGAAAACCAGCTTAGAAATCGAACGAGAAAATTTCGAAAAATCCCAGGTTGGTACGGATTCAATTTGTTGTGTTTACCATTCCTATTTTTGTGCAATTTTCGAACTTGGTGTAGGTGTATTTAGTAATATGTTCAGTATATGTGGGCATACCAAATGTTTAAATTTCACGTTTTCCCATTTTTAATTTATTTAATACCATATTTTTAGCTTAGGATAAACGTTTGGTTTAATATTTCATTCCAATGGCTTGGAGGTTATTTTTGGATAGAATGTTTACATCCTGTGCAGTGGAAAAACTTGTCATGTAGACAGGAAATAAAAATTAGGATCGTTTATTGAAGCAAAACATTTGCTTGGATTGAACACTGGCGACAGTAATTTTTTTTTATGAAAATGGTTAAACATAATATGCTAAATATATTTAAATTACTTTCTCAAAATGCTGATTTCGCATGTCTCATTTTGATTTCAATTTACTTGTAGGCTTGTTTTTCCAATTTTGTTAAATATATATTTAAGTTCAAGATAATATTGCTACACAATTAGGTAAAAGGAACTGATAAGATAAACTGGGTTGATTAGACTTTTAGTCAGTCAGTTAAAATCTTTTTTTTTTGTTTGATTTATAATCAAGAAATTTTGTGATATATTTAATTGCCTATACAAACCGCAATTCTTGAAATACCCTATCTAGGTATTACGAAGCAGCTAATAGGTATCCAAGTATATATTGTTTGCTTTTTATGCATGTAGCTATGCAAGACTAAATGTAAAGGTAACTCCCTAATTCCTGTGCTAATATTTTAGGTGGCCAATGCAGGTTGTTTGAGACTACTTACTTTTTATTTCAGATTTGCATGTCTGCTTAGATTAAACTTTTCCCTACTAATTGCATGACTTTTAATCCCTATGATGGCTAAGGAGTATACTCAAAGAGAATATGAGAAATATGTAAGTACTTTTATGGTGTTTCTGTATTGTTTTATTTTTGTGACGCTTTAATGTATTTAGCCACTGATAATGTATTTCTAATGAGCGTGTCAAGGACATTAGCGAGATTTGCAAGCTAATTAATTGTTTTTATACAAGTGCAGATGCTACTGTGAAAGGATATTTATATTAAGTTTATACAAAAATGTTGAAAGGATGTTCAAAGAAATAAATTAGCCATAGATAACTTCTATATACGTCACTTAAAATAATTTTAAGCTTCCCTATCCCTACCATTTTTAAAATGAAATGTAACTTTCACAATTTTTAATCAATTTGGACCTTCTAGGTCACCGATAATCATATTATACAGGAAGTTTCACCCGGAACTATATCTATTTGTTATAGGAAAATTATAACTACTAAAAATTGGAAAATTTGAGATTACTAAGCATTATATGTAATTGTATTTTTCAATTCCTCAAAAAATTCTACACATATTTGCAATAAAAAGATGTTGCGTCGATGCTTTGAAGCCGCATCACTGCGTGCTCTAAAAAAGAGTCATATTATAATTATTCCGCGAAAAACTTCATTCACTATGAGCTGAAACTATATACACACTACTAATAATTTATATAACGTTAATTATTTGTATCCGTCCACTAAATCGGTGGATTCTCTTGTATTCCTTACATTACTTTGATAGATTTCATTACGGAATTGTTCGACTGCGATTCAGAATGCAATTCCAGTGGCACATCAAAACGCTTCTGAATAAAGGGTTGTCTTCTTTCTTCTACATCCGCCAGGATCTTCAGGGCACGTCTCAACAAGGGAATCCCACTGAGCCCGATAACAAAACTTCTTCGTTACTGCAATGTATTTATTTTTAGCACATCTCTCTTGAAATGTACAAGCCTCGGCTGCTTTCACCTCGTCCATAGAGTTACTGGCTATATATGCTGATAACACAGCTGCTGATGAAGTCACCATGAAAAAAATGCTTGCAAGTTTCATTCATTTCGTGTAAGATAAACCCATTTGATTCGGGAAAAACTACGTGTTGTTCGATGTGAGCTAGTTCTTGTTCCTTTTCTCGTTTGTCATAAACTGATTTAGGACAGACTAGTTTGACCTGAAATCTGGTTTGAGGGATAACAGGTACAGCCGAGGACATAACTTGTATAAAATATGGTCGAGATTATCTGAATTCATCTGTGGACCCGAACTATTAGTAAAATTATTTAATTTAATCTTATATTAATTATTTAATGTAATTTGATTCACAATAATTAAATAAGTAATTAAATTTAATATTATTTAAGAATATTCGATAGGTTGCCAATTATTCCATAAAAGGCCTAGCAGATGTATGTAATATTATGTGATATAATTTATTTCATTAAACAATTCCAGATTTCCAACTTTGCCGGTAACTTGTCCATTTAAAAAAGAAACTATCCAATCAATTGAAAATGTGTTTTACTAATGTATACATAGATTGAAGTAGTGTGCTCTTAAGCCCTTTATAATAAAAAATGTATATAAAATTACGTCAGTTCATTGCACCGCCATAATGAAAGAAATCACATCCCTAGATGTTTCATGGGTGATACTTAATTTTATAACAACGGTGTGTCTTCCACCACAACCTTGCGCTTTCTCATCAAATGCGTGCCGTAAAGAAGGCAGGCACAAATTACCACCAGCAGGACGTTACAGACGATTCGATTCGCGTTCGCGGCGATGAAATAATCCGCCAACTGGTCCCCTTGTTCTTGGTAGTCGTGGAATAACTTCTTCAGAAGCGCGGTGGAGTCGTTCGCGTTCGCTTCTAATACCTGCCGAATCCGATTTTTCCGGATCTCCAGATTTTCGTAACGGTTCATCATGTATTTTAAAAAAGCGCGAAAATCCATCACCGACGGATCCTGCGAATCCATCCGCTCAAATGCGATATCTTCCTCGTCCCCGTTGTCAAGGCAGGAGATACCGAGCACGTTGCTGGCGTTGCGGACCTCGCCGTGAGGCACCTCTACGTCTGCTTTGCGCAGGTGATTGACGATTTTGGCCAGCCGTGCGCAGCTCCACGTCCCATTATCCACCGACAAGGTTTTCAGTTTGGGGAAATGGATGACGAGGAGTTCTGCGTTCAGGTTGCGAGTGTGGCAGCCGGAGATATTGAGTCTCTCGAGTCGGGTGAGCGGTATCACCATGTGGAAATCCAGCGTCAGTGCGTTGTGCGATAAATCGAGATATTGCAATGAAGCTAGGGGATCAAGCAAGCCGAACTGGATCGCGTGGATGGAATTGCGGGCCAGATTTAAAACCTAAAAGTTAATAGTTCCATGCTGTGGATAGCTAAAAAAGTAAATATAAATTTAACACAAACATTGCTTATTCAAACCCGAAAAAATAATTTGTTCCATTGTTAATGTTAACAACAATTCGCCACCATTACTTTCGTACTTTCAAGTATGAAAAGAAATACTGTTTTTTTTTTTTTGGTAAAGCGGTACAAACATTGCTAATACCATAAATTAATACTGGAAAAAATAGTCTAATCTATTACTAAGTAACAAATTCAAAGTTAATTAGTCCACCATTATTTTAGTCAATCCATATTACGAAATAAATTTAGAAAGTTACTCATTAGTTCAACTACTGCAAAAGGTTCTTCCTTTCAACAAAATTACTTAACACACTAGAATACACTGTTTTGCAATGAGGATACACTAAAAAGTTTAACACAGATAAGTCAACAAGCCGCAGGCAATCCTTGGCAATTATGGGAATTTAAAGAGCCAATCCTAGCGCAACCCGATATTTTACCATATTGGAAAAAGAATTTAAGCATCACACCGTACGTTTCTCCCTTCACCTTTAAAAAATATTTTATTTTTTTTATTGATTAAAGTTATTTCGTTTATTTTGATTTGGTAGGATCATCCGGCGACATTGCGATATATGAGTTACGAGATTCTCACCTTAAGCGTGTCGAGCGAACTGAAACACCCTACGGGCAGGCTGCGTAGTTTGTTGTCGTTCAAGTAGATCTCGGACAGGCTTTGAGCGTACGCGAACGCGTTCGCCTCGATGCTGGATATGACGTTGCGGCTGAGATCTATAATCATCAATGAACGTTGCGCGAAATAATCACCGATCTTCTCCAAGAGGTTGCCTGTCAGATTCAGGACAGCGGTCGGTCCAGTGGTATTCAACAATGCGATCTTATTGTGGCCTAGCTTGGCAGTTCGAATGGTGGGGTTTGACTCGATTAGTCTAATGACGTCTCTCTCAGTTAGCTCGTTGCCCATGAATTCTACTTGGAAGTAGGTTTGATCGGCAAAAAGTCCGTCTGGTAAATACGTTAAGCGGTTCCTACTGAGATCTATGACGGTAAGCCTCTCTAATCCATTGAACAAGCGTGAGTCTAAACGGGCGATCCAGTTGTTGGCGAGATTTAAAGTTTGAAGTCGCTGGAGGGGATGGAAAACCGACGGTTCCAACATCGACAGGTGGTTGTTGGGCAATTCGAGAACTTCTAACATACGTAAGTGATCAAAAAACCCCGAATCGATGATTTCGAGGTCCACCCCGTCCATGTGGAGAGTGCTGATGTTCGATTCGATCCCGTCACGAAGTTGGGTGATCGACGAATTCGTGACGTAGATTTTGTAGAATAATTGTTCCGACTTTGTAAATATTTCTGCCAACGTCGCGTTGTAACAACTAATCTTGCTTCCCGGGCAGAACAGATTGTACGAGTCGTCATCGTGGTTCCAACGGTATCTGCATCGTCTGTAGTAAAAGTCTGAGGACTCGGTCGCTTCCTTTTCAATACAGTCCGATCTCGCCCAGCCCCAGCAGATCACCGTGAGGATTAGGAATCTTGAGGAGATCATTTCCGCGAAACCCTGTTGTGAAAAAATATTTTCCCGGCAAAGCACAGAGCAATTTTTAATTTTTCATGCTTTTTATAAAATAATTGAGTAAATCAAATTTTGTTAATAATTTTTAAATTGTTTCAATTTTGTTTTGTTGTATCTTCACCGTTTACAAAGCTTTGTCCTACCGTTTGACAAAGAAAAAGAGGTTGAGAAATGTACATTTTGCATGGTTTTCATATCAGAATTTGATGAACAAAGTAATTATTAATATTAAATTAAAAACTACTATTTTAGAGAAATGAAAGCGACAAGAAGAAGATAAAACTAAAGAACTAATTCGACTAAATCGTCAATTACGGAATAAGATAAAGAACCAGCCATGTAAAAAATCTTAATCTATGGTAAATAATAAACACGTCCAGGAATTTACAGTCCATAATTGCACAACATTATCCAACTTTGGTAATTTCCAATTCAGAACATCCTAGTTTGTTGCATTGTTTTTCCAATTTACAGGACATTCCTTAAACACTAATTATATTTTTTTGATTGTGAGTGTTCGAAATTACTTGTGTAATTTTTTTGTAATGCAAATAACGAAAAGAGGTAAATTTGATATCATCATCATTTTTTCAATATCAAACTTTTGGAATAATTATTTAAAAAATATTAAATTATATTATAAACTCTTATACAAAATTAATTCATCACTATCATTTGCGTAAGTATGTCTTTGTTTTTGTTCGTTTTATTTAATTTAGCGTTAGTGTAAAATAAATAAAAAATTACACAAAATTGGGCGATCAGGTACAAAAATTTAAAAATTCTAGAAATCTACTTAAATTTACAAAAACAATTTCCACTTGAGGAATGTTTTCCATTCCAAGAGAACAACACGTTCCAACTTTTGCAGCCTTTTTCGAGCAGATACATGACGCCAACCTAATCTTTTTAGAACATCTATCTATTGGATTTATATCTGGGATGCGTGGTGGCCAAGATCTGGATGTTGATTTCATTTAAGTAATCCAAAACATTTCTCGCAATGGGGCCAGCTCGAGAGAGTCTCAGATTATATCTAAATTTGTTAATTTCCCTATTCAAGATTATTGTTTTTATTCAACAGAAAAATCTGGATATTTCATGCCTCGCCCTTCTTGAGATTTTTTGAGATAATCTTTAAATTTCGCAACTTTTCTTGCGGAGATTTGTTTGTCAGTTTATTTAAAAATAAGTATAAAATAGACGTTTTTTTTTAAAGCTTTCCTTATAATCGTCTTTATTAATATGGTAAATTAGGATCCAATTCATAAAAGGCAAGCTGTCATATTAAAATCGGTGATTTGCTTTTGAAAAAAATGTTTGTTATTATTTGTAAAAATGATCCGTTAAAAGACCTTGCAGTTAATTAATTTTTCAGCTATACTACATATTTTATATATTAGCATATTATGCAGCAAGTTTGATAAACGACACTTTAGTTAGTAGTTTGTTTTGTCACGAGTGATGCTCAGCGGAGCGGGTGTTTAATAAACGAATGACTACAGAATGAATATTAGTTTTTGGGTACATTTTTGCAAAACGACAAGTATACAATCACTGTGTGACGTGACTGTTAGAACTGAAAAACGTCAAAATATTATGCGTAGCTAAAATCTACCGAAAACATCCGATCGCTCCTAAATCCGTGACTAAAGTACCGGAAATGTCCTAAGCGGCTCGCGATCATGGGAAACGAAGCTAGGGTGACAATTCCTGCATGCTTGATCGGTTCATAATTGAATATTTGAGAGTAGGGTAGAGTAGAAAAAAATAATGTTAAACCAAAAGTAAAAGCTGGTTGGAATGAGCAATATTATTTTTGTATTTATATTTACGGTATACGAGGCATTTTTTGAATTTCAGAACCAGGCGCTCCAGAAGGCTATTAACGGTCAAGAATGCCCCGTAAAACAGAAACATGTGCGGCTGGCAATCATAGGCACTTTTCAGACACAGAGCGCGAAGATATTTTGGGCGTATGCGCTCAGATTACCCGCTATGGACGACCGGATCGTTGCCTGGAAGTTATGTCATGTCGTGCATAAGGTCTTGCGGGAAGGACATCCTCTATGTTTGGTGGACAGTCAGCGTCATCGTAAGGTACACTAATTAGTGACTTCATTAACATAAGATATTATTAAATGACAATCAATTTTCATAATTGGTATGGAACACAGTTAGTCGACTCTTTTATTGATTATGCTAAACGAAAAGTTATGTATTATTTATATTTCCTGGTCATTTCAGTTTGTCTGGAACTATCTTTAGACCAATTAAGCAAATTCTCAAGAAACTCGTTTTTCAAAATTTTAATTCGGTACATAATAAAGGTGTTGGGGTTCATTAGGAAATGATGTTTTTATGTTTAAAAAAATACATATTTAGGGAAACAAAACTAGGTTAGCCAGTGACAGTGACCATCAACGAATTAGTGAATGTATTAATTCTGATACAACTAATTTTTATTATTGTCCTAATGATCACTTAATTCCGCAAAGTCGTGTGTTGTAGTTCTTGAATTGATATTCAGAATCGAAAAAGGTTGATGATTTGCCATTGCAATTTTCAGTTTCGTGCAAAAGTCTGGTCCTGTAAGCAATAAACTTAGATTTAGGGAGCATGTTAGAGAGCCTATTTCTATTTCTAGTCTGTCTGCGGTATGTACCTAGGGCGCTGCATTCAGAAGTTTTGATCCATTATGAGGGAGTGCGCCACTCCCTCTCCTAGAAAAACCCTGTACTTTTAAGGAAGTATGGTGTCTCTTTCAGAGGAAGTATGGGGAGTTTGGATAGTTCCTCGTGCTCAATGAATTGAGCTCCTAATATTCTTAATCGACTGTCACCTAGCAGCTGCTTAGGACAAGAATTGCAGTTTCTTCCTATTCTAAACACAGCCTGCATGTGCTGTTGTCACCTACCCCCATCATAGGAGAGCCTGCTCTTGCCATACCAGAGCAGTTTCCGCATTCAAGCTGTTGAGACTGGATTTTATCTAATTCTTCGACAACTGACCTGCACAGGTCACCATAATGACCCCTTCCTAATTCACTAAAACATTATTAAAACTTAACTGGATATTCAGGGTTCCCAGTTGGCTAATTTCCTTGGTGACCAATTATATTATATAAAAAATATGATGAAATATGTTCATGATCATCTAATTAATATGAAAATTTCATTATTATCACAATTAAAACAGAATATATTAAATTCTTACAGATGGGATATTCCAGACAGGAAAATAACTTCCAGGTATTTTTTTAAATAAATAAAAATAAACCCAAAACTTATAACGTAGAAATTTTTTTTGTCAACTTAAAGTTATAACAAGCCATTAAGTATTAAAAAATTATAACTTGTGTTTTAAAAGCCCTTATGGAGTAGCTTGGTTGCGATTATGTATTTATTATTTATTGTTATTTATATTATTATTTTATTTATATAATTTGTTATATGTTTGTTATCTATAGACAATGTTTAAGGAGTTTTATCTGTAAATTAAAGATGCTACAGTCGGATCTGATTTTCACATCATTGGTTGACATCCTGCTTGGAAAGGCTCTGACACTTTAACAGTATCTTGAAAATTAATTCCCGGATAAGTGACTTTCATACGAGCATTTTTCTAGAGTTTGTCATGCAAATATTTTATTTTGTTGCTGTAATATGGTTTATGCAATTAACCTATTATTTTTAATAACGCCTAGAAAGGTAGACACCCGGTAACCAGGATGCTGTTCAGGTCTAGATGTGATTGCACACTTTGAAAGGCATAAAAACAAATTAGAAACATCTACTGGCAGATTAAACCACACCGAGAGAACATGCTCATCACGCAAAGAAGCGTTCTAAAATGATTACCTCATGTTTATATTTGCTCTAGAATATTGCTAGTTACATTTTGTGAAATATAAGAAAAGGATCTTTGTGTGTATTGTCCTGAAATTAAATTTCTCGATAAAGTTGCTGAGGCGTTTTATATATTTTAAAAGAGAAAGTCGTCATACGCAATTTTGATCGGTAAAATATATTTAATATATAAATATATTTATATTATATTTATATATACTTAAATTTATATATAATATATAAATTAAATTTATATATTATATATAAATTAAATTTATATATAATATATAAATTAAATTTATATATAATTAAATATGGCGCACTTTTCTACTTCATAATTAGCCTTAAACAAGAATTCGTATTCGACGCGGCTTGATAATATCAAAGATTAAAGTGTTAAGTTTTATGCTGTTTTATTGCTAAATACAAGGGCCGGGTAGCAAGTATTGTACCCTAACTTAATGAATTTTAGGATCTTGATGAAATAGGCAAACTTTGGGGCCACCTTAAAGACGGTTATGGCAAAATGATCCGATTGTACACGTCGCTGCTGATCAACAAACTGGAATTCCATAGGAGGAACCCGAGATTTCCCGGCCACTTGGGGGTGACACCAGAAGAATTGGAGAGTATTGGCGGCAATGATGTGAACAATTAGTAAGTTGATATTGATGGAATATATATATACTTGTATAGCTGGCCAATTTTTGATTATTGTTTCGTGGTATTTACTGATCCTTTCAAGTGATATTGTGTTTTGTGTTCCAGTTTCGACATGACAGTGGAAATGTTTGACTATTTAGATCACATATTAGCGCTACAAGAGACAGGTAACAAATATTATTGTGGTCATCCATGAAAATTTAAATAGATATACAGGATTATTCATTCTTCCATTAAAAGTTTATAATGTGTTGTTTGGTACAGACTTGAAATGTTAATAATTTTTTTTTAATTCAACTCCTTATAGATAAAGCACTATTAACAATTTTTAAATTTGTGTTTAAATTTTTCTTTTTGTAGTGAGAATTATAAAGACGGAACGTGTTATACTCATATGTCATTTCAGTTACGTCATTGACTGAAGATAGTAAAATAGACCAAAATTTTGGAGCTACTAGGGTACTTTTAGACTACTCAAAATAGCCAGTTTTGTTATTACATTTGTTAGTTTTCTCGCGGGACTAAGTCTCTGTTAGTTATTTTTTGAAAAGGCAGACACAAAGTTATAACAGAAACATTTGAACATAACGAAATTTAAGGCATAAAGCACGAACTATAAAAAATAAAAAACAACGCCCTGTATATATTTTTGGGTATAAAGTAATATAAGCAAAGAAAATTAAGCCTAGGCGATGACATTACTTCTAGTGATCACTAATTGGAGGAATAATCGATATCTTGGTCAATATGGATTGTAAATAATTATGCAATTATGCACAGATCAACCGTGCGGAAGTGTTACTTTAAGATGTCAGCTTATCGACGGTTTTGAGTCACTTAGGACATTTCCAGTACTTTAATCGCGGGTTTGGAAGCGGCCATATATTTTCGATAAAAATTTATTTTAAAATTTGTCAATTCTGATACGTCACACGTCACTCAGCGAATACATTCGTGCTGTTTTGCAAAAATGTACCCAAAAATTAATCGAAAAGTATAGTATGCGACATGTTGACAAACTTCTTCGGTCACTCGTTGAGCTCCGCTCCTGCCAAGTAAAACTCGTGACAGGACCCTTTGTGATAAATCTTTTTATTTTAGCTTTAATTGTTACTTTTCTGGACACTCTGCATTAAATACTTGTTTAAAATCACCTCCGTAAACTTATCTTAAATTAGTTTTGAAAACATCGTAGGTCCCTGCTACACATATAAATCTAAATTAATTTGGGGTCAAAAATTACTTCTTGATTTAATCCCTGACTATTAAGTTTTGTAAAATTAACTACTAATTTAAATTAAATAGTATATTATGCAACAAGTTTGGTGAGCCTCACTAGTTACTATTCTGATTTGGCACAAGCGGAGTGCGTTTATAATAAACGAGTATGTGAAGAAGTTTATCAACATGTTGCATGTTATACTTTTTCTACAAATATTAATTTTTGAGTACATTTTTGCATAACAGTATGACGTAACCATCAGAAATGATAAATATCAAAAGAAAATCCGTTAAGCTTAACGTGACATTTTGCGCACGCCTGATCGGTACACAATCGAGGTTTCTCAATTTATGAAAATATTTCGTAGGTCGAATATTTTGCAGGTGAGTTTAGTAACTTTAAAAATTTTAATTTGTTACCGGTATGGCTGCACTTGCATCTTTTAGAAATGTTGGATTATCAGACACTTCGAATTTCAGTAATTTTCGGTCTCAAGTTACACAGAACTAGATTTCAATTCAGATCCCGTTTTTTCATTTTAAACTTGTAAAAAAATAATCTACGACCGTTTGTACCAATTATTTCTTGAACCAGTAATAAAGTTATTGAACTTTTAATATTAATATAACGCACATCAACATTATTTCAGTTTTACTTTACTTAATTAATGTCTTAAACGATCTCTTTGTGTTTTTTTCAGTATTTAATTCCTTGGACAGAGCTCGGTCCAACTCAATGACAAGCCCGGGACAGTGTAGACTCGCTCCCCTTATTCCCTGTATACAGGACGCATCTAAACTTTACGACTACTGTGTGAAGATACTATTCAAGCTCCACATGATTCTTCCCTCAGAGGACCTTTTGTGCGGCCATAGGGAACGATTCGTTAAACAATTCAGGGGTTTAAAGAAGTTTTACGAGAACACTAGCAATTTGCAGTACTTTAAAGACCTGATCGCCATACCGCCCCTTCCAGATGTAAGTTTATTGCTCAACTTCAGTTGTTTCTGAAATGTTATTGAAATGTTATTCATAACTCACAATTTTGTTTTAAAAAGTATTATATTACTCTCACTTGTATAATTATTATTATTATATGCATATTTACATATGTATAATAGGAATAGATACTGCAGAGTTGCACCTGTTTCATCTAAAAAATAAGTAGAAAAGTGGGGTTTCTCAGAAAAGTTCAAATATTCTAGTGAATTTGGATAGATGGAAATCACTTCAGGGCAACCAATACTTGCGAAACTAGCGACTGGGTTCTTAAAATTCAATTTTAAAAAGATAGGTTTTCATAGTAGCTAATTATCCTAATTTTTCAAGAAATTAAAGACTGCACAAAATTTTTAAAATCGCAAAATAACGGCTAAAGATTTTTTAAATCGATGTTGTCCACACCAGGAGGGTATAACCAAGCACTCTAAACATTGGCAATTTTTTTCAGATTTTTTCAAGTTTTTAACCCCAGAATCTGGCAAAATAGTAATTTGATAATTACTTTCAATTTGATAGAAAGAAAGAAAGATGTAGCAAATGTTTCAATGTAAGCATAGGACGACATCTATAGGTCTGATAGTTTTGCTAGTTTTGATCAGTTATCATACGACGCCATGATTTCAGGGACTTTAGAAACCAAGCGTAAATTTCTTCGCATGTGTCTTCTGTTAAATACAAAAATTTAGTCCTTTTTAGTTTTTACTGACTGCTAGCAAAACAGCTATGACTTGCGTATATTTCGCCAAGTAGAATTTTAAAGAAAGCTATGTGTTTTTTTTTCATTTTGAAGAATCCGCCGAACTTTTTAATAGTGGGTGATTTCCGAACCTACGTGACTCAAGAGGTGGTAGTCCCGCAAGAGCCGGAACACGAGGATGAGCATATCGAGCCGATAAGCGAAGGAAACCTCATAGATACTACCGACGATGTTTCTGGAGTTGAGCGGAACGCCGAAGCGGTAAACGCGAATGTGATAATCCATCAGGAAATTATTCAGGAGAGAGAGTTTTTGAGGATCCAGTGCGAAAAACTCAGGTCAGAATATACTAAAGCAACTTATCGAAAAATATAGCAAGATGCGCGCTTTAATTTTTCACAGTGCCAAGTTTACGGGTTTTCTCTTTCTAAATCTAAACAAAATAATCTAAATTCTCTACACTGCAGAGTTTTTGTGTGTTACTGCCAGATTGAACTTGAAAATGTTTATGCATGTTGTGTCTTTTTGTCTTTATTGAAGTTAAACACAAAACTGGTACTAAAATTAAAAAAAAAACATTGCATTGGATTAGCGCGTAGAATATAAATTTATTAAAGAACCGGTTTTCAATTAATTCTCATGTCATAATTAAAAAACTCAATTTTTAAGGAGTGCGTTTTAAATTAATTGTAATACCGATTGCTTAGTTGTAACATTCAATTTGATTACAAAAATAAGTGAAATCATTTATATAATTCTACTAAAACGTATTCCATTAATAAAAAGAATTGTAGAAGTCACAATAAAGCCAAAAAAAATTGCAATTTTCTTTTTAAATGAGTCGTTTTTCTCTAAAAATATGTTATAATGTTTATTTACACTTTGGCTGTTCAAATAGAGGTTTACATGAACAACTACATATAATAATAGATACGAGATTTCCCAAGTTTTCTTAAATGTCTAAACATCTCTGAACTTAAAGAACGGTGGGAAGTTCTTAGGTTGGATGTGACATTGTTTCTATACTATTTTGTCAAAATATGTAAAAATCCCATTAAGTTTTCAGTTGGATGTGTTGAGATGGCTGTTTAAAGAAAAGGCGCAAAATGCATGTCGTTAGTGAAATATATAAATATATATATATATATATATATATATATATATATATATATATATATATATATATATATATATTTGAATATATTAAAGATGCCAAGTGAGATTTTGACGAAACGTCTGCAGGATTCGAGTCGGACTTCAACAAGCGAACGGATTATATCCCGGAATATAGTGTCATCACATATATATATATATATATATATATATATATATATATATATATATATATATATATATATATATATATATATATATATATATATATATATATATATATATATATATATATATATATATATATATATATATACACATATATATATATATATATATATATATATATATATATATATATATATATATATATATATATATAATATCATAAATTACATATATAGAAATCTTGCTGTAGTTAGTCTTCGGTAGCATATATATATAGGCCCCAGCAATATTTGTGAGTTCGTCTCATAAAGAATCTGAAATAAGTAATAATTTACTCTAATAGCATTATTGAACCCAATTTTTTATTTTTGCAGTAGATTAAGCTAATAAATGTTTTATTAATTATTTAATAATGCTTTAATAATTAAATTAACTAATATTATATAGAGGTTGAGAAATATTGAGGTTGTAAAAACGGTAAAAAGATAGCTCAGACCGAAGGGAATTTTCTTTTTTAAACAATGACTTGACTATTATGCATTTAAAACATGAGCATAGTTGATACCTTTCTATAACTTGTAGCAATAAAATATGTTCGGTGGCAATATCCTCACCTATGCGGAAATCTTAAAATGTTTTCGACAAAAGTGATTTTATAAATTAATTAATTAATCTCAATAAATTTACTACACAATGAACCGATGAACAAAGGAAATATTTTTCAAATTTGCGATTACGCATTAGATAGAGGTTTACTTATTGAACGACTTCATTAACTGCTTAAGTTTGCAGGTGCGAAATCAATTCATTGATGGCCAAAAATGAAAGGGATATTAAGACGTTGCAAAGTAGGATATCCGGTTTAGAGGTGGACGTTGCGGCGAAAGAAAACGAACTGATTCAAGAACGGCAAGCCAAGGAGGATCTTTTGAGTCAGTCGTCGGCCGTCGCCCAATCGCAAGACAGCGAGCGTAAGTTGAAAAATTTGCCGACTTTTGACGACTTAACTGTAGGAAACTTTCAGAAAGGGCTTTTCACGAAAAATTCGACAAACTCAAAGCCGTTTATGTCAAACTCCGTGACGAACACGTCACCGAAATAAGAAAGGTGTGTACGGAGCTGTTACTTAAAAATAAGTGTTTTGGCAATAGCGATTTTGTTGCAGAAAGCGGAGCTAGAAAAGAAATTATCGAACGCGCTCAAAGACCTCGAACGGATGACGGAACTGGAAGCGGAAAAGGGGCGCATCGAGGAGGTGGAAAAACAGAAATCTGATGAGTTGTGCGCATTGCAAAAGGACAAGGAACTGTTCCACATGGAGACTGAAATTCTGAAAAAGAGCGTGTCGGACGCTTGTAACGAGCGGAACGCCATCCAATTGGAGCTACAGAACATTCTTCAGGAAAAGGAGGATTTTAAGAAAAGGTCTGAGGAGCTGTCATATAAACTTATGGATTTGGAGAGAAGATTGGAGAACGGTAAGCAGGCGTTTTAGTGAATATATGGATTGCTACAATCTCTTAATCTTTGCTTTTGAACGTTAAATGATAATTTCGCCCAGCAAATGAAAGCTTTTTCGCTTTCAGGGCTTTCGTATCTAAAGAAATGCCCAAATCCCAGTGTGAGTGTGTAAGAATAGGTACACAAATCACCTCTGAGAGGAATAATATAAAACTCTAAATTATCGATTAAGTTTTATATTAATTAACTTAATAACAAATGACTATCACCTCTGAATTTTCCCAAAAAGAATCGATCGAAAAAGTTGTGCATTTATAATCTACTCATTCACAGAACAAAAGGATTTTGAACAAAATTTGCGGAACATCGTACGCAAGTCCGTAGAGAACTGTGAAAAAATATTGAGGCACGCGATCCATGAAGTCGACAATCCCGCATTGACGGCACTGACTTGCAGCCCCGATTATCTCAGAAGCCTCACTGCCGGATGCCGAGAAACGTTAGAAGAGAGTTTGAATGTCAGTTTCACCGACCATGCCGCCATCATCACGACGTCGAACAAGATAGCACACAGACATGCCATTTACATTCTTCAAGGTCGCGCAACGTGCAACACCAGCCCTGACATAAGTTTTGGTGAAAGTAAGTCATCTTTTAATTATATTGGAATTATTGAAACGACATCATATAATTTAATGCATTAGTCTCATGATCGAGTGGCAAATGGCAAAAATACTCTTTATAAAGGTAGCGGGATTGTATTCCTGAAAAATTTGGTATAAAATGCTTGACGTGCCATTAAACCAACAGGATTAAATAATGACAGAGAATAAGGTTTGTCAATGCTTATTATTTCTCTCCCCTCTCGTGATTTCCAATTGTCTCATGCATACCTTTGTTACATTGACATAGGGTGTGTTGTAAACCCATTGTCTACTGAATTGGATTTCATTTAAAAAGCATTAACTTGGACTACCTTAGAAGAAGGCAAAATGGTTTGACAAAAAGTTTTGCTTTTTAGCTTCTCTGTAATCAGTTTTTTAAAGTGCCCTTTGAAATATCTTTTCTAACCAAATATAAGCGCTTGTTTGTTTGCGGTTCTTAATTTTATTAAAGGTAATGTGGGTCTTTCACCTGCCAGAACAGCTCGTTTTTTGTAAGCACTAATTAATTCTTAGCATTTGTCAACATATTTGATACACGGGATAAGTTATTTTGTGTCCTTTATTTAAAATTTTCATTATTTTTGTAAATGTCAAATTTAGATAGCTGGTATTTTGCATGTGTCCATTTTCGAAATTTGTGAACTAATCCTGTGAGTGGGTCAAAACGCGGAAAAATGTAGAAATACCCTCTAATGATTGTTCAACTTAAAGATGTAAAGTTTTGTAAAATTGAATATGAAAAGTGTTTGTGTTTTTTTTTTACAGAAATGGCGGAAGCGTGTAAATTTCTCGGCGAAGTAATTCTCCGGATTTTGCTCAACTTAAAAGAATCTCAAAGCGCAGAACAGCTGGTTCAGGAGGCGCTGGAGAAACTCGAAGAAATCGCTAGTCTCGGCGACGGCATCAACCTGTCCAGGTTGGGCGAACAAGCCGAGAATCTGGCTGACATGTTGGACAGCGAAATGTCAGCTATGGACAAGGCGATCGAGGAAGCAGCCAACCGCATTCAGGACATGCTGACAAACTCAAGAGCGGCTGATTCGGGCATCAAATTGGAGGTGAATGAAAAAATTCTAGACTCGTGCACTAACCTGATGCAGGCGATCAGGATATTGGTGAAAAAGTCGAGGTTACTGCAGGCAGAAATCGTCGGCCAGGGCAGAGTAAGTTTTGCTAATTTATTAAAAGTTAGATGACGAAACGCGATAAAAGAAATATAAAATAGCAATATTAAGTCGGGTTTTAGAATAACCAAAATTTTAAAAGTGTAACTTTTCAAAGGAAAACAAACAAACAAAAAGGGCGTCACAATTTTTTTTCCGTTATTAATATAAACAAAAAACATAATGTAGGGTTAGTAGCCAAGTTTTTTTCCAAGTGACTTATACAACAAAACACTATCAATTTTCTGACATACATATACATCATATTTTTTAAAATAGAACACCCTGCATATTATATATGTGTTTAATAGAATATTCCAATTACAATGATGGAACATACTTTATACTTGTCCACTCGTTTTTGATAAATCAGCAAAAAAAGGAAATTTTTAGATAACTTCAGGGAGTGCTGTGACTGACTGCAACAACAATAATTATTACAAATTAAAGTAGAACAAAAATATTAAAAATGGCAAGATATACTAAAGTTCAAAATTCTTTATTCTAAATACTGCTGTATGTGAATACCATTTTCCTGAATACATTTATTATACACTTTAATGGTATAATGTCTTGCATTTAGTAAAGTTTGCGGATTGTGTCTTAACTGATTGATTGCCTCTGAAATCCTTTGCCGAAGTTCCACAACATTATTACAAGGAGTTCTGTGCACGTGATTTTTTATATGTCCCCAAAAGAAAAAATCCATTAAAGTTAAGTCGGGGCTGTTGGCTGACCAATCCATAGTTTCGCGGTTCCCTATCCCTATTTAGGGGTAAATATTCCATGTATTGTTCTTTTTGGTGCTCTAAGAGTTGCAAATAATTATCTCCGGTTAACTTTTGATCTATAAATATCCGATCCAAAACATGCCCATCTGTGACCGGGTTTGTTTTTCAACAAATTATTATTCTCATTAGGTCTATTTAAAAAATCCAAACAAAACTCCTTTGACATTGTTCTGCACTTAGTTTTTGAGTTTTACGAAATTTAAATGCTTTATATTTATATCTCTTCATATACTCTAGTAATAGTGCTAACTGGATATGCTTCATAGAATCCTAATATGTTTGCCATATTTTCATCATTTTAAAACATTAAGATTCCGACATACCTTTTTAACATTTAATACGTTACCGTTTTCCGCAAATTTCTTGGCCAGCTTTGGAAACATCTGTTTTGAAAGACCTCGGCTCCCTGGATGAAGTTTAATATTCTAACGACAAGCTGCAGTGGCACTTTTATTATTCAGGAAGTATACTATCACTCCTCTCACGGTCTAAAATATAAAGTGTGTTATATCGTTGTAATAATAATAAAATATGCAGGGTGTTCCATTAAAAAAATATATGATGTAAGCTTATATGTTAAAAAATTGATAGTGTTTTGTTTTATACGTCACTTGGAAAAAAACTTGGCTACTAACCGTACATTTTCTTTTTTTGTTTACCTCGATATCTCTAAAAGCAAAAAAGGCACAACCAATTAAAATGTTACCAAGATATTACACTAAAAATTGGAACACTCCTTAATTTGGTGGTGTCTAGGGTACAGCAAGCGCTAAAGAATTCTACAAAAGAAACCATCAGTGGACAGACGGGTTCATATCGGCCGCGAAGGCAGTCGCGGTAGCTGCCAAATTTTTACTGTAAGTTTGAATTAACGACCGTTTAGAGAAGAAATTGTTTGCGATCTTGTTCTTTTATCGTCTAGTACCGCAGCCGACAAAGTGGTGGTGTCAAATGGAAAACTAGAGCAATTAGTTGTCGCGGCTCAGGAAATAGCCGCCTCTACAGCTCAGCTGGTGGTGGCGAGTAGGGTGAAGGCCGATCGGAACAGCGACAACCTTCATCAGTTGACGCAGGCTTCCAAGGGAGTCACCACAGCTACCGGAACAGTGGTGGCGACGGTCAAAGATTGTGGACAATTGATGGACGAGGCCGGTAAGTGTCGAAAAGGCGCGTTATTTTATTTTTTATTTATTCCAGTGCAATATTTCTCCATTTAAAACTTTTGAATTACCCGCATTGCTTCCTTGTACCTTCCATTAGTTCACTATAGAATTTACTTCCTCCAATCATACTATTCTGGAATTTCAACATAGATTTCTGTATATATGTCTGTGTGTAAATAGTTTTCTGTATGTTCCCGCGATGCTTTGGTATCTTTTCTAAATATTTCTATTTGTAAACCATGATGTTATGTTAATTCGGTTATTATCCTAGTGTAATACTGTTTTATTAGGACCTACTTTGAATTACTTTATTTTTATTTTTTTGTATTATTACATTGATTTTAAATTTCACTTATCTGCATCCATTTCGGTTTTCACACAAGAGATAAGATTGAATCGACCTAAAGCCGATGCCTATCCTACAAGCTTACCCAGTTATAAGGCTAAGTATCGTGATATTCATACACAAATTACGAAAAATTTTATCACGCCTTAGGTTAAACCTAAAGTGCTACAAAATTACCCAGAGATTTTATAGGAAGGAAGCAAGATGCAAAATGGATGGAAAATCTTAGACAAATATGGCATTTCTTGTTCCTCACTTTGATTCAAATAGTATCTGTGTTACACTGGGTCGTTAATAATCTTCAATTCTATCAAGAGGTGTCTTTCTGTAACTACCCTTAACAAATGTTATTTTTTTCTTCATTTCACCATTTTGAAGTGCTTTAATATATTTTTTATATAATATCTACTAATATCTATCTTTTAAATAATATCTACATTTGGAGAATGTCATTTATTTACTTTTTATTATTATTTATCCACAGGCTTGCCAACCACAACACACTTTCTACAACTCATTAATTGCCGGTCATATATTTTTATGTTTTTAATTTCTTTTCCATGTTATTGAAATCTAGCTTTACCCTCCCTAGCAATATCCATGCAACGCCACGTAGGCAGTTTGAGCATATTTTCATGAAGTTACATCAAAATATATAACTCTCAATCTGAGTAGTATTTATTTTATTTAAAGGCTTTTAATATTAAATTTTATTACATTTCTTGTATTTCTATCTCTGTTGTGGATCGTGGAATGGAGGCAAAGTCAGAATTTTCTCTCAACATTTAATCTCTGTCCCTACAAAATTGTTGCTTGTTTGCTGATTAACTTTGCCACATGCTATGCGATGTCAAAAATTGCAGAGGAGTTGGATGTGTCGAATCTGACGTTGCACCAAGCGAAACGTTTGGAAATGGACTCGCAAGTGAGGGTGTTGGAGTTAGAGAAGGAACTTGAGCAGGAACGTTACAGATTAGCCAAACTGCGGAGGCATCATTACCAGCTGGCGGGCGAAAACGAAACTTGATTTTGTTTCAATAACCATTTTTTTATATTTATTATTTATTAACGATTGCTAGGTTTTAAGTGCTCCAAAGAAATCTTCGCGAACGGCATTAGATGTATGCGCAGGTTTACCGTGCTACAATATTTTATATGTGTATTAATTGATTCTAAAGGTAAGGTTTTTGAAGACAGTTTTTCTTCTATTATATATGGCTTTTTTTTTCGACGCCCTGCTGTCCTACTAATTATATTGATCCTTACAATTATTTTGATTTGAGGAGATTCTTGAATTCTTCAAAGGAAGTAAAAACTAATAAAGGCAATTAAAGGAATATTTGACCTTGAGACAAATAAAACCAGAAACTTGGCGACATGGTTCTCTAAACAATTATTTCTTTTGATGACATATTGATAATGACTGTACCTGGTTGGCAAGACCTCTTTCATGTATTTTTTCAAATAATTTAGTTTTTTTATCAGTCTATCAATCCGCGGTCCTGTAAGTAACTATTTGTCAACAAATTATTGACAGACCAGCCTATCATTTGCTGGTTCTTATTTCCGTGTAAGGAGTCAACCGAAGTAAGTTTACACAATCTGTCGAATTAACGTATTGGATATTGTTCCACCTGGGTGTGATGGCGCACTTTGAAAAATAGAATTATTTAGACCAGAAGTAACTATTTCCAACCATAGAGATATAGAGGCCCTGCCATGTTCATAAACAATTATGACAAAATTTTTGAAAAAGTACATTCAGCAACCAACATAGCTGACAGGTGCTCAATAAATTTGGATGCGGCATTTTTATGACAGTATTTCAACATATATCCAAATCCTATTAAATTTTCAGGCAAATAGGTGAAGAGTACCTTGTTCAAAAAAATACTGCAATTTCGTGAAAAGCAAAGTATTGAAAGCAATTTTTTTCCTATATAAATCACCTTCAAAATCATTTAAACACATTCTTTTCTTTACAGTTTTGATTGAAAAAAAAAGTGGAGGGTTATTTTGCGTTTTTGTCACAAAAACCCGAAATAACAATGCTACAGCCTGCCAGTATTCTGCGACAATAGGAATAACTTGGCTCGTTGTTGCCAATAATGCCCGAATTTTACAGACTAACAAAAATAAATCAATTTTCAAATATCACAGTTAACTATGGCACATCAATTTTTACTGTACTAACCAATACTGTTAGTATTCTTTGGTATTATGGCTACTATATAATCTAATGGCAATGTTTCTAACTAAGGAGTATCAGTGATGCTTCAATTGGAAAATGACGTCACTTAAAGCGAAAAGTCGAATCTTATGATCAGTCTGTGTGTCGATAGCACAACTCGCTTTCGACAAGAAAGAAAATATTTTCTGAACCCCAAGAAAAATAGATTTATAATTTTTAAAAACACTCATGCGGCGTAGGTGCAATTGGTGAACCATGTCAATAGATTCAGATTTCTAATTTAAGCATTTAGGTGAATTCTTTCCTAATGTGATGTGCTATGTTATTCAGGCTACGTCACGCAGGGTGTACATTGATGATTATTTTCTTTTTATTACAAAATATATACCCTAAGTTATTGAATTTAATGTGCATTAGTGTATTTATAATAATAATGGACGTAATTATGGACAATAAAACTTTAGTTAAAGTTAATCAGGATATTCTTAAAAATATACAATTATGCCATTTATTTTTATAAATATATATATATATATATATATATATATATATATATATATATATATATATATATATATATATATATATATATATATATATATATATATATATATATATATATATATATATATATATATATATATATATAAACCCAAAACGCAATAAAAGATAAAGTAAATACAAACCATACAAAGGCGTCAAAAGCAAGCACCATAACCTCAATAATTTCAAAAAAAATTAGTTCTTAAGCATACTGAAAATCCTATCAAACTGCTTTGGTAAAGACTTCATCCTCTGCGAAGTCACGGATTCTTATTTCAATAGTTGTGCTCAAGACGAAGCCGAAAAGAAGTAACACAAAAAAAAATTGAATAACACTAGTTCGGCAAAAATACAAGTTGTAAACAATTGTTAGGGCAGAAAACTAGGATAATTTTCCCATCCTTCGGGGATTGTATTTTGTTCGTACGACTATTTGAACTTTAGACGTTGGCCGAATGATCGTCATGACTTAGGCAATTGAAGAAAGTAAGAAGAAGAACTTTGGAACTCTCGCAAACATTCTGGGCCATCCAGCCTACAACCGGCGTGAAAAGTGCAAACAACCGGCACGACAAACCGAAAAATGCACTAAACTCACAATAAATTTATTCAACATTAATCAGCCCGATACAACTTTTACAGTGAATATAGCAGATTTTCTTAGTAGCGGAAAAGACGATGTATTATTAGTTAGAAAAGACTTGCCGAAAGTTCATGGCAATCGGGGCCTAAGAAAAGCACAGGAAAATATCGGTTAGCTTTGTTTTGTGTTGATGAGAGCCCTATAATGGTCAATAAATTAAATAAAGAGTATTATAACACTGTTTTAGCGCAGGCCCTGAGCCCGTGTGGCAATTATTTAGTTGTTGGCGATATTTATGGATGTTTGTCAATATTCCAGCAAGTAACAACTCTTGGAATTTTAATCTTAAGTTAACAGTTTTGCAATTGTAGCTTGTCCAAAATAGTAAATCCTGAAGCAAACCTCACTAGAGAAGAATTGGTACCCAAATGCAAAGTTACAGTGAAACCAGATTATCAGATTAACAGCTTGATTAGTGCTGGTGATCATCTATTAGTTGGAGGCTTTGGAGAGATTTATGGTTATGCTTGGAAACAAATTAAGACTGGCAGAAATCAGCAACCTCTATGGACCATCGAAATTCCCGACAGCGAAGATGAATTCAATAAAGCTGAAGTGAACTGTATAGTTTATGACAAAGATGCTGGAACTATTTATGCAGGATGCGGAGACAACAAAATTTATGTATTTAATCTGGAACAGAGAAGGACATTAAAGACTTTCAGTAAACACACAGACTACATCCACTGTATTTGTAAAAAGTAAGTAAAAGCTATAAGTCTGTTGCATTTTATCTATGAAAAAGTTTTCTACAGGTATCAGATAATTTATTTTCCAAATGCTATCTGGTTGGAGTTAATAATAAATAGGTATTTGTAACAATTTAAAATTTATGCTGAATATTGCAGTAATAATAATGATAGTTATGTGATGAGTTATATCTAAAATAAAATAAGAACACTATACTTGTTCTATGACTATTAGTTTTTGGGTACATTTTTGGAAAACAACACATACATTCACTCTCCAAAAACATCCAATTGCTCTCAAACCCATAATAATAATAATATATACAATATACATAATAATAATATATACAATTATTGCTGTGCCAAATATACATAATATTACACTACAAAATGGGTGTCAATTTTAAGGCAAACAAAAGGCCTAATAAAACGCAGACAATGTCCAGCAAAGCCAGACACTGTTCAAGCCTCAATTTGATGTAAACCAAGAAAACAAGAAAAAATAAGTATTAAATAAACAAAATTAAATATGTTACACAGAGTTTATAATACATTAATCATAAAATATAGTTTTCAATAAAGAGAGGAGTCCTAGGAGAAAGTAGGGGGTAAGGATAAACCGCAGAGCAAAGTGATATACGAAAATGATCTTTTAAACATTTCTTTACGATGTTGTGGTATTCTCAATATAACATTTTTTCTTAGATTCAGTTATGAACATCTGTTTGAAAAGTGATTTTGTTAAAAAGATATTCAGGAGATTTGTACTTAATTAATTTAAAATAGAATGTAGCAAGGTGTAACCTGCACCTATTGCTCATGTCAAGCCAACCGGAAAGAGCCAATTAAGGAGAAATATGTGTGAGAACTGTGACAGAACGATGGATGCACAAAGTACTTTCTTTGTAACAATTGGAAGAAAATATCTGTATACATTAACTTTAAGTTGAGCCTTGCACCGTAGCCTAGAGTCTAAGTCAATCCTCACATGGTTAAGTGGCACTTCCCGCACGCTAGGTCAGTGTATAATTGGGTATTTTACAGATGGGGGTAGAAGAAAGAAGAAAATATCTGTAGATTTTTTTTATATTTGATTAGTTTTATAATTTTTAAATTTTATTTCTGTATAACTTAAGTTCAATTCTAGCTGGCTTACAAAAATTCCATAATGAACTTTCATTTTATATATTGCAAGTTGCCTCCGACGGATTCAATCTGACTGTAAAGTTAACTAAATATATGTCGCAGAGAATGTATTGAGATGTTGGAACAATATTGACTTATTCTAAAACTTGAATCAATAAGGATTGGACTTTATTTATAAACACAATAATAAATAAACAAATAAAATTATTTAACATTATTTTATATATTACTTAGTATTGGCTTGTTGTCACTTTTTAATTCATATATAGAAAAGTGTGTATTTCTTCTGCAGTAGAAAGTAACCATTGCCAAATTGAGTATAGTTAGTATAATAGTCCATTTGTAGCAACAGATGCCATCAAGACATCATTTAAGTACGTGGAGGCATAACCTATTATGGTATAAAGTCATTTTATTCAATACTTTGCAACATTTCTCTTCTAGTGGAGAATTATCTAGATCAACTACACACAATTTTGCTCTAATTTGAGCTTCCCTCTGAATTTTTCCCAGGTCTTGGTGGGCTTGATATTTTTGTTGTGTGTATTGTAGAAACTAATAGTGATATTATTTGAGACAGAATTATTGTTTGGTTAAGACTTACAGGTTATTTAAAAAAAAAAAATAGATTAGATATCTTGCTTCAATTAACTTTTTAAACAAAACTATTACAAAGTTATTACATACTTTTATTATATATTTAGTCCTTATATATTAAAAAAAAAGCAGTAATACCAAGTTTTAATTGCAAAATAGAACTATAGATATAATAATATAAACTTGATCAAAATTGGATTTGCTATATAGATCAGAAACATGTTTCTTAAAATTTACAATCAGGCATAAACCTCTGGGATTAGTTATTCAATTATTTTAGCGGAAATAGATTACTTTCAAGTGGAGAGGATGGTATTGTAAATATATGGGACATCAAAAGTGGTAAAGTGGTCGATAAAATTGAGCCTCACGCTAACAGCCAAGTGGCGAGGCCCGATTTAGGAATTTGGATTGGGGCGTTGGATTGTAATGATGACTATGTGGTGAGAAACATCGCTTCTTGACTATGACGTGTTTATGCGAAAATATTTTTATTGTTTTAAGGTCTGCGGTGGAGGACCAAGGCTTACCCTTTACCATTACAGGTTTCTATCAAACTCTATGATATTCCCAATAGACGATAAAGGCATACATGTGGCGGATATTTACAAAGACAAGGTGTTTGCAGGCGGTCGAGCGAAGTTCTTCTATCAATCGAGTTTTAACGGCGATATCGTCAGCGAAATACCTACTAGCGGAGCGACCGCTTACACTGTAGTGAGACAAGAGGAACCTTTTAAAGTAATGTGCATTGCAGGATCCAGTCCCAAAATTGATGTGTGCTGCAATTTCATGTATAAGGACCAACAATTATTTCTGTATTAATAACATTTTTTAGAAATATAAACAAAGAAATACAATGTTCTTGTTTTGTGGTAGATGATAATAATATGTCTTAAAAAGAAAAAAATATTTTATTAATATTTTATACAAAAACGTTGTAAATTCTTACAGAAGTATCTGAACTGCAACTAGCCAGCTGAAGAATGTTATCTTCGTTATTGTTTTTGTAACCAGCTCTTCCAAATCTAGGCCGAAATTCTAATTTTCGAACTGTCAAATGGTGGGCGTCACTAGAAACCAAAAAAAAAAGGTTAAACTACTATAGCTGCGCTTTAATTCTTGTACAAAAATGCAGTAATACTATCCTTGTGATTATAAACTGATGAAAACCATCAGCTCACAGCCGCCATCAAACTATTATTATAAAACATTAAACACAACCTCCAGTGAGTTAACAGATATATATTCCAGTTTTTAAAATATTTGGAAATTACTTTTTAACAGTAAAATGTTTAATTTTTTAATAATAACTATTTTTTTCAGTTTTTAACGACAGTAACTGTTAATAATATAAAACAATATTTAGTTAAATCTACCTAGTGGCAGTGAGATGTTTGGTGGCACAGTCGTCTAGTTGGGCAGATGCGGGGTCAAAGCAGGATCCAGATTCACTCATTATGTTTTATTATGTATTTTCAATAACATCACGTACGATGGTACAGTTTGGCCAAATATATTTTTAATCATGGTTATTTCCTTATGATTTCTGTTTCTATAAATGTCAGGTTTGTCAATTTCCAATACTTTAAACTTATCACCATATCACGCGGTGTCATCACACCCACTAATATCAAAATAAAACAAAAAATGGTAATAAATAAATCTATTATAGTCGCCAAAAAAAAAAAACCCGGAAACTAAAATCGATTGTCCATGCTCAAATAGAAAATTTGGCATAATACTGTTCTGTTTTGTGCTTTATTTTTAAAAGGCGACTGAAACGATATATGGCAGTGCCGAAAGATTTAACAAGGAGGTACATTTGATTTTGGCTGCAAAATTTAAATTAAGAAATTTCAATGCATTAAAAATTTAGTTGATTCAGACTTTAATAGTATTATAATAAACTAAATTGAACATTACCTAGTAGATAATCGTAAGACGAGGGTAAATTGGAAATTTCGCCAATTAAGCACTTGTACTTCGCCACTGTCGAACCCAACTGCTACCAGGTAAGCGGCATGCACGAAGTTAGGTCCGAACGCGACGGCAGTGACTGATTCGCGAACAAACTGCAAGGGTTCACATGCGACCTCATACCTGCCTAACGGCAGCGACGGCTCCATTGTTAAATTTTCGTGCCATACAACCAATTTCCCATCCCTCGAACCTAAACACAAAAGAAATTAGGCAAGCCCATTCCACCCCGCTAAATATAGACGAATAGGGGCAAGATCTAGGCCAAAAATCTAGTCTCAATAATTTTATTAAAGAAAAATTGGTAAAATACGGAAACAGTAGATAATGAAGAACACACTTTCAAAGCATTTTTTTTTTCAATTTTTTTTCACCTAGATTTCAGTCGATAGTGTAATCTGTAGTAAATTAAAATAAATTCGAAAATAGGACACATGAAACTTCCCACCTCATCACCCCAATCAATCTAAAATTCTAGTTCTATGGTAATTAATAAATAAAAATAAATAATCAAATCTTGTGACTCCCTCCTCCCAATTATAATTTCGAACGATATGAAAACAGCAATTTTAGATGACCATTAAAAAATGTTTATTTTACAAAAACTGATTTGATAATTGATGAAGAAATCTTGCTGCTTGGCTGCTGAACACCTATCTATTTCTATAATTGAAATAAACTAAAATTACTTATTTAAGCTAATCATTTTCCGCCTCGTTGCTGTCATTTTTTTTGTGGTTACCCGAGGAAAATTAAAACTTATCGGACACTGTAAGAATTATTTTTCATATTCGCAATTAAAGGAGGGGGTAACACAAGGTCACCAAATATGTTATCCAAATTTTATTTTATAGAAAATTTTCTAGCATACGATATGATTGCAGAGCTACGAAAAAGAATTTTATGGACTATAAAAAAATATGGTTTGGGAAATTCAAAATAAATAAGAACTAAAAGTTCAGATTTTCACGAAATTATATATTTTGACATGACAATTGTTTCGACAATTTTAATAATATATTTTTTTATTTATTTATTTATTTTTTTTTTTGATAAAGTTGTCGAAACAATTGTCGTGTCAAAATATATAATTTCGTGAAAATTTGAACTTTTAGTTCTTATTTATTTTGATAAATGGATTTTCATAAAGTAAAAACCACCTCAGTTCAATGTTTGGAAAATTGTTCAGAATATTAGCAAGACTTCATAAATACTGTTTTTCTTGCAAAAATATCCGAAATTTCAACCAAATTCAGGTCGTTTTATTTTGCGCTACTTTTTCCTAGTTTACCACAAAATAAAATAATTATTGGTGAATTTGTATCGAACTCATAAACATAACTTATACTAGCAAAATCTGCAATTTCGATGTTTTCAAAATTGTTTTTTATTCAAAATTTCGCAAAAAAGAAAAAAGTGCAAAAAAATGCAAGGCCGCAGGATCTTTTAATCCAAAAAATTGTAACTATATTAAAATCAAATTCTATGTTACTATACTACTATACGTAAGGTTACTCTATATAGATTTTTAGAATCTATTACCACTACATATTTCTAAAAATATTTGGAATAGTCTAGTAACTAGGGCAGTGTATGACAGCTAGGTAACCAGATAATTAAGCGCTAATAGGCCTGAAATTCTAGCGTTTCTGATTTTCCTTCATTTCCTACCAGTGGCAAAATATTGGGAGTCATGGGTCCACGCACACGTCCAGATAATCCTTGTGTGAATTGAATTATTCTTATCGGTAGTGCTAATCAATTCAAACGCGTTCTCGTCGTTTCTGAAAAATATCGTCCAGCGACGATCGCGTGATACAGAAAGAAGACGTTTGGAATCTGGGGAAAACTTCATCTGAACTACTGTGAGGTGATGCGACATCAGTTTTTGGGTCTGCTGCCACTTGGTAGTATCCCTGAATCGAAATAGCGATAAGTTCACTTTTGGAACAATGCTAGAAAAAATTTACCATATAAATATGGCAGCGTGTTGGGTTTGTGTGGCTCTGCACGCCGACGCCAAATATTTACCGTCCGGAGAGGCAGCCAGAGCAAATATTTCATAACCATGGCCATACAACTTTTGGGTCTCGGGCCACAAAGTATTCTGCAGTAAAGTCTCCTCTGTAGGTGGCTCTAAAATACAACAACGACATCTTGAAACCTCTAAATATATAATTCACGATTGTTATTTACCAGTTAAAAGCTGAGCCTTGAAATGAGACTCCTCTGGATAAGGATTCTTTTTATCAACTGGAGTTGCATCATTAAGATTATCCTCATTGTATACCGCTTTATTTGACAAACCGAGCGAAGGCACTGAAGCGCCTTTCGGAACCCAATTTGAAGCTATAAGCAAACATGAACACAAACTGATGCAGAATAAGTGACATGCCAATTTCTCAGAGCTTCTGTAGCAAGTGACAGTGAGGTGCGATACACATTGTAAGAAAAGTACTACAGCAGAATGCTGTGATGACAACCCCAAGAACAAAAAAAAAATCTTTGATATTTATATAATAATAATAATAATAATCTTAATTATACCAATCCTATAATTGAAAAAAAAAGAACGAGAAAGAAAATGTTAAGACTTGTCAGTCCGGATAACTCGATGCCAATCGAAGTTGCCGAAGTAACGCCTGGAAACCATCATAACATAAAACACAGTGCAATGATAGTTTGCTGAAGGTAGCACACATATTGTAAATAGGACATGAAAACGTAAACGTTCCAGAAGAAACGGACAATCGACTCATTAATGAACTAACTTGTGGAGAAATGAAACAGATTGCAAGTCTCTGCGCAAGCTCAGAGACAGTACAGCGAATCTTCCCAGCAAAAGATCATGATCAACCCCCCTCTCTGGATAGCAACCTTAATAAGCCTATAATACTGTAATTACTTTGAGCGCTAATGTCCATAGGACAATAGGGTCAAAGTTTGCCGCTTCACGGTAATTAACTATTTCAAGTTATTGCAAAGAAATCAGGGTGTCTGGTAACTTTAGCTTTGTATAAGGCCGGTAGAAGTTCATACGCATCAGGCGGCAGTGAGAGAATATGAATTTATAATTACACTAATTACAGTAGACGCTCTATAAAGTTACGTCAAATTAGTTCCCCACTCTAACTGGCTATTGGCTACAAATCTCTTAATCACGCCTCTGAATGTCCGCTTTTAAAAGTTACGCTACCCCCGAAAGCGTAACTTTATAAAGCGTCTACCGTAAATATTTTTTAGGGGGACAACTCAATAATTAAGGCGATTTTAGGGGCTTTTGACACAAACTTTAGGGGATAAATATTTTTGAGAGTTGGTGACACTGGTCCGAGAGCACTTCATTTGGTGCCCAACGTGGGGCACGAGTGGTTAAATGAAGCCATTTGAAAGAAAGCTGTGACTACATTTTATACACCATCGTTTTCGTTCCGGCACGAATCCTCATAGCCGTTGAGCAGCGACAGCGTCATAGCGCATATCAAAGGCACGGCTGTCGACGCGACTTGAAGTTTAGACAGAGAGGTGAGACGGCTGCGTGAACCGTTGGGACTGGTGCGTTTATTTCTGCGAAATTAATTTAAACGATTTCTTGCTTGCTCGGAGTTATAAACTTGATCCGCCGTTGAAAATTGTGTACCTATACGTCGATATTTATATATATCAACCTGTTTCTTTCTTAGCATTGATTTTTATATTGTTTACTTGTACTACTGTTACTAGTACTTTAAAATCGAGTTTGGAGGATGTAAACAAATGCAAGTTAGTATGGCACAGTTGGCCGACATGGTGGCCATTTCTGTTAAAAAATCGCAAAGTGTGACTAACGACAAACATATATCTTTATGGCGTGAATTGGTGGGGTTCGATCTTTACATTTTATCCGGGCGGTAGCGTGCATCCAATAATTTTTTTGAAAAAATTAACGCAATTTTTGGACGATGCAAAAGTTAAACAGGAAAGTAAGATTTCTTTGGCTCTGACGACCTTGCGGGGTTCCGCGGTAAATTGGGTGCTCGCTAAGGAAAGTTCATTTAAAAATTGGACAAATTTTAGTGGCTGTTTTAAAAATAAATATTGGGGAATAAATCAAGAACGTGAGTTATTCTTCGAAATTAACTATGGCGTGTTCAGATCAGGTAACCGAGCCGATTATTTTTTGAAAAAGGTAGCACAAGCCGCGTTTTTAACTGAAAACCTACGCGAAGGCCAACTAGTGGAATATCTCGAAAAACATTTTTCACCCGATATACAAAGAAGGATATTTATTGCGGGTTGAAAAACAATAGATAAAGTCGAATGCTATTTAAGGAAATTAGATGATACGTTTAAAGTTAAAGTTACAGGGGTGTAATAAAAATTTACCAGTATTACCAATCTCTAATATGAACATTTCTGCTGCTTTTGGGGGGAAAACTATTAAGGTAAAAGTTCAGGTTTTACTTCCAGTTCAAATTGTAAAAGAAAAATTTGACATTTCTTGTATAGTAGTAAATTTAGTCAAATTTTCTCTGAAACGCCCAGACTACCAACGAAATATGAACACGAAATAAAAATGCGCGAATCCACGTCATTTTTTTAAGCTTCGTACCGCGCTGAGCCGAAACGTCAAATTGATGAAATGGTAGAAATGGGTATTATAGAACGGGGACAAACAGAATATGTATAGCCTTTAACGGTTGTGTCAAAAATGAACAAATCTATTCGGATATGTTTAGATTCTCGATTTTTAAACAGCAAAATGGAAAAATTTCACATTCTTCCCGCCGCGATTGCACGAATTGTTGTCACGTTTTCAAAGTGGGTTATTTTTATCGACTTTAGACATGACGGCTTCTTGTTGGCAAGTACCAATTCGTAAGGAACATCGTTGTGTTACCGGATTTTTATTTAATAAACAAACATACTATTTTGTCCAAATTACTCGGACCCGAAGCGTTATCTTTTACCCATGTTTATGTTGATGACATTTTAATATTTTCACCAGCTACTGAAACTCATTTAAAACCCTTATCTGTTATTTTTGAGAAACTTTATGACTCTAATTTGATAATTAAGTTGCTAAAATCCGCATTCGCTAAATCTAATACTACATTTGTCGGACATATAATTTCGCCTCAAGGTATCCAAATCGAATAGAGGCTATTAAAAATTTTCCAAAGCCGCGAAATATGCGGGAACTTGGGGGTTTTCTCGGGTTAGTAAACTATGATCGTAGGTTTTGTGAAAATTTTGCCGATTTAACAGTTCCGCTTGTAAAATTGTTACGCAAAAACACTTAATGGTTTTGGATTAATGAACAAGATGCCGTTTTTAATCAAGCAGAAATATTTAAACGTGACTATGGTGAATCACCCCAATTTCAAAAAAGCATATTTAAACCGATGCCTGAACCAAATTTACTACATTAGCCACTTAGAATTTAAGTATTTAAATCGGTTAGTGATTAGGGTAGACGGCCGGAAGACGCGTAACAGGACGGTGTTCCTGGGGACAAAGGAAGTGCTGCGATTATTATTGTTTGTTTGAAGATTGTAGTGTAACTTTCAGTAAGTTTGGTAGTGCATTATTTACCGCCGCAGAACCCACGACACACTCTCGGACGTCCGAGAGCACTTCAACCATTCCAAAATGGTATAATTATTTTTATTTGCTTTTTCTATGTGTATTTAATTAAATTATTTTCAATAGAATAGTACAATGTGCTGATTTTCCCTTAGGTTGAAGACTATGTAGTCTTGTCAGCATTAATTTTTAACTTAATGCAAAATAACGGTTCAGAAAATAGGCACTACATACTATAAATAGGGACTATATACAATAAAACTTTGTAATTCACCAATGCAACACGGCGACATAACAGCTACAAAAGCGATAGGTACTCCTTACACTGGTGGGTTCATTAAGTGTGTTTTAACCTATTAGTGTATATTACCCTGGATCCCTTTTTTTTATAAAGTTTATTCATTAAGTTTTATTGGTCTAGTATTTATATCAAATGCTTTAGTAAGTCATTGAAAATTGACAATTGAGGGAATTACCCTTATTGACATTGAATTTGAGCTATGTTTTGGAAAAATAGATAAAATAATTAATTTGTTGAAAAGTGCTATTTTTACATTATTACTTGAGTATAATCTTTTAAGTATATGTTATAGAGCCCACATTAAAAAATTGAACCTTATTTTGAGCTTACCATAACTTCCATTGTTGGAAGTCCCTTCATTCATAGCACATAATCTGCCCAAATTCTCTATAAATGTTGCTGGAGCATTGAATACCCTGATAACTTTTTCTTCAGCGCCTGACGCGAATTTGTAACCAGAAAACACAGCCAGCGAACTCATATTGTAACCATGTACCTGAGGCCTAGCTAACTCATGCCAGGTACCCTAAATTAAATCTATACTTGAAGTACTAAACGTGCAGGCATTATTCAGAAAATTACTTGTTTTCCTTCCCTCGACCACGGAACATGAATCCTGGTTGTTTGATCAGCGCTGATGGAAAAAATAAATCCACCATTCGGTTCCCATTGCAAATCACTTACTTCATTGAAGTGCCCTCCAATTGTAACAGAGGGCTTCCACTCTTCATTTTGAACTTTGCTCCAGATGTGGAAGGCTCCGTGATAACTATGGGCCACAATGCTGTCACCCGCTGCACCAAAGAAACCTCCATAGAAACCCAAGGTGTTTCCACCTACTTCACCTACCCTAACTTTTTCAGTCCAAAGTCCTATTAAAGATTTTTCGAAGTAAAGAAAGTATACAAAATATATTTTATTGGAAGTTTTACAAACCTAACAGATCATCAAATTCCCATATAATCATTGTCTTATCAATAGATGCTGACAAAAGCTGTAAGCTGTTTGGACTCCAATTTACAGAATACACCCAGCCTTCATGCCCAGCCAAAACCGATTCTAACAAAATGTTATATGCTCGCGCAGCTGATTTAATTTGCACCTTGCTCTGATCCTTCTTAGCATCTTCATTACCATTCACTCCCCTGTATGTGATTCTCCACAGCCTAATAAATGAATCTTGTGATCCAGAGGCCAGTAAAATATCTCCATGCCCTAAGATAGGTAGATATCTATATCATTGCTTGGATATGACTAAGAGCTTGGTTGCTTACTGTCAACAGCAAAATCAAGACCTCTAACCCAATCATCATGCCCAGTAAGTACAGAAGTTTGTTCAAACACTTTTAAATCGTCCTGGATAAAGATGTGTATTTTTGAATTATCAGTTGCACAAGCCATTAACAATTCATTGGTAACTGGTATAGTGAACAGCCTTAAACCCACACACAAGCTGTAATCACCAAAACTGAGTTCTTGAATGAGGTTAAATTCTAAAAATAATAGCTTTACACCAAATGGTTGTATAATATACAGACTACTTTACTGTCGTGAATCCTGAGCCAAACTTTAACTGTATTTTTATCCATAGAACAGCTACAAATAATTGTCATTCCATTTTTATAGACCCCATCTACAATGTTGACACCGAGACTATTTCCTAGTAAAATAGTTGATTCAAATTTATCAGATTTCTGTGTCCATACAACAACTGTGCCATCAGAAGCTCCCGAAACAATTTCATTTTTGATACAGTTTCCTTTTATCCAGCGTACAGAATTTACACGCTTCTTGTGGCCTAACAGTGTGTGTGTTATTTTTCCTCCGCTTCCAAACTGAATAAAAATAATAAAATTGTTGTATTAAAACCATCCTATTAATCAAAACTGTGACAAAACATGCGCGCAGAGGGTCACTTTTTACACAATTTAAAATAAATTTGGAGACTGCGTATTTTTTTATTATATTAGATCATACAAACCAACTTTTGCTGAAAGCAAAGCTAAACTTACATGTGGATCGTAAATAAGAACAGCGTTTGAAGAACCAAAGGCAATTATATCATTTAAATTCGAGTCAGCTACAGTGGGCGTTTGATTACAATTAGTTGAAATATAGCAATTTTCAAAGTACATTTTCATGTTCTCTCAAATTATTTGCTTGCAATATAACATTTAAATTAAAAACTCTAAATATACATAACCCAAAAGTTCTTCTTTTCTTTAAAGTTTTCTGTATGAAGCGTCGTAGGTCTTATTTTCCAATTTATCAAATTGGCTCTGAACAATATTTGTACTACTACACATTATTTGTGCTTTTTTATGCTCTTATTGCAGTAAATTTGGCTTAAAATTCAAATTTCTTACAGAACAATGTGACTCCTTTCATAACTTTTGATCGGTGGTCGAAGTACGTCACTCGTCCTTCTTGCGCTAATCGCTTATATTCTCTTGATACATCTGTGATTTATGGAAAGAGGCCCTAACATACTTCAAACAGTAAAGGAAAAGAAGACGAAGATGTGCTTGTTTATGGTGTGTGGTTAATATTTACAAGGAATTTATTAGTTATTGTATTATGACAAATTTCATGATGGATTACGAATTCAAAATGAAAACCCAAAACGAGAGAGTAAAAGTTGAAGACTTATTCGACTATGAAGGGTGCAAGGTGGGTAGAGGCACATATGGACACGTTTATAAAGGCAGAAGAAAAGATAGCTCCGATAATAGAGACTATGCACTAAAACAAATAGAGGGAACTGGCTTGTCGATGTCCGCTTGCCGAGAAATTGCTCTTCTTCGAGAGCTCAAACATCCAAATGTAATTAATTTGGTAAAAGTATTTTTATCACATAATGATCGCAAAGTATGGCTAATGTTTGACTTTGCTGAACATGATCTTTGGCACATTATAAAATTTCATAGGGCTGCAAAAGCTAATAAAAAACCTGTAATGGTACCCAAAGGTATGGTAAAATCTCTATTATATCAAATACTGGATGGTATTCATTACTTGCATTCCAACTGGGTGCTGCATAGAGATCTGAAACCTGCAAATATTTTGGTTATGGGTGAAGGACCAGAAAGAGGTAGAGTAAAAATTGCTGACATGGGATTTGCAAGATTATTTAATGCACCATTAAAGCCTCTTGCAGATTTAGATCCAGTTGTTGTTACATTTTGGTACCGAGCCCCAGAATTACTTTTAGGAGCAAGACATTATACAAAAGCTATAGATATCTGGGCAATTGGGTGCATATTTGCTGAACTTTTAACTTCTGAACCTATATTTCATTGTCGTCAAGAAGATATTAAAACTAGTAATCCTTATCATCATGATCAACTTGATAGGATATTTAATGTCATGGGTTTCCCTCATGAAAAAGATTGGGAAGATATTAAGAAAATGCCAGAGCATCCAACATTGTTAAAAGATTTTAAAAAGTCAAACTATGTCAATTGCTCATTAATGAAATATATGGATAGACATAAAATAAAACCTGATAGTAAAGCATTTCATTTATTACAAAAACTGCTTCTAATGGATCCAAATAAACGTATAACTTCTGAATTAGCAATGCAAGATCCTTACTTTCTCGAGGAACCAGTACCTACACAAGATGTTTTTGCAGGGTGCCCTATTCCATATCCAAAAAGGGAGTTTTTAACAGATGATGACCAAGAAGAAAAATCTGACAATAAACAAAGACAAACACAACAGGTAAATTGTATGTAGTTGATAGAAATCTCACAATTGAAAATGACTTAAAATATATCTAGAATTTTCCGGGATATCCAAAAAACCAATAATATATACTGCAGTTTGATTAAAATTTTTGTTCTTATAGTTTTCTAATAACAAATCGACGATTTTTTCGGTGGAACACCCTGCAAATATTCATCCAAGATAGAAAACAATTTATAACAATATACAAAATTTTATTTTTTTTAGGAAACATTTAAGTGATGGGTGTTTCATGATTAAGCTGCCAATACTACTTCAGCATTAATAGAATCCAGTACCATTTTTCACATTAAAAAATCCATAATTTGTACATTTTCTAGAAAAAGCAATAAGGGTTAATTAACAAAAAAATGGGGCAGTTGAATGGTCTGTTATTCATGTGAATAAAATTTTAAATGTCTCTTTCCAAACTTCATATGTCAATTTATTAAACGTCAAAATTAGAAAAATGATGATTGATGTTTTCAGCAACAATCACAGCAACAGCAGCAACAACAACAGCAACCATCTCAACAACAGCAACAATCAAATCAAAATGATAATCACAATCCTGCAAAAAGGGTGAGATTAACTGGGCCTGGGGGTCATCCAGGGCAGGTGAATTCGCAAACAATTCCTATTTCCCAACAACAGCAAGAGTTTCATCAGCAACAAATCATGTATAGTAATGCTCAGCAACAACAAAATTTTGCTCAAAGATTTTAATTTTTGTATGTTTTTGTAATTGTTGTTAATGTTACTATTTATGTGCAAAAATTCTTGAGTTTCGTGTTGTGTTGTAAAACAAAAAGCATGAATTTTAAATTGGTTTCGCTTTTAAATTTTTGTCTTGTTTCTATATGAAGTGTAAAGATTGTTATGACCTTGAAAATTGTATAAAAAGTCGAAAACCAAGTGACAAATGTAAGAGCTTTCAAGTTGGTGGTCCCGCAAGCGGGTTATGGATCTCAACATTAAAATTAAAACTGTTGTAATTTGATGGAATAAAATAAAAACTAAGTAAAAATAGTATTCATATATACATATATATATATATATATATATATATATATATATATATATATATATATATATATATATATATATATATATATATATATATATATATGCTCGCGCTCCTAAAACACTTCGAAAACTCGATTCTAACATCATTGCCGACTGTAAGATCTCTATCATTATGTTCTATACAGGACAACCCCATATACGGGGTTAGTAATTGCAACATAGGGGCATTTTTAACCAAATTTTTGAGATGAGAAAAAAAACGCTAATATTGGTTTTTCTTCTGCTTAAATTTCTAGATTTGTTCTCGAGCTTTCCTGATAGTTGCAGACCTCTTGCCCAATAACGTCTATTACCTTGCTTATATTTGTAGCATGAATGCCAATACCGTGTAAATAAATGGGTCTCGAGATTCCCACGTTCTGCTTCCAACGCTGCGCGAAATGAAAGAAGCAACTTAGATTATTTTTTAAATTAACTAAAATCGTTCGGATTTGTTAAACGCGAGGGTGAAATTAAATAATTCACTTTGCGTAAAACTTAAACCAAACAAAAAATGTATTCCCTTCAAAATAATAACTCAAGAATGTAAATGCACACTTCTATTCTACTCTATCCTCTCACACTGTATTTCCTGTAAAATTTTCTGAAGTCTATTGGATTTGTTTATTGAAGTGCGGCTGATCTCGGAATTATATTAAATGTTTAATGTTCTTTAACTTGAAGTATGCTAGTGTAATGTAATGTTGTGTTTTATGTAGGTCTGATAGAAAGATTATAAGTTTCTGACCAACCAAAATTAATTTTGAGTGTTACTCATAGAGACGATAAGTTGATCTCTATTTTGCCTTGTTAGGAACGGACGGATCTAATAAAGAATCACCTTTTCCATTCTTTACTCTAAAATACTGTTGTTTTTAAATTCACTAAAATTAAACTCTCCGCGTAAAACTTAATGGAACTTAAAATTTATTCAGTCAAAAAGATAACAAAGTTACTAACTATTTAAACAACAAGAAGAAAATGAAACCTTTAATTAACAAACACAATATTTAATGGCGATATGTATAAAATGTATACGACATAAGCCGACCGCCGAGAAGTTGTTTTCATCGCTTGCCGCTTTGTCCTTGTCATTCGTCTCCCTTTTCTTATCACCGCTCTGCTGTTCACTACACGCTACTAATAACTTATATAACGTCTCTATTTATATCCGTTGAATATTTCCACGTCGCCCGATTTCTTATTCCAATTTGACTGACTGGCAAGCAGGTGAGAGGGTGCTTCTTTTTATAGAACGTACAGCCTGTTAACGATAGGGGTGGAACATTCCAGATTTGCTCCGATTTCTGAGTAAGCCAGGGTTCTTGGACCGCAAACGGTCGCCTTACTCGTAACAATACCCAATTATGCACCAACGAATGTAAATAAACCGTGAAATGCTCAGCTGGTGTATATAAAAAATATCTTGGACGTTTAAAAATCATCAAAACGCGTTTTGTACAATAATTTATCCTGAAACTAATCTGCACTACTTATTTGTTATTTAATGAAATGAGGTACCAATATTCTGAAATAAAAAAACGAAATTGCAATTCAATAAATCCTCTATTTTTTGCAAAAAAATGGGTACTATTAAATAACCCATGTAAAAAAATACAGTAAGTAAACTTTGTATTTTAATTTATAAACGTAATTAAGAGTCCAATAATTCCTTTTTTAACGCTTCTAATTCTTTGATGCGCCAATTGGTAACATTTAGTCTTTCTACCAGATCGTCACACATTGGCCTTGAAACTTTTGATACAATATGAACTAATGCTACCGTTTTAAACGCATCATTGTGTAATCTTGCAACAGGGTCGATTGTCTCATTATCTTTGACACTATGGCTTTCTACTTCCTCTTGAACTAATATTTTTGGTAAATTAGCAATACCTGCAAAAATCAAATAAAGCAAAATTAGCAATTAATTAATCTGTCCATAAACCATAATATTGTAGCCGAAACAATAGGAATTTAATTAATTTAATTAAATACATTAATTTTTCGTGAAATTTTAAGCAAGCAAAATGGACAGCTTGACAACCACAATGCGGCCCATATTGTTCCAAAATGCAAAACTGTCAAATAATAGAAAATAAGAATCTCATGCTGTAATTCAAGTTTAAAATTGAACCTAAAATTAACAGAATGGTTAATAACATGAATGGAACTCAACGTGATAAAAGTTGTTTTATAAACATAAACGATTTTGACCAGCGCGAGAAACCTGCCAAAAATCTTAGACAATATCTTGTGTAAGGTTTTTATAAAAAAATAACAAATAAATTGCAAAAGTAAGAAAAAAGACAGAGTAAAGCGCATTTATCTTTTGCATTAAAAACTTATCATATTGTTAAAGTCTGGTCTAAGCCTAATGTGTATATCAGAGGTATAGTACAATATAGGTAAGCGTAAATAAAGAAAGACAATAAACTGTTAATGATACAATTTGAACAAGTAAAATTTACATTTTCTTAGGTACAATTTTCAATGGCATATAGCGTCAATACCTTGCATACAATTATGAAAAAAAATTATGGGTTACTTTGCAGCGATAAAAGTTACTACATTAAATAAATCGTGCCTCTTTTATGCTGGTTTCTTTTTTGAACTAAACCTGTCCAACCCATAGAATTCCATATTGTATGGACGGCATATATTTGCCAAGCAGCAGCTAATTGGATAATGGAAAAAATCAGAAGGAAAATAATTCTGCCTGTAGAACCGCATACAAAAGAAATACAAAAAAATAAACCACCACAAAAGGAATTAAATTAAGTGGATCATTATATTTTCTTGAATAACATTTATACATATTTCAGATATCCCATGCTGTAATTGGTTTTTGATGTAAATAATAGATTAGTATCGACTACAACTTCTGTGGAATTACCTTCTAGATTATATCCCTGCAGTGGAGAATTTTCTATTATTAATTGAACTTCACGCCTCTCTAGTTCAGAATTGCGTTGATGAGCTTGAAAACAAGTCAGTTGTATTTGGTTGCTCCTAATTCTTTGATCTGTGTGATATACCGAAAATATCAAACCCACAAACAGTGGATCCATCATTTGATATGTTGACTGCGTTCTAATATCTAAAAAAATATCAAGACAAGGTATCTTAAACACAACTGTTGTGATAACAATACTAATAATAATAATGTTTATTATTAATGGTAAAAATTCCAAATACCTTATTGGCTTATATTAACGATAGGATGTTTCAGAATAAGGAAAGTTCTGTTCTACCTACGCGGCGAAACTAACAAAAACTAATTGAACTAAATTTCTAAAATTGGAGTTAACATTAATAAATTAAATAGCTACATAATGAACAAAAAGAAAATAATAGGGAGTTGTTAAACCAAAAACGTGAATTTAAGATTAATAAATTTCAACACCCTGTACGTTTGCACATGATACCCAGGACAGTGGGTTCGATGGCAATCTTGCAGTCAGTTAATCCTGATTTATGGTTTCAGGAACATTACCAGTAAGACTTAACGCACGAAAAAGGAAAAATTCGGCTTCCGGTAATACTATTCTATTATTATAATAGCCAGCTAGAACTTATCTGTATGAATGGGTAAAGGTGATGATTCACAGTTAAACATTACATACAATCGATTGTTGATATGAAATCATATAATCTAATAAGTGAATGTGGACCCCATCCCAGTGTTAAAATGATTTTGTTTGGTTTAAACCTGATCAAAACAGGACTATTTTTTCGTAACCTTATCAGACACATGACTATGACCAAACCGGGGATATCGCTTAAACGTTTCGGTAAGTTCTTACATATAAGATTGCACCATAAACAATCTAACAAATGAAGAAAAAAAATTTTACCTTAGTAAGCCGGACAATAAAACGCTTCATGAGAAAACTATAAAATTTTTCCTATCTTGGTAAATTTAACGCGACATAAAGATTGCTGTATTCTTTTTATTTTATTTAATCGTATGTTTATCCTTCAAGGGGCAGACAGGTGCTCAATAACTTTTTGCTATTAGAAAAATGCAATATTGATCTACATTTTAGACAAAGGGCAAGTTAAACCATTTTTATAACATTGGAATAATTTTCTTAAGTTTTTATTTATTAATATGTACCCTATTATTTGTAAATTTATTTGTCTATTAAAATAAAACAACCAAAAATTAGGACAAAAGGCAAATCATAGCTATAGAAGAGAGATTCCCCAACAAATTAGAAAAGGAAACCTAGCCAATTCCAATAAGACATCTTTGTACAATAAATGAGTACTTGTATTGAAGTGCTCTCCTTTAATAACTTTATGAGCACCATTACACTGAACGTACAAGATCCAACAGAATCTACCAAATAACTCTTTTGTTTTTTTTTTGCAGTAAATCAGGCATTTGATTTAATATTCCCTTTATTGTCAATTATCAATCATCTTCAATCCTTTTAAAATGATTTTGTAGAAATATATACACAAATTTTGTACCGTGAAGCATTGAAAAATCGGTTGAATTCAAAAATCATTTCTGTGTAAAGGTATGCTTTTCTACAATTACATCTGATATCCCTAAATATGTTATAAAAATATTATATAGTTTTAATAATTACGGGGGGCAATGATAACACACATAAAACATGATATCCAATTATTAAAAAATTCTAAATTACACTTACGATGCCTCTTGCTTAATTCACAATACTTAATTTACTTTAACTTACTTGATTAAAATTCTACCTACTAATTGTACAAAAGTTATGAAATAGAGTGTAACTAATACCCTCCAAATATTATATGAAGAACCATAATGTAATCCAATAAAAAACAGAATGACCAGTAGAAAAATCACAATTTTGAGAACTATACTTAAACACCTTGTATTTGATTTTACTAAGGCTTATTTGGCTCAAAATCCCTATTTTCACAAGTTCAATACAATGTACTTACCAACATGACTTGGCCATACTGTAATATGTGGGTGAGAGTGATACCATCCAACAACTCTCATGGGCTTTTTTAGCGTTACTGCTAATTGTTCTGCATGCATTGAAGCACGACAAAGTTGTTCGGGTGAAATCTCCACTCGATCTGGCTGTTTGTCGCTACGATGCAGTATAACGCAAGCTGTTACCTGGGAGACACAAGCTTCTTCATCAACCTAATTGAATAAAAACGGTCTAAGGGAAAACATTACATGAAAGTAATAAATCCACCTCGCCAATCAACAATCCCATTATTTCTTGTTTTTCAGTGGTAAGTGCATGTTGAATACACACTGCGAATACATCCGATGACAGAATAACCTTTTTCAAATACTTATCAGGGACCATTTTCATTTAAACTAAAAAATAATTATAAAGGATAAACTTTTTTCATAACAATTTTTAACAAGCACAGACAACAGAATTTCATCTTCTTTTGTTGTTAATCGGCCAATCGCTAGGATCAATAGGATATCCTCCCCACAAAACGGACACTATAGATTCAACTCGTTATTTTAAAAAATTCCTTCCACCACTTCCACCAATACCTTTTAACACTTGAACTAACATGATTTGGATTTATTATAAATAATTTTAACTGATGCTAGTTGTAAACATTATTCTATTCTATTTTAAAGTTAGGACTATGGAGATTCGCGCCAATTACATTTTATGTAATATCGTACAGTCGTACGATGTTTCTGTCAAATAAAATAAAGGTTTATTATGGAGTGTCAACTTACTTTTTTTTTTACTCTCTCAAGTTATAAGTACATATAGATCATTCTATGGGTAGCATATTCTGATAAAGTTGAAAGGTGGTTCCCCTATTACGAGTATCAATATTTCAATGTTTTGCTAATAGTCACAAATAAACAAACAATAAGAATGTTTAAGTCTGCTGTGTCTATTTTGCAAGAGTTCTCGCAGTTGAAACATTTACCTTTTCCGGAATATAATACGTTAGATGTAATCGGCGAAAGCCCCAATCAATCCTTCAAGTGCGAAGTGAGAGTGGAGGATAAAGTGTTTGTGGGTGTGGGGCGAACCAAAAAGGATGCAAAGGCCAACTCTGCTGAAAATGCTTTAAGTTTTTTTAAAATTTCCAACTCAAATCCTAGGGTAGGGTAGATACATTTATAAGTCTGTTATGGGTTTGAGTGTGTTTGTGTTATTGTTTTTATATTTATCTAAACGAATTTGTTGGTTTAACACTAAACGCCAACTTTGTTTACAGTCCCACAACATTGATGAGAAGAAAGGCCCACAGATCAATTATGTAGGGCAATTAAATGAATTTTCTTCAATCAACAAGTTTCCACCACCCTCCTATCTTGATGACTTAGCTGTTGAAACACAGTTTTCTATCAAGTGCTGCTTTGCTGGTTTTAATTCACAAGGGTTGGGCTCTACAAAGAAGATTGCTAAGCAAAATGCAGCCAAAAGGATGATGAGTTTGTAAATAGGGTATATGTTTTCATTTATCATGCATTGACGAAATGCCATTGCAGAGTTACTGGAAACAAGCTTCAGCCATGTAAGGTTAACATTCCTATAAGAGAAGATGTTAAAATAGAAAACTATGAGAAAGTTATTTCCAAATATCTAGAACTTTCAAAAATAAGTACAAATAATAAAAAAAAAATGGAGAAGTCACTTGAGGAGGAGGTGATGCAATTTGCTGAAGTAAACTCCATAAATTTAAAAAAAAAATAACTATATGTAATTTTTTCTAAATTGCAGATTGAGATAAATACCTGGGATAAATTAACTGATGAATTGACTAAAAGAGGCTTTCCTCATGAACTTGAACTTATTCAGTCAAACCCCTTCATGTATTCATTGAAAATAAATGAAACGTACATCTTTAGTTTTGGTGATGCAAAGCAAAAAGCAATGCAGAGTCTTATTTGTCAGACGGTGGAGATGCTTTTAAATGGCTTTAAATTTACATTGTTCAATTCATTTAATTGAAGAAAATTGTAATAACTTGTAAAGTATTTAATAGATATATATTGACATGTATATAATTAAATAAATTTTATATATATACAAATATAGTTTTTATATTGATGTATATTAAATAGTGCTATTTGACTAGTTTTTGAACTCGAGCTGTAATTTTTAAATGTTTATATAATTTATGTAATTTAAACTGCTTTCATACATATTAAGAAACAAAATAAATGTTGCCTATATAGAGAATAAAACAAAAGCAATAAAATATTTCAGTTTGTTTTCCGTTATTTTCAATTGTACTTTAAGTTTAAAATGAAACACAAGTTAAGAAACTGAAAACCCACCATTGAGATATGCTTGTGTTTGAGATCCAAGGTGGTCATAAACTAAGATAAAAATATGCATATTTTATTGTCTAAACTTCAATAAATAAAACTATAAAATTTATAAATGAAATTAACAAAAATGAAATTTCCACAAAATTTTAGTTCTCAACCACTGAATCTAAAACTAAAAGCAACAAACATTAAAAAGCAAATACAATTTTTTACCACAATAATTACTAAAAGATTAAAAAATGAATATATAATATGTAAATATTTACTATCTCCATTGCGCGCCCACGTTCTAAAAACAAATTATAGCATATAAGTGGGTCAACAAATATTCGTCTATAAAAGATGAAAACAGAGTTGCACTGGTGAGTCACTTTTTTAATTTGGCTAATGGTGTTAAATTTTCGTTTTTTTTTCACATTTTGTTCATATTAAGGCGTAATTAAACTGATGGTGACGTAAAACTAATACTGAAACAAAATATTTCACGAGAATAAGCAATGGTGGTGATAGAGAAAATGCTCAGAACGAGTTTTTTTGAGTATTCGGATGTGTTAAACTCATGGTACCGAAATCACCGAAATCATTACATTAATACTGAAACAAATTATTGGGGTTGGACCTCCCCTTTCCCGGGTTTGAATGTTCCAACCCTGATGCGAACGGGCGCTGCACTTTATAAAAGCGGAGCGCCACGCTCGCTAGTCAGTGTGGCGAAAAGACAAACCGAAGCGGGCAATTATAAATAATCACTGGATATAAATTGTTACTGCAATTATTAGTACTGTATATAATAGTTATAACTTTTTTAACTTACGGGCTTATTTTTATTCATAAATATTGATCAATTGAGACCTTACGAGTTGTTTCCCAAATTCAAACCAACTGTAAAACATAACAATTTCAACCACTAACGCATTTATATTTAATCGAGCAAAAAACCACCACACGAATTTGCAATAGATGAATAACAGGAAAGCGTCAAAACGCAGCTGAAACTTTATGGAATAATGCGGCGGAAAATAAAACTCTAATTTATTTATAAAATTTTTCCATATCACATTCTTAAAGATCACCTTGCAGTTTGCAATTTTTCTTGCCATCAACTTTTCCAGCGAGCATATTCATAGGTAATAAAAAGTTTTATTTTTCTTGTTTTGCTAAAATTACAAATAATAAAAAGGATATAAACTTATCAGCATGTATTTAGAAGTTGGTTCTGTTGGCTCCAGTACAAATGTTTGCTTATAAAATATTGTAGACAGAAATACAAACTCGAAAAAAATGCAATCAACAAAAATTATCAACTGTAATGGCAAACTTTATATTTACTGCACCTGCAAATTTTAGTGATTTGTTAAAAATCCTTTGTCATGATTTGCTGGGTTCATCAATATTTGGTTATTCTAGTTTGTATCATCCAATATCCAGTTCTGATTTTGTTCAACTTCCTTAGTCACAATGACAAATAGTTCCTTGTCTTGAGACTTAAGCTGTTCCCGTATGAATTTGCACAAATCGTCTGCCTAGAAATAACCTCTCTTATACTTGTATACTATTCAATTATAGAACTTAAGAATAGCATAAATTAATAAATAAATAAATAAATAAATATATATATATATATATATATATATATATATATATATATATATATATATATATATATATATATATATATATATAATTAAATCAAAAAGTGACGTTACACATACCAAACTTTGTTCATCAAAATTTATCAAGTATAGGCCTTCGGTATGATGATGGATTGTATTTAGGGTAATAAGTAAGTACGAATGGAGGAATTATTTAAAGCAGGTAAAATATATGCTGAGCCTATCTTCTTTTAGTGTAATATATTTTGTCATTTTTGTTACACCACATAGTTACGTTATTAATAAAAAAGTATGTTTACCCCTATACTGATTATTTGTATTTGATTTTTTCACTAAATCACCAGCGAGAACAAATCGATAAATTTTGCCTGCATTAGCATTACCGATTTTCACCCATGTTTCTACAACAAAGACACAAAAAAAAATTATAGGGTAACACTCAACTTGCAACAACTACTTGATTTCTGTTGACCAAGAGTAAAATAAAAGAAGTAAAGCCAACTTTCACTATTAATAATGTCCTTATACATGCAAACACCTGCACAGTGCCGCTGAATCCATTATTTTGAAGCTTAATCGTTTCAATATTGCCGGACAAAGTTTTTTTTAAATACGCTTTGTTTAGTTACTGCTTCATGAGGCAATTCGGCCAGCTTACAACATAGTTATTACTTATAAACAAATTTCTAACGATTGCAACACCCAAGGCTCCCCCATAACCGCCGAACAAGATTATAAATAAAAGGAAAATTAGATCTTCTGAAGTTTACTCTATCCATGTGGGACGCTTCCTCTGATTCAGGGTCTTTAACATTGTGTAAAAATAATCTAAATTATGTGTTATTACAAACTGGGAACTTGAGTTAATTTCTTACACAGAATCCGAAACCTGAACAAATTAGTTTATTTGAATTGAATCGGATCCAAAAATATGCCATGGTGCACTTAAATTAATCGAGATGTTGTCACTTTCATGTAGATACGGCAACATCTATTTTTGAACCTTTGCATTTGTTAAAACAAGTAAAGATCGGGAACCATGATCAGTTAATTGATGACATTAATGGAATTTATTTGAAATTTGCATTGCAATTGCATTTACAACTAATGACGTCCCATCATTTTTTGATGATACTTGCTCCACATCTTCTACCACAGGTACAAACTAAGCACACCTAACATATATGTTGATTATTCGATACTCTCTTGTAATATAGAATTAATAAGGAGTAAATATCTACCCAAGATGTGACACTTTGTGAAAATTAAGGAATCTTTCATACATACTGCCAGAAAGTCTAATGAGCCTGGCTCGCCGATTTCTTTAATTCATTTTTGATATCTCTTTGAATTTATGAAATGAGTAAATGTGTCCGGTTTTACCGTCATAACCGAGTATTTTTAGCATATTAACCTTGAGCCTTAACCAATGAAAATGAGAAAAGTACCTCACATTCCCTACAAAGTCATTAATACAGACATAATACTAGGTCGCAAGTCGCTGGAAACTGACTATGCTTAATGACTTTAAGCTGAACACTTACAGTACCAATTAGTTCAGGGTAGTCCAATTTGGAATCTAAATTGTAATACTGCCCCATTATACTCCTTATTGCAATCCAATGCCTTCTTTTTAGGGGCAATGTAATAAAACTAATTTTATAGTCCATTGGTATGTTTAATATAAAACCACAAATATTGGTCCAGTTCAAGCAATTAGGATCTCTGAAAAATATAACTTGATGTTAACGACTTGGTAAAAATGAATAAAATAAATAAAAAAAAAGAAATAAAATAAAAAAAATAGATCACTTCAATATGCTGTTTGCTTAACTGTTAATCACTTGATCTAGTAACGAAATTTACGTCCTGAATGATTGACACCTAAGAAGCTGAGCTCCAGACTCGCTGGCGAGTTAGTCAAAAAGAGAAACCGGAGCGCGCAAATATAAATTGAGGGATATAAATATAGGCATTATATAAATTATTAGTCCCGTGTAAAATGTATGTATGTAAATATTTAGAATTTTTTTTTATTTTGACAAAATCTGTAATAAGTTCCATTAAGTTTTACGAGAAGTGACTTGTTTAATTTTATCATCCCGTTTGACGAACCAAAACGATTTAAACTCGTTTAAAAACCTAACAACATTATTGGTACAGGCTCCCAGAGGACGAGTTGACTATTCAGAGGTTAGAGAGACGGAAGGTCAGACTTGAAGGGTACCTCGCCTTCTATGGTTGGCACAAAAACTTTTTAAGTCGCTCATTTATTAAGCACCCGCTCGGCTCGCGACAAATAAACTCGTGATTCAAATACGGTATACCACATTCGCATAATATTGCATAATATATTAATTAAAATAAATATTCAATTTCTCACTGAAAAATCTGAGTTAACTGACTTTCACGGCCATTTTCGTTATAAATTATATGCTTGGTAAATACCATACATTTTCATTCAGCAATCGATAGAGTTAACTTTTTGGGGATATTTTGAGATAGTCCACATCCAAACTGAAAACTGCCGAATTAACAAAATGCCAGATTGCGTTGATTGTCAGTCTTATTTGTTGAAAGTGAGATTTCAAATGAAAGTATTATTGCTTAAAAACGTGTTTTTAAGTATTATTAGCACAGGCAAGGCTAGTAGCTATATGGTTTTGCACTATTAAACTTTTTGGGGACTGCTATGTATATTTCTTGTCTACTTACTTTCTTTTATCAAACCAAATGGCTTCAAATCCTCTAGATTCCAAAGCTTTGATTATAACATTAATATCGTAATTTCCAAAGCCCAACATAGATTTGTGAGGATTTATCCAATTTTCTGGAGACAAACGATAACATATTGAATCTAATTCAGTTTTCTCAAACGTGTTTTGCTGGAAAAGATTGTTGAGAGCATGTAATGCGCACAATTGGCGTACTTGTTTTTCGTGAAAAAGATCCTGCACACTCATTATAAATCATAATAAAAATGTTTATTTCAGAAAAAAATTAGATTCACAGTTTGACACAAAATTTATTTCAATTTTATACCACTGATAAAATACAGACCGCAGACTATTCATTTCAATTCAGGAATGCGTTTCATTAATCCAATTGGGTAAAACTGCTATGATCATTCGCCCATTGCCGACTTCTGTCGAGGATTTTCGGAACTTCTCCAGCGAAGGAAACTAAACTTTGAAGTTCTAAATGCCGAGGATTTTCGGATCTTCTCCAGCAAAGGAGACTAATCTTTGAAGTTCTGATATATATACATAATGATTAAACCCAAACCATAACATGAACTAGCAAATAAAAAAGCGGTTATAAGCAGATACAATATGCATCAAGAAATGTAACCACAACTCACGTCACGGCCGAATGATCCTAGCAGTCGTGGCCAACAGAAGTAAGAGAAGAAGAAGAACCACAACTCGTGCAATAAATTCCATAAATCAAGGGTGAAAAAGTGCAGAAAAGGCACTAATAGGAGCGGGTAAGCTGGAATCAATGAGTGACTCATACAAAATTTGGCAGTTATTCCGATGCAGAGCACAATCAAACAAAATATGTTGAATATCTCCCACCTCTCCACAAGCACACAGATTAGATGGTTTTACGTTTATCTTATAAAGATGTGCTGGGGAACTACAATGATTACTCCTCATCCTGCACACTGTTGTAATCTCCTGTCTGAAAAAACAAACACAAACTATTCAATTCAATCCAAAATCTTTCTTCCTATTCCACTCATTCATTCATTAGCTGTCCCGTCTTAACCATACACAAAGAGCTATTATAATATATCTTTTATTAGGTGGTGCTCTATATTTGAGCGATCACAGCTATTTGAACATGTTCTTGAACATTTTATTTAGGTTTTATTTGGTCACTCTGATGCAATTTCGACCAGCTTACAAGATTATTCGAAACATAAAATTGACTTTAAAACAAAAGAATCCATTTTTGGGGAGGTCCGTTCAAGATGCGCATGCACGAAATTTAAAATATCGTCTTTAACAGATGACCTTGAGGCATACAACGACTAGCATGACCGCTGACAGATCGTTTATCGTTTTTTTTTATTTTCGCTTAATTGGGTTCATCACAAATTAGGATATTCACCCATTTTCCGGCATCCACCGGGGAAAATTTACCGATACAAATCTCAGGACACAATCTCCAAGGGAATAGTATATTATGCAATAAGTGCGTTAAACGGCATTTGACTTACGAGTTTATTTGACACGAGCGGAGCGCAGCGGAGCGAGTGTTTAATAAAGGAGTGACTTAAAAAGTTTATCGAACGTGTTGTATTCTATACTTTTTCTACGACCGTCACGAAAAAATCACAATTTAACAAATTAAAAATAATAACAGATTATCGGATTATTAAATTTCGTACTATTCAAACAAAATATTTATTAATTGCCATTAAACCTATTCGTTTATTGTTCCGATTGGTTCTGCTATTGTTGTCTTTTTCTAACTATGTACGTTAGACAGAGAGAGATGTATTATTGGATATGTCATATAAACAATGGAGTAAACACAATCACACAAAATCATCTAAGGGTAGAGCTTTTAGGATTAAGTTTTCATGACCATATAAGCAAGAATAAGCAGGTCATAACTTTCAATTTTGTTTTCTTTGTACTGATGATAGATGGATATTTGAAAATCGTACATTTGGTCTTGGCAAGATATTGATATAAAAACTATAGAAACCACTAAAGTTGATGTAAACGGTATGTAAAATTTCTGTGGCATACTTGAATTATAAATGTGACTTTACTTACCGACTAATCTACTAGATTTTAATTGTAGCTTATAGCACGTAGTATTTAAATTGTCTGATTTTTGGGTACATTTTTGCAACACAACACGAATGCATTCACTGATATGACTGTCAGAATTGACAAACGCCAAAATTCAAACAGTGCGTTAAAATCTCCGATTGCTCCCAAACTCTTGCGGTATAATCCCGGAAATGTCCGAAGTGTCTCGGATCCGTTGCAAGGTGTGTAATTAGGCATTTTACAGACGGGAGTAGAAAAATAATATTACGTAAATTCAGAAATAGTATATTATACAACAAGGACGGTAAACATCACTTTGACACGAGCGGAGCGAATGTTCAATAAAGGAGTGATTTAAAAAGTTTTCCGAACGTGTTCATATTATACTTTTTCTACGACCATTAGTTTTTGGGTACATTTTCGCAAAACAACACGAATAAATTCAATGACATGACCGTCAGAATTGACAAACGTCAGAATTCAAGGCGTGGGAAATATCTCCGAAAACATCCGATTGCTCCCAAACCCGTGCGGTAAAATTCCGAAAATGTCCGAAGTGGCTCGGATCCATGGGAAACGAAACTAACCTGGTAAAGTGATGTTTCCCGCAAGGTAGATCAGTGTGTTATTGGTTATTTTACAGACAGGAGTAGAAAAAAGTAGTGTTACTTGTCTTATCCCAACTTTATTTGACCGGTCGTTAGTTTGTGACATCAGACCACTTTTTTAAGTCACTCTAACTCCAAATTCTCATAAGATTTTATTTAGGAGCGCTCACCATATTGCCATGTGTGCATGGATTTCTAAAGACAGCGCAAAATCGTGAGTTATGGAACGCTCCGCTGCGCAATCTCTATGGTGTAATCCATATCGCTATTAGTGATATAGAAGGGTCCTGCCTAGAAGCGCTCACAGTAGGTGCAGTTTGCTTTCCGCGTATACGTGCGTACATTTGCAACTTGCGAAGAAATCCCGTTTGGTTGGGATATTTGGGATTGTTCTCAGTTTTCCTGCACGATTCTTCTTGAAAAAAAAATTAAAAAATGGACACTGAAAAGCTAATTGATTTATTACGAGAGCGGAAATATTTATACGTTCAGCGGGAACCAAATTATCACTACCGCAATTTACAAATGTCCTTGTGGACTGAAGTTTCCGCTGACTTGTCTTTATTAAAACGTTATATACTCACTGTGCGAATTCAACGCATAAACACGCAAGATCACAAATTCGGACCGTTCCGCGGATTTGTAATATTCGTGTGTATCCGCATCCACTGTGAGAGAAGCTTAATATTTCGTTTTAACTAATGACTTTGCGGTATTTAACAATCAACATGGCCGCTGACAGATCGTCAATATGTTTGGATGCGGAAGTTTAGCTTTTCTCAAAATATATCCAGATCTCAATTAAGTTTCTGGCAAAAAGAAGTTAAGTGCAGGTTAGTGGATGAAATGTAAAAATTATTTACTATCTCTACAAAAATATAGCCACCTGAAGCGCATCATTTATTTCCGTAGTACGGACACCATATCGCTCCTCCGGCAAAACAGTGACCGAACTTCTTATAACTTAGCATACATAATTCTGACTTTGAAAACATATTGTATGGTAATAGAGTTTCGTCATATATTTAACCATTTAAGGATTAATGATGGACTTAACTCACCTTCCAAAAATTTTGCACTTACGTCACTATTCTGCCGGAGCAGCGATATTATCTCATAGCTATATGGTTTAATATAAATTTGCATCGGGAACTTTGGAAACTAACCAAATAAGAATGTATGTGTGTTTATTTAATCCGTGTATCTGCTACTCGTTTGTGACTACATAAAGGAGATTAAACCAAAACAACCACGGTGGATTATCATTGTCAATTATTAATAGAAATTTTTATCGGGATATTAAAGTAATGTAATCGATACAAGAAATTTTATTTCATAGCTTAAGACGTATGTGATCCTGGGTAAGTCAATTAACCTCACCAATTATTAGTGAAATAATATTATGTAGTAACAAGTGATATTATAGATTTAAATAATTATCTACGGCGTTTTGCAAGTGAAGCTAAATGTCTTCAGTTATTTCGTCTACACCAAATTTGAAAGATAAACCGGAAGTTCTTGATAAACTTGTAAAACAGCTTTTGGGATGTGTACAGGAATGCCAGAAAAAGTATGGTGGTAAACAGCAATTAGCAACCGAGTTTGATTCGTGTGTTGCTGGCTTATGTGTTTCTTTAGAGGCAATTTTTCTACATGGCCTAAAAATGAAATCTTGGTCAAACCAACACGAAAATTTATCTCTGAATGAAACTTTAAAGCAGGTCACAGATATTGTTGCACAAAGTTTACGCATTGGACAGGAACAACCAAGTATGTAGAGTAATGGTTTAGTATTGAAACATTTTGTCATTTAAATCTAAGTAGTCCCCATCAAGCAACATAATTTTGTATTAACTCAAGATGTTATTTTGGTATCGCAAATTTGAGAGTAAGATTAATATAAAAAAAGTAATGTGACTATATACATTTTTTTAATTTGTTTTATTTTACCACTGTAACATAATGTAAAAGGAAAGCAAAGGCTTAAGTGTAATGAAACTGCACATCTAAATGTGTAAGCTCCAACATGTACATGATTATGATAGGTACATTAGTAAAGTTATTAAAGTGTTCTTCAAAATAAATCAATAATTTGAGCAGCATCAGCAAAGCCTTAGCTTTCCGTGCGTAATGCACTTTCTTCAAAGTATAAAATTACAAGAGCTTTTTACCTCTGATGTCTTTGGATTTGCATTGTTGTTTCATTTTAATAAATGACACCATGTAAAAACTAAATGTTTTAATTTTGCAATTTAGTTCAGAACATCCTTTTCATTCATATGACAATGCAGTTGCTCTTCTATATTACTACTTGAATTGTCAGTTCCCGCAATTTTCAAGATAATATTATTGATTGAACTAGTTGACTACATTGATTCAAACCTGTTCAATATATTTGTATATTAAAATATTTTCAGCTTTATGGGCGTTTCTAAAACAGCACTTAACAAATCATGAGGTGGAACGGTATAACTCATTAAAACATATTTGGACAGATATGGGAAGGTGCAGAGCTTGGTTGAGATCTACTTTAAATGAAAAGTCTTTAGAAAGGTGAATAAAATTAATATCTGTATGTTCTTTCCTTAATTATTTATTATTAATTTGAGATATCTTCACAAACTATTGAATGACAAAAATACATTATGTGAATATTATGATTCTTGTGCAATATTAAGAGATGAAGAAAAGAGTGGCTTATTGCCAAATATGGCGGCTGGTAAAAAAGTCAATCATAGTGAATAACTAATAAATAATATGTATTTTGTATAGGTTTAGGTTCCATATTATTTGCAATTTACATTGACAAACCAGAGTTAAACAGCTTTCTAATGTCCAGGCCAGTTTTGGCTGTTGAACAAAAGGAGCCTATAGTTGAAGCACCAGTTCTAGGTAATACTTTTCATACTAATTATGTTGTCTACTAGGTTGAAAATGAAAAGAGAAATGGCGAGAGAGTGGGTGAGAGGTGCAACAGAATATGTAATCTGTAATATTGCTATTAGCTCTTATGACATATTTTTAAATTTTTAATTTTAAAATTTTGCAAGATGGCCAAACTAAGAGAAGAGAACAGAAACACAAAGTCGCTCGGCAATTCATTTCTTTTGATGATGATTGCGTAACAGTGCCCGCCAGCGTATCTTTTGCATCCAGTGATGCAAATTCAGAGAGTCTTTCTGCAGATAATTTACATGTAGATGAACCAACAGATGAGGCTTCTACAGATGATAATAAAAACTGTGGAAATGAAAATAGACAACAAAATGCAACATCCAAATTGGAAAAAATTCCAAGAAAATTGTCTTTTGAAACAAGTGGTTATAGAGAGAATTTTTCTACTGCCACACCTGACATTTTAACCCCATTTAGTCAGTTTGAAGTTGGGGAACTACGGCCTATATCCACAGAATGTAATATATCTAATTTTCAAGATAGTGGAGATGATATTGTTGAAATTCCTACTGATATTTCAGCGGTTTTGGATGTGGTGGAAAATAGGCACCAAGAGGAATTATTAAAAAATAAAGAAAAGATAGATGTTCTTATAAAAGAAAATAATGCATTGAAGGAACAAATTAAAACATATGCTATATCACTTGAGATGCTCAGGAAGGACAAAGAAGAAGCAAAAGAGCAACAAGAGTGTCTACATGGAGATAGCACTCGAAATTATAAGATTGAAGCTGAGACATATGAAAAAAAACTTGTACAGGTCAGCAGTTTCTGATAATATTGCCGTAATCAAATTTAATAATTTTAAGGTTGCTCAAATGCACGCTGAGCTTATGGACTTCAATGTGATACTACAGCAGCAAATCCAAAGAAAGGATATTTTACTCAACCGTTTAAAAGCAAATTTAGAAGAACTAAGAGGTCCTGTGTCTGCAGATATCTTTCTGCCGGATGATTGTCAAGGCAATGTGAATGTGTGGATTCCATCAGCATTTTTGACTGGTGGATGTTAACTTTGTTTTTATGTATATAGTTCAACAAGTTATTCTTATAGGAGCTAGCTCAAATTCTTATTATGTTTACCAAATATTCATTAGAGCAGGTGTTGATGAATGGAATATATACCGTAGATACGCGCAGTTTCATGCTCTACATACCGATTTAAAGAAATTGGATCCAGCAATAGGGACTTTTGATTTCCCTCCTAAGAAAACCATTAGAAGAAAGGTAGGCAAGTTCTTTTTTTAAAGAATTCTATATAGTATTTATTAATCTTCACACGTCTTTGAGGATTCAGTTATAGTAGAGGATAGAAGAAAGCGCCTACAAATTTATCTAAGAAGAGTTATTGCCCATTGGCCAGAGCTAAGACATTGTAACAGCAGATTATTGCTAGGGCAACATTTAGCTTTTTTCAAGTAAGTAATTCTTTTCTTAATTTGTTAACTATTGATTTATTTGAAGATTCTAAACTATATAGAAAATTAAGAAATTTAGAGGGGTAAAAAAAATTATGTTAATAAGCAATTTATAATGTATACACTCTCTTAATAAAATTATTTTTACAAGACAATGGGGCTAATAAAAAAATAGTTTTATTTTTATTTATAATTTCAGGTAGATTCGGAATAATAAATTCAAAGTACATAAGTTTGATGTAATTATGTAAAAATATTTAATTTCAAATTTAAAACTAAATTGAACTGTTAAACATAATCTCTGTGGGGGTTACAAAGGCCTGTGAAGATGAAGTTGCAATAAAAACATGAAAAGTTGCAAGTTAATATAAATAACTAAAAATTTTTATGTTTATGTATAATTGAATTGTAATATATTTATAAATATTTCTACATTAGTTTTGGTGTCAAAATGTCTTGGATACGACATATGCAGTAATTTTAATATAAGACTATTACTAATCCAAACTGGTTTATACATTTTGGTTTTTCGCTAAAGTTAAAGCTTCATTCCCAAGCCCAGGCACCCTTTATGATCCTCAATACATTTAGTTTAAAGACAGACGAGAACCACAAGCTCGATAATAATAAGGGTATCCACTATCTTGCAGTATATAAACAGCAAGAAAACGAGAATACTAATACACCAGATTTGCTTCTGCGCTATGCTTTTGAAACTATAAAATGTTTTGTTGAAAAAATCAGCATCAATTAAAAGCTCAGACCAAATAAAAGGTCCGCTACTCATTCATAAAACCCGTCAATATTTGAGGATTGTTATTTGTCTAACGTCGTACCAGGGATGAGCCAAGCTTGGAAAAATTACAAGTCAGTTTTTGCACACCTGGCCCTTGCATACCATAATTTTCGTTTTCTAAGAAGTAACAAAAAATGGTATCGAAAACACACTAAAACCAACGCCAAGTCAAAGTCGTTTTATTATAATGCGCCGACAGCACCTCTAGCGTGTACTACGATATACTAAATGTCCTAGTGGCGATATAGAGTGTTAAATTCTTATGCAAGAGACGAGATAAGAAATAACGGTAATATATCCAAAATAATTTTAATTTTAAAGCATGAAATTTTAAAAGTAAAAAAAAAATTAAAAGCAATTTCAATATTCATGTAACTGGAATTAATAATCATAGATCTGGCAAACGCGTTCTACAAGGTGTTTAGGATGGTTCACGGGCTTGCAAGCTTAGTAGACATAATCAAGCGTTAACTAACCAAAATCACAATTACATTTTCATTGGCATTTTTTTTTTTCATCTACATGACGCCACATTTGGATTTGCTAGCTAACTATTAGTTGTTAATCACTCTCATCAATAAAAAAATATCCTGTTTTTTTTTTACGTTATATTTCAGTTCTTGTTAAATGGATTAGTTTGCATTAAGTGAGAATAAAACGAACTTTTTTTGATGATGGTGGAAAATCTGGAAGTGTCATCGTGTAGCTGAAAAACAAGTTTGCTAATCCATTTCAATATCCTTGCTAAATACATTTGTTACATTTTCTTGTGAAAATTCAGAAAAGCTAATGTTTGCTCAAACTCTGCAACATTTTCACCTCGAATAATTCCTCCAAGCAATGAATGACAAGTTATAATATTCAACATGTATTTTTGCTTCATCCAATTGATCCGAGCTATACTACTTTAATGACTTTAGCAAAACTGTTACAACTTCAAATTTAAACTGAATATACATAAAATAACACTATACTGAATTTATATTCAAACTTAAAATTGTCATTTCAGAGCATTTACAGCCTGTGATTTCGTTGAGAAATAAAAATATAAGAATTTCTAATTTGAGTGTACATGTACATTGGTATTGGCGTCCAAGCACTTAGGCTACCAGATGGGCCTGTTGTGCCCTCAGACCGCTCTAGAGGGCGTCCAGAATGCCGCTCCTCCTATAGAAGGTCAGCAACTCCTTTGCCCAATACCCTGATCTGGGTCCGGATCGATCAGGTCCGTTCCGAAGACTCCTTCGTGCCTATGTCACAGTAGGGCACTCGGTGAGCAGATGCTACGAGGTCTCCCCCCCTTCCATGCACCACCTGCACTCCGGGTCGTCTCTAATGCCTAGTAAGCAAAGATGCCTAAGTCTGCGATGTCCTGTGTAGTCCCCTGTTAGTGCTCTGTACTCCCTTCTGGTCAGTCTAAGCAGCTCCCTGGACCGAGGGAGGGCGGGCCCATCCATCATAAACCTCGCCTGCCTCATTCCAGGAGCAACTCTCCAACCCACCAGGGCCCGTTCTCTCACCCAGGCTTCGAGAGCTCCCCCCGCCTCATGCACTAGACTTGCTCCTGCTCTTTTGGTCCCCGGCCACCATGCCACTGCCCCATGCGTGAGCATATGCACCAGCATGGTACCGTAAATCCACTGCATGATCTTTGGCCCCAGGCCCCAAGTGCCCACCGCTCTCCGGCACGCCCACAGAGATCCAAAGGCCGACCTGGTCCTTTATCTTATATGTTCCTGGAAGGTGAACTTGGAGTCCAACCATACCCCCAAGTACTTGACGCTTCCGCTTGCAGAAAGAGGCACCCCAGCCATCGAAATGTTGAGGTTACACTCCAACTTCCTTTTTTTGGTGAAGATGACCATCTCCACGTTGCGAGGATTGACAGCCAACTTGATGTCCCGGCACCATTGTGAGAATCTTACCAATACCCCGTTCAGGAGCCCATGCATCCTTCTCACGTCCGTCCCCTGTGGCATTATCACCAGGTCGTCTGCATATGCCTGAGCATAGACCCCTTGTTCTTCCCTCAGAATATGCAATAGTTCACCACTAGAAAGGGGGACAAGACCCCACCCTGTTTACAACCCCGTGATGAGCCGATGGAGACCTGCTCCCCCCCACCCAGTCTTGCCTCAATCCTCCGGTCGGTTAGCATGGAGCGGATCCACTTTACAATGGCCGTCTCCACTGCAGTACGCCCCACCGCCCTGCAGATCGAATACAGGGCCGTGTTATTGAAGGCCGCATACCGACTGCCGTCCTGAGCCCATACCCTCCTCCAACCTAGAAGTCAGATGGTGAAGAGCCGAGCCCACAGACCCGCCGCTTCGGTACGCATGCTGAGCTGGCTCTAAAGGGGCCTCCAGCTCCACCCAATCCCTCAGATACCGGTCCAGCAGTCTATCCAGAGTCTTCATAATGAAGCTGGTGAGGCAAACGGGCTGGTATGACTTCGGGTCCGTGTAGTCGCTCTTCCCTACCTTGGGGATGAACACTACCCTGCTGTGTCTCCACAGCTTGGGCACGTATCCCCTCGCAATGGAGGCTCTGAACAGATCCATCATCGGGCTGGTCAGGAGACCTCCGTCCCTTTGCAGCAGAGCCGGAAATACTCCATCCCCGCCCGCTGACTTCAAGGGGCCAAAGCTGTCAATAGCCCACCTTAGCCTACTATGGGTAACCACCCTCCTAACGTAACGACCCCCGTCTTCAACATTCCCCCCTGTCTCCGGATCAGCAGACCCAGGGGAAGTGCGTGGTCAGCAACTGTTGTAGTGTGTCTGCTGGTCCCGCTGTGTAGCTACCTCCGGTCCTGCGGACCACTCTCTTCTCGCAGGGTCACTTCTGAGTACTGTAATGCACGTAGGTCTTTTTTGTACTCTCTGCGGACCTCCCTATAGAGATCCCAGTCCGCACTTAGGCCGCTGCTCTTCGCTGTATTGAACAGTCCGTATCATAGCGTAGCTGACGCGGTCGGCGGCCTCGTCAATCTTCTCCAATGTCCGGTGTTTTCGTGGTAAACCCCCTAGGCGCCAAGCGAGCTCCTCCCTATAGAGTTCCCAGTTGCCCGGGAGTTCCTAAATATCTAACGGTTTCCCGAACACCCATTTCCAACCCAAAGTCCGACATAGAGTCCTCCCCATAGACACACCACCCAATTATTTCCGGGAGAAGAGCTCTGGTACAGAGTGTCAAGTCTATAACCGAGCCCCGACCCGTCGTGACAAACGTGGGTTCTACCCCTCTGTTGGCTACCTGCAGACCTGCCGAGGCCATGAACTCCACGAGGTCCCCCTCCTTCGATTATTCGCCGCGCTGCTTCACAGAACGCGGTGAACATTGCTATCGCAGCGAATCAAAAGAGGAAGATTCGCCTCCTCACAGTGGGAAACCAAGTCACTGATCTCCTCCGGAGGACAGCTACGGTCGCCTGGAAAGTACGCAGAGGCGACTATTACCTCCCTCACGGCGTCCCGAGTGGGGGATCTGACCAGAATTGGAACCAGGTCGCTGGACGCCTTGTCCCTTAGGAAAATGGCCTCCAACCCCATAGTTAGTATGCAGGCCCTGAGACCGCCCTCTGAGGAGTCGACAGTATGCAGCATCGACCCTCCCAGAGATAAGCCTCTAACCCTTGATTTTACAATCCAGGGCTCCGAAATTTTCCTGCATAAGTGGGTCGTTGCAGCCCTGCTGTGTTGCAGGTTAATTTGTAATATCCCCGTGAAGATGTTGTTACGGGAATACCACGTGAGGGTCACGATGCTAGCATCAGCCCGAATCCGAGCCCGAGGTAGCACCTCCTTCCGCTTCCTGACTGGTGGACCCTGATGGGATTCCCCGGTCCACCTCCATCCGAGATTCCTCCTCGGTTCTCCCTTCATCGGAGGGCCCTCCGGAGGTCTCCTCCACAGAAGCTCTGAGCGCCGCCTCTCCGACAGGCCATCAACCTCCATGGACGAGCCCTCTTCGTGTGAGCCCCCTGCGGCCACCTCATCCCACTGGCCTCGGCGCCGCCAGGTTCACTTTAACCTGGGTCGCCAGGCAGAAGAGAAGTGAGCCCTTAGCCGTGATGGCGCTTGTCGATTTCTCGTCCACGCCCACCACCAACCTTGTGCCCCTTGCGTCCTCCGTCCTCTGCCAGACCGTCCAGGCACGGTAATCTAGGCCATTCTGAGCTGAGCTGTCAGGCAGCGGACTAGTGCCTCGTTCGAGACACCCGCCCTCAGGGTCGGAATCCAGATCGCCGCCCTTCTTAGTCTCAATCCTTCTGGATCGACGTCCACCAAGTTTGCGAGCCCCCAGGGCCTGACGTTGATCAGCTCCCTGCGAACCCACTCCCTGGTTTCTTTATCCATCATCTCCATCAGGATGTGGCTTCTCCACGACCTAAGCGTATCCGGGGAGGGGTCTTTTGCCCCCCCCCCCCCTGCATGATATACATTCTTACGCGGAGGTTAAGAGCCCCTATGAACCGCAGTAGGTCCTCGGAAGACAGGTTAGTTTCCTGTCCTCTGAGAACCACCACCAGTTCGGTTCCCCTCGCCGCTTGCGTATAGGACCGAGCCCCCCTGTCAGAGCGCCCCCGGGACGGCCCGACGTGCCCAGCTTTGGAGCCCTTCGTTAACGGCGTGGCGGGATTCCTGGACGCCGGAAGAGACCCCGTCCGCGGTTCCGGAACCGTCACCGCGAGTCTCTTCTTCTTCGCCTTCCTTTTTTCCGCCCCACTCCTGTGACTGGGGCGGAGTGTCGACTAGGTGGTTTCCCGGTTTGTACCGAGCCCTCCACCCCGCTCGCTACCTGGGGATCCTCCTCAGATCGCCCTTGTAGGAGAACTTCCTGAGAACGCCCCTGCTTGCTGGAGCCCTCCTGGGGCCCCTTCTCCTTTTTAACTTTTTCAGGTTCCATAGAGGTCCCACGAGTAGCTAGGGAAAAAAACGGTCCACCTCTGCAGAGCCCCGCATGCAGAGGTAAGGCTTTCTTCCCCGAGGTGCGCCCGGTGCCTCGGGGTTGGGATCGGCAGAGACTGATCTTCTATCCAGCCATGCATCCCTTAGGAACAACCCCCAACGTAGGATTTAGGATTTTTATTGAGGTTTACTCCTCTTGGTCCAAGTGGTGAAGCTCAGACCCCTCGCATCGCGTGCCCACCAGTCGAGCCAGCACCCGACGCATGGTTTATCAACCAACTAAAAGCCAGTTGGCACCGTCATACCCTGTGCAAGCCCTTAGCCACGACACGACAGCTGGGCAGGGTAAGCTGGTCCACGACTGGTTATTTGTTAGCCCTATTGGATTTTTACCTCGTCATGGCTCCTTATTCGCAGCCACCCAGGTCCGTGAGAGCCTGGGCTACCCCATCCGCCACTCGGGGACGCGCCTCATGTATTGCTCAACCACTACATGTACATACACGATATTATAGGTGGTGTCAATTCTCTGCAATAAGCTCCAGAATTAAGAGACCGGCTTCTTTGTTTGTTTTGGTGGTTTTGAGTTGCGAAAGTGGGCTACTTGCCCAATTGGTCAGATTCACACGTGGCTTAGTTATTTATATGTGCAAGTATTACTAGTACGTAGACACATTTCATTTTTGTCGAAAGTTTGTCTCACCTCTAAGTATAACAATTAAGTTCTAATTAAGTTCACAAGCATCTTTCTTGACAACAAACCATGTGATATGAGTGGATGGTGCGGTGCTCAGATTTGCTTCATGGTGTCTAACACTTCATTCTGGTACCCTAAACTTACCGCTCCACCACATTTTTTATCGAAAATTTTCAATATGAAAATTGCCACCCCGGTCCTTAATTATTGGAAATTTGCTGTCACAGCAGTTTTAGATTCTTGCTGCTCGGTAAGCAATTCTAAGCAATTCGTTATACCCTTTCAAAAATTTCTCACCCCTTGCTGTTGATTGCTAACTTACCTCCCGCTAAAATACCACAAGGTCAGTCATTTCTTCGTTTCGGTCGGACCAATCACTGTTCACAAGACAGGTACGTGTTAGCTTTTTTAGAAGGTTGCAGCGGTTTAAAAATTTTTACTTGTTTCGCATTCCTCTTGTGGTACATTATGCAATCGTTATCCTTTTTTCGGCTATAAGTTGTGATATATTTTGACTATTTTTGGCAGTAATAATCTGGCGTTAATAAACCTTTTTGAAAATGGTAAATTCCTGTGTTGCATATGGTAGCAGTAATGTATATATTGCGTTGCATATTGCATCTAATTCCAAATTTGAATATTTTCTCTATTTCCAGGAAAAAATGATATTGGTTATTTTAATAGGTATAGATTCATGCGTATTTTAGGTCTTTTTTAAAGGACTACTGAAAAATATATGCTGCTACTTTTTGACTAAAGTTTTGTAATTTTATAAATTTCTAATTGACATGCACTTTTTTCGAATATTTTTTAAAAAGTCATTAGAAATTTTATATAAATGCATGCAGAAAATATTGTAACATAGCGGTAAATAACGGAATCAAACGACGAGACCACCTCATCCCCAATTTATATAAATAAACCGTTTTGCCCGCCAGAGATATTCGCCACGAATGCGAGGATTGTTCGCCCACCATGAAATCTTATGGTGTTCACTACTACATACTAGGGTCCATTGCCTTGTAGAAAAACAAGAAAGGTCACATTAATAGTATATTATGCAACCATTATGTATATCAGCTAGAACTTCAAAGAACTCCTTCGCTGGAGAAGATCCGAAAACCTTCGACATTTAGAACTTCTCGAGATTAGTCTCCTTCGCTGGAGAAGATCCGAAAATCCTCGACATTTGGAACTTCAAAAATCAGTCTCCTTTGCTAGAGAAGATCCGAAAATCCTCGACATTTAGAACTTTAAAATTTAGTCTCCTTCTCTGGAGAATATCCGAAGATTCTCGACGGAAGTCGAGCCCAACAGTTTTCTGTAAAACGCATTATTGAATTGAATATTATGCAACAAATGCATAAACGGCATTTGACTAACGAGTGTTTAATAAACGAGTGAGGTAAAAAGTTTACCGAACGTGTTGCATACTACACTTTTTCTACGACCGTTACTTTTTGGGAACATTTTCGCAAAACAACACGAATACATTCACTGACATGACTGTCGGAATTGACAAATGTCAAAATTTAAAGCGTGGGGAAATATCTCCGAAATAAAATCCCGGAAATGTCCGAAGTGGCTCGGATTCGTGGGAAATCAAACTGACATGTAAAGCGACGCTTCCCGCACGCTAGATTGGTGCGTAATTAGGTATTTTACAGACTGGAGTAGAAAAACGTAATTTATCCATTGTATTCGTCCCACAAAAATTGATATCGGTCTTTTTTCGTGTGATTCCGTTTTAGAAGTGTTCGGTGATCGTTTTTAAGTGTTTAAGCTCTACCGGCCCCGCTATTTTAACCATTCACGCCGGTATGGAGGCCGGATGGGCTCGGATGGTCCATGGTGGAAGAGGGGGATGCCGTTTTTTTTGGTATCGGTCAAAATTGTTTTTTGCTAGCTGAGCAAATATTGATTATATTTCTTCTTTTTCGTGTTGGCCTTTTATCAAAAGCGAAAACCCTCGACAGAAGTCGGCAATGGGCAAATTATTCTAGTAGTCTTTCCCATAAACGCATGAAATGCATAATTGTAGTGTAAACGTCATTTAACCATAACGTAAACAAAAAAGGATGATGTTCAAGTAAAAATGACCTGCGAAGTTCATGTGACAGCAAAAATACAGGATACTGAGTCCATCAAAAGATATTTATTTCCCACAGATAATAACGGAGGTAGGATCTAATACCCCCTAACACTTAAAAATGCTACTGCTATATTAAGATACTACTTTTATACTTTACTTTTTGAGGAGGTGAAGAATGGTTGCAAACATCGAAATTGTCTATTTCACCTGCTGGTGATCTTATAGCAATAGGCAATGACAGACGATTAATAGTACTAACATCAAAATGGGATTCTGAAGCGGATATAAGTCAATTTTATGTTACGTTTTCAAAAATTGTACATGAATATGATAATATAAAGGCAATTCTGTGTACACCTGTAGTGGGAATAAAAGACAGTACACATGTGGGACCTGATTGGACCTGTATTTTGATTGGATATGATTCAGGGTATATGAGGTTTTATACAGAAAACGGTGATTTATTATTCGAAGAACAGTTTCATAATGAGAATATTAACTGTATAACATGTCAAAGCCAACATAATCCTAGACCTGATGTATCTTCCGAATTATATCCTGAAGAAATTTACATACAGTACCAGAGCAATGTTGCTGTAATTGGTGGATACGAACTCTTTACAAATTTAAGGAAATGTAGAAGTCAACTAGCAATAGGTTTTAATCCTCAACATATCCAATAAATTAAATTTTAATGATCGTTTTTAGCTCAAGCCCAAGGAAATCACTCAGCAACTTCTCAAGATTTTCAGCAACTACCATTAAATATTAAGAAACTGGGATTTTTAGACCAAAGTATTGTCAATGATGTAGCAGTTGTTGGTTTGAATCTTTGTAGCAATTTTGATCATTTATTAGTAGCATCAAATTGTGGTGGTTTTGAAGCCAAATACAGGTCAACATCTCCTCATAGTTCTTTAGTACTAGCTGCTGGATCCAAACCATTCTTGGGTTATCATTATGCACTGGATGGAATAAATCAACCTGTCCTTGGAGATGTTGCTAAGGCAGTTGCAAATAAAGTAAAGTCAGCACTACCGTAAGTAATTTTAGTTTTTAGAGTCGTATCCTTTTGAGGTACTTTATTTTAATTAACCTAAATTTGAGTTTCTTTTTTTTTAATTTTCTAATTAATTTAACAGAACATTGTTGGATATTTGAAATCAATGAAGACACTTTAATTAATGTTTGGTTTTACATAACAATTACCATGCCAGACACAACTTCATTATGCTATATTATTGTATTATAGTTCTGTTATTTACTAGTGCTTCAATGTGTATTATTTTATATAGTTATGAGACTTTATTTATGTGAAATTGCCACAATCTTTCAATAATGGTGTTGATGATTTCTTTAATACACAAAGGAAACAAGGACAAAATATTAACCCTTCAATGTCCAAAAAAGCAATCCTAACTAAAACTAACCAAAATTGTAAATTTAACTTGAGACAATGTATCAAGTGGCAAAATGTGCAAAATAATTGAATATTCATAATCAAGTCTGGCATATTAACAGGATTTTCTGTTAAAAACCATAACTTTTGTTTATAACTCATAAATAGTAAATATGCATGTTATTTGACCGTTTCGATAAGATAACAAAGATATGAGGGGGTCACAAAATGAGTCTATGTAAAATTTGTCTATATATATATATTCCAGTAAAAGAATCGAGCACTGTACGACTATAGCAAGCGCTATCCAAGTAGAGAATTGCTATTTGGTGCTATGGTAACTCCATTATTTGAAGGGTTAATTCTGATAATAATTGTAAAGATGACGTCTTTGAGACTTTTTTGTTAGAGAAGTTGTTTCTTCAATTATTGCCAATCGTGGGAAACTTACAAATTCAATATTTGTTCCTGTTGCTGCTTTTATAAAAAGTGAGAGGCCTTCAAAGAAGTATAGTTTTGGGACTATCAGATATGGAACCAAAACCACGAAACTTAACTACAATAAAAAGAGCCCACCTCCATAGGTGCTTCAAATTTCGCCGATCTTCCTCCTTACTCGGCCACGCTCTGGAAGAAAAGTTACCCTAGAACCATACAGGCCATCATTCAAATAAGTTATAAGTTATTTTTCTGTGTTTAATGGCGCTAGTAGGTAGTAAAGGACTCACCTGGTCCACCCTGCATTGTCACTCAGGAATAAATTATTTATTGAAGGGTTTATCCAATAACAATAGGTAATAAAATATTTAATATATACAATTTGTAATACTAAATCTCAATTGAGAAAAAAATTAGATAAATAGCTTTTTCTATACGTTAGTAAGTTGTTATAATCGAAGTTATATATTTATTTATTATTTTCAATACGAAATAAAATGACGTCAAAAATAATTTACAAGTCCGTTTAAAAATCGTCTAAGATATCAAATCTTTGAAAATTTTCTTAGCTGGGTTTTAAATTGTGAAAACTAATATTTTTCAAACTTATTGGAGCTAATCAGTTCGGTGCACATATAATGGGATGATTTCTCGGTTAATGTCAGTTTGTGCAGTATGTAGTTTAATGTGGATCTTGCGCTATACCATGTTTAGTCTTATAATCAAACGGATTCTAATAGTTAAAAAGAACATTAAACACTCATATATATGTGAACAGTCATTATATCGAAATTTTTATGTTTAGACTTGCAATTAACCAAAACTATTTATATAATTAATTTTCATAATGGTTTTATCCACCTCAAAGGTGGATAAAACCGGGACTGTCTACTCTTATCTTTGCTAATGTCCTAAAGTAACTTACAAATTGAATTTAAATGATTAAACAATACACAGTTGTACATCTTGTAATACTACATTGTATCATGATTCTTTGAAATTTGTAGGCTAAACAGTAAGTCTACTTGTTTGAATTTCCATTGCTTTTATTTTTATACATCTAATCATTTTAATTAATTTAATGTAATTAAAACTACAGTTCAAATAAATTATTTACATTTTGTAATTTCTAGTTTATATTTCTTTTATCAGCACCTGGTTAACTGGGAGCAACACCCAAACTGAAAAAGAAAAGTCAGCTAGCATGCAACCAATAGAGTCAATGGGCTGTCGATTTGGACTCTGCGATTTACAAAGAACAGCACATGATATAATTTTGTCACCAAATCGTGAACTCTCTGCAATAACTGACTTGTTGGGGAGAGTTATTCTGGTTGATTCCTTTAGAGGAACTGCCATAAAAATTTTCAAAGGCTATAGAGATGCGCAATGTGCTTTTATTCAAGTTCCTGACATACGAAAATCAAAACACAAGTTAGGGAATAAAGTGGCTCATTTCATGGTCGTTTATGCCCCAAAAAAAGGTACTTTGGAAATATTTTCCGTCCAACGTGGTGATAAGTTAGCTACCTTTTCTGCATCAAGATTTAGCAGGCTAATGTATATTACTTATGGACTTATGGGTTTTACTAAAACATCTAAGTTAAAATATGTGTGCCCATTTTCTTGTATATTTATGGACAATGATGGGAAAATGAAGGAAATATTAATTCCATTTCATTTGTCTCTTAACGAAAGGAATAATAAGAGGGCGCGAGATATCCACCTTTACAAAAAGTTAAAAGAAATAATTAACGCAAGTGATTTTATGGATGAAAAATTAAATGATGAAATATGTAGTACCTGTTGTGAAATAAAAACTATCGAAGTTAGTTATCAAACACTAGAAATGATTTTAAGTCGTAAACAAGTTGGTGCCTCACTGATGACCAAATGTGCGGAAATCTTCCTAACAAATGTGGAAGGAAATGGTAAAAATTTGGAAAAATTGCATTCAGATGAGAAAGAAAGAAATCTTAGATTTATCTGTCAAAACGTAAAAAAGATGTTAAACCTATATTTATATTTAATAAAATGTGATAACAAGGATGACGGCAATGAATTAGAGTCTTCAGCGTTGGATTTAAAAGTTGTGGAATTAGAAAAGCTTCAAAGATTATTTGATTTGACAACGAATAATAATCAAAAAAACTTTAAAATTTCCCACGTCAGGTTTTCAGGTGAAGCGCTCTTGACTGTGTCAGATTTTATACAATCTTTTGATTTGAATAAAGGTGGAGAAATAAGAGTTAAAAAACACCTGGATGAAAGCATAAAATTTCAAATAGCTGAAGTGCTTTTTGGGCCATATATAACAAGCGAGTGGAAAAATTATAGTGTTTTGCAATACCAAATACTCCAAAGTACGGTATCTGTTGCAGATATTCTTGATTTGCTAATTAATTATTGGATTAATCGAGCTTTAACCATAAATATTAATTTAGAAAAAGAGATGAATTCATTCCTGTTGCTCACTTCAACTTTGGTTAAGTGTTTAGATTGTGAAATAGTGAAGATTGAATATAATTCAATCTCACCATTTTGGGAAAAAATAAGAGAAATTTTGGAAAATTCGCCGAGACCATTTCCTGCATTAATGGCAGCCATATTGTTCCGAACTGTTGCCAAACAATATGAACTAGAAAAAACCGAAGAAGAGAACATTGAAGTGTTATCGCAGGAAAATGTTAAATGGTCGCTTTTGATAGGTGAGGATAAGTTTTTGGGTATATAGAAATAGAAAATTTGAGCCGCAAACCGGTAATAATTGGAATTCGATTTTGGTTTTTAATTGGCCGACTTGAACTTTGAATGGAGGTGTCACTGTAACCAAACTCGATCGCTATAACGAGCCTAAAACCCACTTAGTTTTTACTAATTTTAAACAGTAATTGTCACTAATTACGGCTCAAATTTGTTTGTTGGGTATTGTTTACACCCCTTGTTAAACTGTAATCGGGATGTCGAAACTACAGAGGGCTAATAAGAATTAAAGTGATTTGTTGTTCGCCCCTGGTGGGAGTTTTCAGAATTATCTATCTATAATATTCAATACAACTTTTTTTTTAGGTAGGCTAGAAGATGTGTCAACTTTAAATATTATCATATCAAATAAGGCTCTAACTAACCACTCAGTGCTTCCAAAACTGAAACACAAAAAAGTTGAAATTAGTTTAAAATACATTTTACAAGGTGGTAAAGGGTCGGTTAGTGAATGCGTGGCGCAGTGGTTAACATTAGCCGGAACAGATCCAGAGGAAATAGCAATTAACGAAATTATTTCTCACAATGGCGATATAAGCGACAATAAAAGTAACCATTTGCAAATTCCTAATGGAATTAATTCAGATAAAATAGATCAAGTTAAGTCAAGTGAAACTTTTAAATATTTGAACATACTAAGAAGACAATTTCCATATAGTCTAGAAGCGAGCTCACTTATAGGAAACATGTGCTGGGAATATGCTCTTGCTTGGCGAAATGATATAACAATGTTAGAAAATTTAGAAGCAGCAATAAGCTGTTTAAACTGGGTTACAAATTGTCGCTTAAATATTGGTCTACATCAGCTCTTGTGGAACACTCACTTAAAAATGGTGGTTGAAAATGCCTGCAAACTTATTAATAAAGTTGGGAAGTTGCCCAAAGAACGATTGTGCCAGCAGGACACAGGTCTTACAGATAAACAAATAACTACTTTTATAAGTAAATATACAAGTTATTTTAGTAAAAAGAGTAGCTATTGTTGGATGTTTTAGGTATCTGTGTAGTTTTTTTGGAATCATTTATGGATCTTGCTCAAGGAGATATTGTTGGCAACGAAGCAGATTTAAAATATGAAGACATGTGGGAGAGTGGATGCAACCAGTCTCTAGTAGAATTAGCATGTGAACGAAAGTATCTAGATTGCAATTTATTGGACCATCAATATCAACTACTTTTGATCCTGCACATGATCACAAAACTTTCTCTTAAGCATTCCAAGCCTGTTAATAATTTATTTGAAACCTCAATATCCAGCTTACTTTTTGAAGGTAAAGTATACAAAATCTTACTGGATTGGTATATGATTTAATGAGTGACTCTCATGGTTGGGAGGTAAGTGCTAAAAACAATCGTTGCAGCCTTATAGTTCCAAAAATTTGGAATAATAGTGGTTAGGTTAGGTTAAAGTTCATACAATACATATATAATTGATGATAATAAAGTTAAACGAAAATTATTTCAAACATTACATCCGGATACTTCAACTTCAATATATATATATATATATATATATATATATATATATATATATATATATATATATATATATATATATATATATATATATATATATATATATATATATATATATATATATATATATATATATACAGTGTGTCCAAGATAAGGATGCACAGCATGGGGATCTCGGAAACTATAAGAGATACAGTGTCGGTTAAATTAGACAAAAGTTGCGCATTTTGATACCGAACAAGATCCCGTTTTACAAATTTGAAAATTCCAAGCCGTTCCGGAAATATCCGAGAAAAACCGAAATATTGCGATTTCGTTTTTATTATTTTTTAAAGCTATTTGAGAAGATATGAAAAAACGGAAAACACTTTTCCATTGGCACTTTTTAATCTCTCCAAATTGACGTTAACAAATTTTCATTACAGCGTTTCGATTCCATGGAACCACCATCAACTTTGATTTTTCTTATGGGACGGAAAAAAAGTACACACAGTATTAGGTTGTGCTTTTCATTGCGAATTCAACGATGTACGATACAATACGGTTACTTATGTTTTTATCCAGAAAAATGGCTTCTTAATACATTTCTAGTATTTTATTGTAGTAGGCCATGAGATCCGAACGATGAAAGGCAAAAGAAAATGGTTGACAAGTTCGAGTTAATGTGTTTATTTATTTACTAACTCTAACTGTTCATTTAACATAACAACTAAATCCAACAAGTTAATGAAAAACAAATTCTATAACAAATGTTCGAATAAATGATCTCCATTTTCTAGGCATAAGTACGCCCGTCCCACGGTAGACTCCAAAACACGACTTAACATTTCAGGAGTAATTTTATTAAACGCTGCTCGTACTGATTGACGTAATTGTTCCTCGTTGTCAAAACATTCTTTGAATACCTCATTTTTTATGTAGCCCCATAAGAAAAAGTCCAAGGGAGTTAAGTCCGGGGACCTTGGAGGCCAAGGTGTTTCACTGTAAGTCCCAATGTATTTTCCATCAAACTGTTCAGTTAAATATTGGCGAACTTCTCTGGAGTTATGCGCTGGGGCACCATCTTGTTGGAACCAGCAGCCTTGCACAGCGCCTATCGGTAAATCATCTAAGGCATCTTCTAAATCGTGCCTCAAGATGTCAAGGTACCGCTCGGAAGTTAAGGAATTATTATAGAAAATAGGTCCTATAATCTTGCTACCAAAAATCCCACACCAAATATTAAACCCAAAGCGAACTTGATGTCTGGATAGTCTATTAACACGTGGATTTTGTTGCGACCAATAGTGTGTATTGCGCCTGTTATAAATACCGTTATTGGTCACCATACTTTCATCAGACCAAATCACTTTATATGGAAAATTAAAACTCTCATCACACATCCTGGTATACCACTCACAAAAATGTCTACGTCGTTCGTCGTCACCCGCTTTTAATCCTTGACATATTCTGAATTTGTAAGGCTTAAATTCATTTTTCCTTAAAATAAACTGAGCTGTAGATTTAGCTACCCCATTCTGGTCTTCAATTTCTCTGGTAGAAGTTTGTGGATTTTCGATAACAGATTGTAGAACAATGTATTGGTTTTCTTCATTGGAAGGTTTTTGTCGGGATAATGCAGGCTTCTTAAATGATCCATATTCTTTCAGATTAAATAACAAACGCCGAAAAATACTCTTGTCAGGTTGTCTCCGCTCTGGGTATTTGTTAGAATACATACGCTCGGCTTCCACACAATTTCTTTGGCATCAGATGTAGCAAGACAGCATATCACATTTTTCTTCGTTTGTAAAATTACCTCCCTCCATTGTAGAACAAAATAAATTAGAAAAAGACAACAACAATAAAAATACAAAAACAATAACTAAAGGAATAAACTTATGATCGACTGATAACAAAGACAAATAACATTAATGTGTCATTGAAATTGACTGGATGTCATTTTGTCATGGCCTACTCCATTTAAATGCTGAAATGTATTAAAAATCCATTTTTCTGGATAAAAACATAAGTAACCCTATTGTATCGTACATCGTTGAATTCGCAATGAAAAGCACAACCTAATACTGTGTGTACTTTTTTTCCGTCCCATAAGAAAAATCAAAGTTGATGGTGGTTCCATGGAATCGAAACGCTGTAATGAAAATTTGTTAACGTCAATTTGGAGAGATTAAAAAGTGCCAATGGAAAAGTGTTTTCCGTTTTTTCATATCTTTTCAAATAGCTTTAAAAAATAATAAAAACGAAATCGCAATATTTCGGTTTTTCTCGGATATTTCCGGAACGGCTTGGAATTTTCAAATTTGTAAAACGGGATCTTGTTCGGTATCAAAATGCGCAACTTTTGTCTAATTTAACCGACACTGTATCTCTTATAGTTTCCGAGATCCCCATGCTGTGCATCCTTATCTTGGACACACTGTATATATGATAACAGACATATACTTATACAGACCATAAAATGCTATAACAGAATACCAAATAGTATTCGACACACATTATAAATTTCAATAGATTCATAAAAGAATTAAAATTATATTTGGACAAACATTATTAATAAATTAAAAAAATTAAGATTCACAAAAGATCTTTCATAACTAAAAATACATTGTTATAATTAATAAAACTGTAATAATATAAGGTCAAATAGGTTTCAAAACAAGCCATCTGGGCTGATTAGGTTGTAGATGCAAAAATTTAAATTAATTAACACTTAAATGACGCAATATAATCGGTGTCAGAGAATTTTTTTCTAAAATTTCGGTTTTGAAAAGTAAAAGATAATCGCCACTCTAAAGGTAACCAGCGTAGCGATATTTTTATATATTTTTTAGATTTGCAGAAAAGAGTGGACATAAATTGGAATAAATCTGACGTTAGAACTAATTCTTCAAGGTTTCAGTTTCTATATAAGGTAATTTCTGCAAGTTTAGATACTGTTACAGTTGATGATGAAGGAAATTTGTATTCTAAGGACCATGTAAATTGGATGCAACAATGTTTAATATTAGCAAGGAAGTGGAATTTGGAAATTGACAAATTAAGAAGGTAAGCATGTATGTAGTCAATCCACCACGTAGGTATGTTATTGTGGATGCCATTGTAAATGCATTTTCTTAAACTCATGAACTTTGTGTTTGTGCTTAAAAATTCTGTTGCTACACCAAAAATTCTTTCAAAAATTTTATAATCAGTATTTTAATATCTTTTTCAGTTCAGGTGGTCACATAACGCGCCACTCAGGGAATATATTGTGCTCTTTTGCACAAATGTACCGAAAGATTAATGGTAGTAAAAATTCTGCCTAAAAAAACACGTAACTAAAGTTCCGTTTTTAATACTTGTTACTATTACCAAATTATTTTTTAATTTACTTAACTAAAAATAGTACTTTGGAAATACTAGACCCATTTAAAAACTATTATTGATACAAAAAATATTGAAAATATGAGTTACTTTATTTTATAAGATTTGAAAGTAAACCAGAGGTCTTAAACAGTACATTAAAGAAGTCCTATGATTTCTAATTTGACACCATGGTGTGTCAGCTTAATTATCCATGCACTGGTTTAGTATTTGGATATGTTGCGAATTTACTTTGAGTCAGGAAATAATTAAACACTATCATTATAATGTATTTTAGGTATCAAATTGTGCAACTTTATATGAATGGTTTTGACTTAATGGCCGGAGAACTTATATCAACTGTTAGTGATACCAATGAGTTAGGTTCAGAACTGTTGATCGTTGCTGGAAGACGACTTTCCCAATTTCTAGTAAATTCACCAAACTTGAGTCAGAACATTACAGCGCTAAGTCCAATATTAAATAAATATTTAGAGCAATTAGTAAGTATTGGTTGTCTTGTTTTTAGTTCTACCATTTAAATGTTTTGATTTGTTCTTCGAAAAAGGCTTTTTATTTATTTTTTATGAATATATGATGAAGTTCAATTTTTTGAAAGCTCTGTATCATGCTGCATAAAATTTTAATGGAAATGGAAAAATAATAAGTTCATAAGAATTGAATTTTACCCTTTTGTGTTTTTTAATCATGTTTTAGATTTTGTTTTTACACCTGGTGCATTTATCAATTTAAATTACTCCGTTTTAGAAGGATAATTGGTGCGCTCCAAGTAGTTTATCCTTTTTGAAAATCCTAACAACTAGAATTCTTCAATGCTTAGATGAAGATCATAAAGACTATAAAATCGCGGAGTTACTTTTGGAAACCTGTTCTACACTAGAGAATTTTTACTCCGAACTGTAGTATAGCTCTAATGTTTATTAAAACACCAATGTGATCCTAGTTTTTATGATTACCTTAAGTCATAGGATAGTAAAGATGTAGTGGTTTTATTATTATTGTATAAATTGTTTTACACTGTCAAAAGGTGCATAAACTGAATATAAATAAATCTTATTTACATTTGTTTTTACTTAGCAATTTTTATTTGACGCAAGTAAATAAAATTTCCCCTAAATTTAGAGGGTGGAAAAATTGAAAAAGGAGAACATACAATTTTTTTTCCATAAGTACGAATTTATTATCAAATGAATTAGAAGAGTATTTTGCTATGTACATAATTTATCCTATTCGCCCCAACTTATCTCTCTCTCTTATATTTCGGAAACTATGGAGGGTAAATAACTTATTGTAATTGAACGGAAGCATTTGATGTTTCTAATGAAAAGTGAAAAAATCCCTCCAGTTTCAAATTTTTAACAAAATATATGGTTGGTAATGATTTTTTGAACCTGCATGAGAAATTTTGTGAACCACTGATTTTCTGTAGTAGTAACTCCAGATCAAATAATCTTTATTTATTTATCGACTGACATATTCACTTTTTTGTTACATTTAACACTTCAATGATTACAAATCACATAGTTCAGTAAAAGTTTAATATTATCTCTGGGAGGAAAATTCATTTTTAACTTTTCCTGCAGGCAGCAACAGTCAGCTAAGTTGCTAAGTAATTCTTAATATACAAGTACCAAGTCTAATTCATAACAAATTTTGTGGTAATCAAAAACGAGATTCTGATTAATAAACTCAAAACTAATGAATTTTAGAAACATATTCAATGTGAGTTCTCACAAAAGCCACTGTAAAAACTTTCAAGGATAAGCGTGCAAGCGTATACAGCTACTTCTTTCAAGGCTCCAATAGATGTGTGCACATAAGATCCGCAACAACCAAACTTCTTTTTAAGGACCCAAGACTGAAAGTAGGCCTTACAAATAAGTGGTTTTTATCTTCTCTATCGCCAGGGCGACAATGAAGCTAGTCTTTGAAAACTGAGAAAACCTGTCAGTCTTGAGGGTCTCATTAAAAATAATTAACCAAAACAAAATAATATAATTTAAATTAATTGTTTAGTGCTGTGAACACGTGGACTTTATGAAAACTAAAATACATATACTACTACCAGATATGTTAAACAGTCATATGGTGGGCAACACATCGGAAACGTTATTAAATTGTATAAGCATTAGTAAAAATGTTGATGTGTAACCTAGTATAGTGAATAGTAAGGAATAATCGACATCTACGACGCCGGCGGCGGAAATGTTAAACGGGCGGTGCAATAACATGTGCTCTAATATATGAAGATCTTCAACGGACTTGGTCGCACTGGTTTTTTCTATTGGCCAGAAATCCAACAAAGTTTCGTAAACTACGGACTGGGCGTGTTCGAATTCCTTTAAAATCTTGTTAGATGGAATGGACAGAAAGTACACCAACACCTAAAATCAATGAAATAATTATTTTGCTCACGCCAAATAGGTTCAAACAGAATGTTAAGCTGCTATATGTATATTTCATCAACTCTCAGCTAGGTCGAGAATAAATGTCTAATACTTATTTCCTCTTAATACTGCGGTAGCATTGGTTAATAGCGATATTTTTACCTCCTCAAAATTTGTCCTGTCTCCTTTGCCTAAACCAAAATGATTTTTTTTTATTTGGTTTTATATTTTTTCTTCGATATTTTTCTGTTTTGGTTTTTGACAACTCCTACGTGAAATATTTACTACAAATTTCCCGTTCATACATTAATGTTTTAATAATGGTGCTTTTGTAACTAATTATTGAAACAAATTAACAAGGAAAAAATACAATTAAGTTAGTATTACCATAATAAACCATATAAAAATATAGCAAAATTCCATAGAGATATTAATTCTGGGAAAAATATCATTTTATTTTTTTCCTAATTTGGCTACACGACAACGTAGGACGTCGAACAAAAGAACACAATTGTGCTGTGTTGATTCCTTGAGATGGCGCACTGGAACTTGATGATATTTATTATCATTTTCGACGGTTATAACGATTTACAGATTTGTGCAGTTTTTGAATTAAATTATATAATGTTTCAATTAAATTTAACTTTTTTTTACATCCACGCGGACTTACCACAAATTCGAAAAACGTTAAACTGAACCGATCCAGTTCGCTAATCAGAATTTGCGATCCAGAAAAAGCAGGTACTAAGTCCCACGCTAACGACACAATGCAAGTGACGCTTAACAAAATTATCAAGAGCAACTGGATCCCCAAAATGCCACTTATGGCTTCTGTAGCATCGAATATTTGATCGTACCACTGGTGGTAGAATCTAACCCTCATGTCGTATTCTAACAATATAGTTTTGTATTTGGAATTAGCTTTATTGATGCTTATAAGCGACTTGCAGAAATGCTTCAAATGGGCGTTCGCTACTCTCAGTGTCTCAGCGACGGCGAAAATCAAGCAATACAACTCAAGTGTAATAATTATGTTGATGAATGCGAATATGTGGACGGGATAACATTTATATTTCAAGCAGAAAAATCCCATTAAGGCGAAAGGGCAGTGCGGAATCGCCATAACGAAGAAAAGTGCATAAAATAGTCTCTTCCCAGTGTTATTACCGGCAGTTTTGTTGTAATGCACTTTGACTGTACGGATAATTTTTATCAAGTCGGTTCTGTTGAAGGCGACGTTAATCGTCATACAAACCCAAGAAGAGTATTGGACGCAAGTGATAATTTGGACAAAAAACGATGAAAATTGGATGGTGTCGGCAAAAAAATCGCAGCACTCGTAGGCGAGCATTCCGGAAAGTACTAGAAATATGATGTATTTATATAACTTCCTTGGCAATCCGGCTTCAACTGTTTCATAAACGCAAACGTTAAATATTTTTGTTAGGAATAATATTGGAGGGTGGAAAATCGTACGTTCGGCTACCTTGTTCGGAAACATTTTTGTTAATAGTCATCGTTCGGTGAATTCAATTTGGATAAAAGTCACGATAACGATTATAATCGGTTTGGAACCCAAAACGATTTGAAATTTTCATAAATAAAATTAATCGGTTTAATGCACGATAAACTTTGCGAGTTTATATACGAGGTTGGTTTTATATTAAAATTTTATCCTCATGTGAAACCTAATAAATTATCAGTGAATTAGTAAGGAAGAATTTCCCAATAAGTGATTATACACTTTTTACTAAACTTCCGGATTCCTCCTGCTTATTCGTTGAGGGGGGCCGAAGTCAAATGAGGAACATAAACACCGTCTCGGAGTACTGACTCCCATATTGGTGACAGGTACAGACCTGAGTCGCGGGTAAAATTGTTAGGTTGCTTATAGATTTCTATAGACTTTCGGATTTTTCGTTGGTGGAAGAATTGATACATTTTAGTTTTAACGAATAATATTTTATGTCCAGTTTCGTGATTGCGTTCAGCAACTGCTGATGAGTTTATTTGTCTTAGTCTTAAGGCTCTTTCATGTTTCTCTTGTCTTTGACGAATCGACGATGTTGAGAGATTTTTTTAAAGTGGTAAATCTGGTTTGGACGTTATTTCTTTAGAAGTTTTGATATATGGTCAGTGATGTTTTGAATGTAAGTGGCAATTGTGGGATTGCTTTCGGTCTCATTGCTATTGGTAGGTTGTGGTGAAGTGTATTTTGTGATGGAACGCTTAATATCTTTATTGTGGAAATTTTTAGAGAGAATAGCAGAGATATTCTTACAGACGGATCATATCGTCAACTTAAAAAAGATCCTATGTCATGTGTGGAACGCAAGTTTAAATCTGTTACTAGGGCTTATAAGAAAAATATGTTCCACACAAATATTTTTCAATTCAGGTGAGCAGGTTTTCATAAAGAAGCTAGATATTTTGCTAGAATATATTTTGGAAAACCAAAGGTGCTCACAATAGGTCGATGGCGTAATCTTCGGGACTCCGTAGAGATGAGGATTTTTGGAGTCATGCGGGGTGACAGATTTTTCACGGAGTCTGATAGAGAAGAAGTCTTAATAACAGATTTAAGGTTGCGTTCCATAGATGTCGTAGGATCTTTTTTAAGTTGATGATCATTCTGTAAGAATAACTCTGTTCTTCTCTCTAATAATTTCCACATTAAAGATATTAAGCGTTGCATCCAAAATACACTTCACCACAACCTTCCACTGTTGTCCTTCCTTACATTCAAAACATCACTGACCACATATCAAAAGATAAAAAAAAAAAGATCCGTTAAAGACAAAATTCCATTTGAAATGCCAGGAGTTTACAACATTCCGGACGAAAAATATCAAGTAGGCTCAGGGAAAATGAAAGAGCCTTAAGACTGAGACAAGTAAACTCACCAGCAGTTCCCGAACACAATCACGAAACCGGACATAACATTTTATTCGATAAAACTAAAATTCCTCGAACGAAAAATCCGAGAGTGTCTATAGAACAATCTTACCCAGTTTTAGTTAAGCTTTGAAGAAGCCAGCAGGATGATTAGCGAAACGTTTGCAAGTATGACTCAACAAAAACCGACGTAGAAGGAATCCAGAAGTTTTGTAAAAAGTATTACAGTAGCCTGTGGATGTTTCTTTGAAAAAAAAGGTGGTAATATAGCTGCGATAGACATAACAGAGTTTATAGATTCGGTGTTATCTTTCATTTAAAAATATTTCCATTCACTTGTGGCTTTTATCTTGTATATTTTATGATTTTTGGCTTCTAAGTTTCATTGTTTATTTTCAGTAGGTTTGCGTATATCTGTCTCTTTTGGTTTTTGAATTGATAGTTCTCGTAAAAAAATTCTACTAGCGTGACAAATTTTACAGCCTCAGTATGGAAATTAAAATCTTAGAATCAAATTTGGCGCTGTCTCTCTGTTATTACTAAGTTGTCCCAAGAAGAGTGTTAAACAATTATTTTAATGAAACATGTAGTTGGATACAAAAATCCTGCAAGCCCAAAACACGCATATTGTCAAAAATTCGTATTGATTTTTTATTGCAAACAAGGAGTTTATAAAAGATAATTATATTTTTAAACAAACATATCAATAACATTAATTGCAAAAAAAAGTATGGAAAGGTAAAGATGCAAATAACTTATTGTTACTGTTTCTCGTGCATTTCATATTATAAAAATTATAGTGAATTTAGTACGTGATAGTGAATAGTGGATAGTGAATGTTTTGTCCTCTTGACGACAATCGGTATGCCACCAGTTACTTTAATGAGGCTAAAGCTGCTCAAATTGTAACTTTGTAATTGTAATTTTTTATCCTTAATTCCACACGAAATCACACATTGACATCTATACTTCTCAAAAATGACCTACTAATACGAAACAATTTGTGATTTGTAAAACAATCGAACGAAAATTGGAAAAGTAGCGCTAAAGCTAAGACGTTCTAAGTTCCATATTCTCTTTACTAATGAAATTAGTTTCCAATTATGAAAGCCAGATGGAAAAAAACCCGTGTACAGAAGAGTCGGCGAGTTGGAGTTGGAGGTGATGGCCGTAAAATGCTTTGGGGCGGAATTAGTAGGGAGTTACTCGTCGAACCCGGGGAAGTTTTTGGATGAATAGCTAGTGATATATACATCGACCATATTAGATACAAAAGATTCGCAATAATACACGATAACGCACGATAATTAGAAAAGCTTCAGTTTGCTGCATAAAATCTGTAATCCAATTGCTCAGTAATTAGAGCTTGAAGTGGAACACTCGTTACTAATTATGTTTCTATTGGAAGTGGGATTTAGGTAGGAAATAAATATCTTTAATTTTCACAACATATAGCATTATTTATTTTCACTTGTTTGTTGTCCTGAAAACATAAGATTGTCCACTTAAACTTGTTTCAATAAATTGTTTTTCGTTGCACATAGTGTTTATTTGACTTGATTCATGGGAATTTATTTATACAAAAAGAAATTATGAAAATTTGAAAATTCTAGATAAGTTTCTCTAAAACTTCCAATTATGCACTAATCAATCACGCGCACGATAATATTTTGACATTTGCCCAGTTCCGTCGATCCTGTCACACGTTGAGTGACTAGTGGCTAGAATGGTGTTGATTAAACTTATTGCATAATATACCATTTTCTATTCCCATAGTGTGTCAACATTTGGTTAGTTGGTTGTTGCAGTAAGTTTGAAAATCAACAGATACACATCATTTAATCACCTTCAAAAAGTAATGCAAAAATTGTAAACAAGTTAACACTTTTCAATAAGTGTTTGTTATTTGATTATGTACCTATCTGCCAATTTTGTCGCGGTTGAAATCGACGATAAAGCCAATATTTTTTTCCTGATTGTTGCTATACTGTTGAAATGTATCAACAAGTATTGGTTTTGGAGCACCTACCTTTTTAACGAATAACTCGCTTTGATATTGCTGATTGAGTTTGACACATTTTTTCAGACTATTAACAATTTCCAAAATTGAACATTATAGCAACAATACGCTTTGCAAAATACCTTACACATTTTTTATATCAGAAATGAAATTACTAAATACTATTTGTACCAAAAAAACAAAAACAGAACAACAAATTCTTATAGGTACTTATAGATTGTGTCAAGTACCTTACCTATAGCACTCTCGGTATTTAATCTGAATTCCTTAAACTGCATATTTCATATCTAAAATAAAATCGGCAGAGATCTTTTAACGCGTTTTTTTTGTACCATGTTGAATTTAATATGTTTTTTGTTAATGGTAAACCTTATACGTGCGGAGTTGCCTTGTGTTCAACGGGAAGTAGAATACGGCACTGTATGTGTCTGCAATTCATCCTACTGTGACACGGTACCAGAAGTCGTCAATTTAACATCACGTCAGTATCAAATTTACAGCACGAGCAAAGGGAACCTAGGATTTCATAGCAATGTCGGACAGTTTTCTAATGAAATTGCCAATACCTTATTCACAGTATCGATACCAGATCTTAACGCAAAACGACAAACCATATTGGGATTTGGTGGTGCTTTTACAGGTAAGCATTGACGAGATATTTAGTTTCAAATTATTAACTTTTAAGAGCAAATCTTTTCTACAAGTAACTACGAAAATTCATAAGATATAATTGACGTAGTTTAAATTGGGCCAATAATATCGAAGATTATGTAAAACCTCATTTAGGTACAAAGGTAACAACTGTTTGCTCCGACTTTTTTTTCGGTTTATTTAGTGCAGGCAGCTTACTGCTCTCCATTCACTTAAGATTTTTATAGAATGACAAACAAATCACACTGATCTTGAACCGAGAAAGGTTTATCGTAAAATTCCACCATCAACACCCCTTTACCGGTATTTATAGACAACATCCACTCTAATCCCAAGAAACTTTACAAATCTTAGAATATCTTAAGAGATCGCTTTCTATATGAGTAAGCTGCCATGAAAGAAAATTCTAAAATAGATTTATTCTAATCATCATTTCTACATTTGTTCGGAAAAACAACAAGTTGTAAATAGGAGCGAAGAAAGTAAACAATAGACAAATTCCTAAAAGAAGAGTAACCTCCATAAATCTAGAACCATATAGTTTATATATATGAGGGGACGTAACCATAAAACTAAAGCGCATCTTGCGCGCATATCCCTAAATTTCCCACACTAACTTGCACTTTGAGTCATTTTTTTTCTAAACAGAGATCTCTACACACTTAAATTGTTTTTTCTCTGAAAATTTAGTGTGAACTAAATGTTTTGAAAGCGAGATTTAAAATGACTTACGCATGCGCATATAAAATGTACCTTCCGAACGATTTTTGATAATTAAATATTGTATAAAATTTTAAGTAATTTTACTAACTCGCGAAGGGATCGATAGTACTCAGTGCCGCAAATATCTAACTTCGTGCAATTAATGACGATAGATTTAGATTGGAAAACACACTCTTCACCTCATTTTAAATTTGGTTTTTATATATCCCCTAAGCCTTACCTTCCTCTAAGGAAAACAATTACTTGACAGTGTGTCTGACTGCTAAGTCTCAAAACTTGTCAATGAGACAAGTTAAATAAGATAATGAAATATAGTACTTATCATGCAAAATTTAATATCCTTTGAGAATACACTTTAAAGGATTCTATATTCTCGGTCATCTGCTTGTCATCATTATTCGATGTGGACCCTACTTACAGCATACATTTTATAATGTTCAATTGGTCAGTTTTGGATGTTATGGGATATTTTATTAATCTGTATTTCAGGGAAGCATTTTATTTTGATAAACTTAACACATGGAATCGGTTAAATAACTATTTACATTGCTACATTGCTAGCAAATCATCTACACCAACGTTTTAGGGACGGCTGGATACAATATACTTACCTTACCAGAAGATGCTCAAGATAAACTATTAGAAAGTTATTTTGGCGAAAGTGGAATACAGTATACTGTTTGTCGAACTCAAATGGGTGCTAGTGATTATTCAGTGACTGGATTCACCAACCTTGATAATGAAGACGAAACTTTGGATACTTGGAGCTTGCAAGTTGAAGATACTGATTACAAGGTAATTTTTATGATTCTATGTTTCTGGACAATGATTAGTAAGATGATTCAAAATTCTGTCAAATATGTTAAGATGAGATAAACTATATACATATATCCTCTTTTTGATTTGCAGGGTTGTATTGGATGATGGTATAGTCAATCAAAACATACCGATTTACAACGGTCTTATTGCTTTTATCGCGTGTTAAGTAATTTTCTACTTAGTCACGCAAAAAAAAATCACTAAGAAACGCAAAAATCACATCTGACTGAAATCAAAAATATGACAGTATGAAATTTTTTACTTCCTTTTGTAGCAAAATGATAAGCAAAGTTGCACGCTGTACTAATAAATAAGAATTTTTGAAAGGTGATTTTAGTGTAAGAGTTTAAAAAGAGAAATTTATAGAGGTTAAAAATTACTGTTCAGTTAAAAATTATTGTTCAGTTATGCAGTTCTGTGGTGATTTTCGTGTTTTTCATTTTAGTAGTTTTTATATTATCATTTATCAATTGTGAATTGTGAAGTCACAATTAAAAATTTTATACATGTTTTCTGGTAAAAAATTTGACTGCCATACCTTCATATTATTTGTGATTTTTTATTCGAACTGGAAACTATATAAAACTCAATATTTGCCGTTCCCATTTCAGATTCCGATCATAAAAAAGGCCCAAAAACTGAGAGGAGAGGATCTGAAACTGTTTTTGTCTTCTTGGTCATCGCCAAAATGGATGAAGACTGTAGATGAGTAAGTAAACTTCATTTGCCAAATTATTAATTATTCCGACATTCGGATGTCGCTATCGGATTCGTATAATATGAGTATTAGCAATGGAAAATTAATGTACTTACATTAATTCAATTTCATCTGTAGAGTTCGTTTCACAAATGTTCTTATAAATAATACTCTAATGTCATACACTTTTCTTTGGTAGGCACATGAGTCTCATATTTTTATTTTTTTATTATATATTTAAATAGTAAAATCTTCATTTATGCTAAATTTATTACCGAAACTAATAATTATCTTCAGATGCTACAAAAATTAAATTCATTTATGTAAATTACAGGAGTATACCAGAAATATAGATATTTTTTAAAGATTGTTAAGACCTGCTGAGAAAATGCGGGAAGCTAGGTTATCTAATCCGCTTTTATCGCACTCTAATAGAGTAATAGTTCATTATCTTAGTTCCACGTTCTGTAAAAATAACCACTTACATCTAGGCGAATGACGTCAAGAAGACACTGTAATCAATATCATCAAAAATATTTTGAGTTTTTTTGCAATCGTTATACTGTACATACATATCAAAGAAATTGGAAATTCTGGTTAGTTTCCTAAAGTCCTAAAGCAATTCTGTTATTTTTATCATTCTGTTTATTTCAGTTATCTTGGAAGTGGCGAATTAAAGGCGGAATATTTTGATTTGTGGGCCAGATATTACATGAAATTTTTCGAAGCATACAGAAGCGAAGGGGTTGAATTTTGGGGTGTTACCCCTCAAAATGAACCGTTCACAAGCCCTACGACTAATATAAATTTGAGATTCAGTTACGATAGCATGGTAAGTTTAAATGTACAAAACATTAAATACACGTTAATCAAAACATTTCTTATGAATGGATTTGGATTATACGATTAGATTTAAAGAAACTAGTAATAATTATTGACGATGTAAGGAATTTACTAAGTATATCCCATTAAATACTTGCGTTTGGACAACGGCGAAAATGTGATGGTGGGCTACGTGGCTGATTTAAATCTCACAGATCAACAGTTCTAAAGAACAAAATCTCAATATCACTATTACTACGTACATCTGTAGTGATAGAGAGTAGTTCAAAACGTAATCAGTGCTAATAAAGAGACTTCTTTATTTGCAACATTCGCTTTTGCTATTCCGTGCGACACTTGTTCTTACTTACTTATTTACTGAGCAAATTTCAGTTCGCAGTTTCAATTCAGCTCAATGTTAAGACGAAAAGAAAGCGGCACGGGGAAGCGTGCAAATTGCAGTTACTAAACATTCCAAGAGTTTTATGTTATCATTTTATGTATTTGTTCACAATTTTATAGTATCAGTCATAATAGTCAGTCAAAAAAATCCTAAATATAAGGTTGTTCGGAAAGTCATTTCGTTTTTTCCCGTCAGAGGACTTAATTACGTTTTTTCGAAACCAACTTCACACTTAAGCCGCATAAACATTATATGTCTTGAGAGCTGATATTGCAAGGCTTGTGTGTGAAAAAGTTCTATTAATTCTACGCAGTAGTTTTTGGTTGGTGCCCTTTTAAATATGGAGAGCAATAAGCAGCATTTTCGTCATATTTTACTTTTTTACTTCAGAAAAGGTAAAAATGCTATCCAAGCGAGAAAAAAATTGACGGATGTGTATGGAGAAGGCGTGTTAACAGTACGCCAGTGCCAGAACTGGTTTGCAAAATTTCCATCCGGCAATTTTGATGTCGAAGATGCACCACGGTCTGGAAGGCCGGTCGAAGCTGACAAAGATGCGATAAAGGCATTAGTTGATGCAAAACGGCGAATAACCACACGAGAGATCGGTGAGAAATTAAATTTGTCGAATTCGACTGTTTATGGCCATTTGAAAGGCATGGGCTTAACCTCGAAGCTCGATGTGTGGGTGCCCCATGTCCTTACGGAGCGAAATTTGTGTCGTCGCGTTGACGTGTGTGATTCGCTCCTCAAACGTCAAGAAAATGATCCATTTTTGAAGCGGATTATTACCGGGGACGAAAAATGGGTTGTATACAACAATGTTAAATGCAAGAGGTCATGGAGCAGAAAAGATGAACCGGCTCAAAGAGTGTCAAAAGCCATCATTCACCAAAAAAAGGTGATGCTCTCCGTTTGGTGGGATGTCAAAGGAATCGTTTTTTTTTGAGCTTTTGCCGGACAATACAACGATTAATTCAGAAGCCTATTGTCATCAACTGGACAAATTGAATAATTCACTTAAAGAGAAGAGGCCCGAATTAATCAACAGGAAGGGTGTAGTGTTCCACCAGGATAATGCGAGACCTCACACAAGTTTGGTCACTCGCCAAAAACTTTTACAGCTTGAATGGGACGTACCGCAACATCCACCATATTCTCCAGATCTGGCGCCTTCCGACTACTATTTGTTCCGGTCCCTGCAAAATTTTTTGGATGGCAAAACCTTTACCTCAAATGAAGATGTCAAAAACCACCTGAACCAGTTTTTTGCCAGCAAGGACCAAAACTTTTATGAGAGGGGAATTATGTTACTGCCAGAAAGATGGCAAAAGGTGTTGGACCAGAATGGCCAATATATAATTTAATAAATTATTTATTCATTATACGAAAACTGTCTTTCATGTTCCCCAAAAAAAACAAAATGACTTTCCGAACAACCCAATAAATTTTCGTTTTTTTTAATTAAAAAAGATTATTCCTTTTTGCAATTCGTTGTTCGAAAGATTCTTCATGCAGTCTTTAATTTCAGTTTTTTTATATATTGTTGTTGTAGGTGATTATAAGCAAATAATTTACACTTAAAACTTTGTTTTTTCTACTCCCTACTCTATGATTATCAATTATAAACTGATCAGGTGTTACTTCACACGCCACTCCGTGATAATTTCTTCAGACACTAATTTATTAAACACCTGCTTTGCTTGTGTCAAAACAAACACGTGACTAAAGTGTCGCTTATGAAACTTGTTGCATAATATACTATTTTGGTGCATTTTTCAAAATAATGTCACGCACCGTTTTCGCGTGACCCAACTTGATTCACTTATTTGAGGATTTTAACGTTTCAATAAAAAATTTGCTTTATACATTAGTAGATTCGAATAGCTATTTTATTTATGGTAGTAAAAGTATTCTAGGTACAGTTTGTTGAAACTATTTAAATTTTCTATAGTAGAAAAATTTGCAGTTTTCAAACGAAATTATCATTTGGATTGTATCATGGAAGTAGAGGCAGCCATTAAGATTGTTTAAAAGATGACGTTTAACGGTTTTGAGGTATTCTAACCAATTGTTTTGTTTTAGAATAACTGGATAACCAATAACTTCGGTCCTGCAATAAGAAATTCAAGTTTTAAAGATTTGAAAATACTCTTCTTTGATGATGACACGTATCTCCTAACGGCATTTAAAAGCGTAAGTGTAGTGGTAGATTAAGCATAGAAAAGTGAAAAACTTTTTTGAATTTCCAAACGATCGTTTCTTATTAAAAAAATTAAAGTTGGTTCAATATTATTTGTTGCAGGCCACTCTCAACAACAAGGCAATTGACTATGCTGATGGCATTTCTATCCATTGGTACACTGATGGCAGCAATCAAGATGAGTGGCTAGTTTTTCCCGATAACCTGTTCGTTCTTGCAACTGAAGCGTGCCAGGGAATCGAGAATTACATGCATCAGAAAAACGTGCAATTAGGAAATTGGGACAGAGGAGTTGGTTATATTAATTCGATTATCTACGTAAACAAATTGAATATTATTACGTCGAATTTTATTACGTAGTTATTATTTTTAGGATTTGGAGCATAACTACGTGGGATGGGTTGAATGGAATTTGGCATTGAATGCTGACGGAGGTCCGAGTTGGCTTAACGCATCTCTTGATGCACCCATTATTATAAATGCAGATGCTGGAGAGTTTTATAAACAAGCAATGTTTTACGTTATTGGGCATTTCTCCAAATTCGTAGTTCCTGGTTCTCAAAGAATTGATATAACGAGTGAAAACTTATCATTGGCTAATATTAAGGCCGCAGCTTTTGAACGACCTGATGGAAACGTTGTCTTAATTTTACACAACGGGTAAGAATTATTGCAGCATAATTATTACTTTATGAGTGCTTTTCCAGTCTTTATAATAACGTATTTTCTGCCATTACTATAACAACCGATTTAATTATAGCTAAAAATGAGGCGGATAAATATAATTTTGAAAAAAGTGTGAACTGCACTTAAAAATTTCGGATTGTATGTAACTTCAAACTGATTTCAGATCTGGAAACAAGGTTTTTGTGCAAGTTTCGGTTGGTGACTCGACTGAACCATTTGAGCTAGAAGCTGATTCTATCAACTCTATATTGTATGCAGTATAATAGTGGGAAATATATTTTGTAAAATAAAAATAAGTGAAAATAAACGCTTATACAATTCGCACTGTTATTCAAAGTGATACACTTGTATACAATTACACTATTTGTATTATCGTTTATATTTCCCGAAACAAGGAAAATTTGAACTAAAATGGCGCAGAGAATTTAGATCAAAATCGGCAAAACATCATTCATTCTATACGGCAAGTTTTTATTTCCATCAAATAATGACACTATAGTACAGTATAGTTTTGCGTTAAGGACGTCTGATATTTTTATGTAGTGTACATACCTGCCTCCTTGGGTTCATGAATCAGGCCCTGCTTGCGATGCACAAGTTTTCAGTAACAATACGCATAGCGTCTTATCTCGATTTACTAAAAAAACGTAAATAAAATGTGAGTTATGTGATAGATGTTGATGACTTTATAGGAAATGCTAACTTCAGCGTTCCTATGGGGAACTTGAACATTTTTTTAATTTCTTTAATACATTTGTTTATGTATAGAAATAACAACGCATACCAGACATCCAAACTGAAAACCCGATATTTAAGTTGCAATAAATAGTTCAAGTCGTGACACCTGGCTTTTTTTTTAACGACACTAAACGCGTGGGAATAATCGTGACGTCATATTGCTGTTTAGGCCGAGAATATGTTAAGGTGTCACTTTAGCCTTAAAAGTGCAAACACTTTTAATTCTTCGATACGAATGACTTCCTGATCTATATAAAATAAAGAACCCTTTACCCAATATACTTTAAAATCAGCATTTGGGTTTCCACTAGTTTAAAAAAAAATTGTTCTTTTTTGTCGAATAATTTACATTTTATTTGATCGAATCTTGTTTTGTTAGAGAATAATGAAAGCTTAACCTGATAAAAGGGATTACCGATCTGCCAAAATATTTAAGCTGTTATAACAATAGGCGTAAAATGCATTCGATATATCCTAATATCACATACCGAAACTAAAACCCCACTGGTGGTTTGGGCGACCTTCAATTAAAGGATTAAATTGTTTATTGACATAAAACTTTTTACAATTACTATATTGGATTAATATTGTAAATTAAAGCTGTTACAGGACATTAATTACTAAACATTCCGGGTAATGGGTTTTTTTAAAATAAGTTTTCTCGTTATGCCTTTCGATATTTTCCCGGGCTGTATCCAATGCAGAGTCCAACTGCCTATGCCTTCTAGTCATACCTTTTCTTCCCCGTTATGTGGATACGAAGAGCGTACGAACTACAATAACAGAAATATATTCAATTATTTTGAAATACAATTTTTAAAATATCTACCACAAGTACAGCGCGAGTCAGTTATTTTAAACTTTAGTCATGCTGTCGTTTTGTGTATTACAAAACGATATAGTAGTTTTCACGAAGACTGTAGCAACTTTCCCGGAGGGCAATGTTCTCGTTTATGTGACTGGTTACTTACACTATGTAGAAGGATTCAAATTTACTTTTCTAGTTACAACACTTAAATTTTTTAAGGTTATATTATAGATATAAAAATAAAAATGATTTACTTACATTTATTTTTAATAAATCAAGAAGTGAATCAAGTAAGTCTGTTAACCTCCAATCTCAAGACAAAACAACTGAAGTTATAAAACAGACTAAATGAAAGCGGCCAATAGATTTACGGAGAGGGATGCGATTTTATCATTCTTTAAACTTTGATTTCGCTGTAATTTCGACTAGTACTGTTACATAACTTAAGTATGTATTTTAAATATTAAAATTTATATGTTTACAAACATAGAACTTAATTTTTGCTTAGAGAATCTAAATGTGCTGGAAAATACACATGGTTAAAAAACGAGCTGGAAGAAAGATTTAAATGCTTGGGATGGTTGAGAAATAGTTTTAAAACAAATACGGATAAACATTTTTTAGGACTATTAATTTAACATGATTTCAAATGATTAACAAATCTACTCAACGGGCAGGTCTGCAGAATGTTTATAAATTTCTGACCTAATCTGCGAAAACTGTTAGTAATCCCAAAGAGGTAAAAGTGAGGAATGTAACAAAAGATGATAATGGGATTAGTAATTATCATCATCACCCAATAGCTTGCTTACTGGGCAACGCATAACAAAGAAGAAAGAATAAAACTTGGCGATAGCTGAAATTGGCAGAAAGGACTGTCTTCTGTATATACAGTTCCCAAAAGACAGAATGACGAAGGAAGTGAAAAAAAAAAACTGAGACAACCTTCAAGGAGCACATCGTTACTTACTAAGTTGATTCAGAAAAGAACGTCTAGAAATTCTAACTTGATTATCGCAGGAAAATGTCACATCCGCAGAAGATGGACTAGATACTGACTTCAAATTTTGCGGGGAAGGGGATGATAATAGAATGTGACATTACTGTGAAAATAAAAATGGTTCTTAAATTATCCTGAAATTTTGCGAATTTTATGTGAATTTTGCATTACACAAGTTGTTTTTATAAAAAGGCGTAACTACAAATACTGACTCGCACTGTATACTAGGGACTAAATAGTATTCGTTGAATGAACATACTTTTGAAAATAGATTACTTCATTCCGAGCGAAATGTGTAAATATTTATACAGGAGGCAAAACATTGTACAGATACAACTTAATACATTTTTCGACTACTCGGTGTCTTACGTACTGAGACTGTAGTCACTGTGCAGGAAGTCGCCCTCGGCCTGAAGGTCATGGTTCGCCATTTTCTCTTAAATTGTGCCTGTACCTGAAAACAGTTAAAAAAAGCGCCTTAGTGAGAAAATTGGATTTTATACGAATTTTTTGAAATGGTGAATTGTTCACCACGCGAAAAACGAAAAACTGTCCAGTGAATTTACTTATTTTTACATGTTAGAACAAAATACTGATTCATTTATTATTGCTTTGATTTTTAATTTATGTTTTTATGTGTACTTGCTAAATTTGAGGAAAATGATACAAACCAAAACAAGTTAGTAAAACAAGTAAGTAAGTAATACCTGAAGTGTTTTAGTTGTTTTCGGATTTCTTCTCCCTCATTGAGAATTTTTTCGAAAGTAATTCACGTTGAGCTTCCCTTTGCGGGCAGATTATATACCCACATAAATAATATGTACATGGAAATGATTGAAAACGTTGTGTTACAATCCAGCTTAACTGCCCCACTAGAGAAAGAGTTGTGAAGGTGTGGATAGGTTGGACAGAGGCGGTATAATTAAATCACATTAGTTCTTATAGAATGTAGAAAAGATATTGATATACTAGTAACAATCATTTTCATACGAGGGTACGTAGTTCTATTTGATGTTGCCATTTTTGTTTGCATTTTTGTCTCGGTATTTGTTGCGTTTTATATTTGCTATTCATTTTTAATAATAAAATTAAAGCACTGCGTTGTTATTACTTTACTCCATAATTTTAAGATAATTGTCGTCATTAAAAAACTTTAAAACACTTTTTTTTATTAATTTAATTAGTTAGTTAGATGAAATTCCCCTAGCTCTTTTATTTTTCTATTTATTTTCTGGCCTTCATAACCCTTTTTGTTTTTTTTTGCCTGCTACCCTCCACTGCAAAATATCTTCATCGGAAGAACTACTACTCATATTGCTGTTTCAACAGTACTCAGCGCACCGCCAAGTCAGCAGAACTTGTTGATTTTTAAATGTTTTTACTTTATTCTTATTTTCTATTCATTAATATAAAGAAGAGTCAAATTTTTCCAGAATATTGCTGTTTTAGTACTTTGTTTTCTTAATAATTTTCTTTCATTTTATTACAAAAACCTAAGTAAAGGCAACCAGGGATGCCAATCTGTTCAATTTATTTTAAATAAAACTGATATTATTAACTCGAAGTCGGAACAAATTTAATTCCAATAAAAAAATATTATATAGGATAGCGTTAACAGAAAAAAAAACTTTACTTACAATTTATAATTAAACCCGATTAATTAAATTCGTCTACAAAAAATACCCTTTATCGAATCTAATTTATTTCCCATTTCAGTGTTCAATAAATTATTTAATATATCGCAACGAAAATTAGTTAATTAATTCCTAATTTCACGTCTTTATCGTGTTGGACTCCTAGGAGCGTAATTTCTGTTTTATTCGCGTCAAAGACTTATAAAGACGTTTTCGTTATGGAGATAAATGAAGTTGCGACAAATTTTGAAAACAAAAAACTTTTTAATGCCGGTGTTCGATGTCACAGATTGATTGGATTATCGCCAAATCGGCATCTCATCTCCGTCACTCAATCATCTGCATACAAATAGGTATATTCTCGGTTCTCTTCGCTTCTCCATCGATTTAGTGATACTATATCAGCTTGTGAAAATAAAACAAAAAATTTTAAGCAATTGGGAAATACGGCACAAAGAGTTATTAGATTTAGATTTAGGATTTTGTGTTGGTCTATGAGGATATTCCTGCCTCACATGCTCTAGTTCGAGATAGAATGTCCCTACCCTAGGTTGAGGTTTTGAGCCTTCCTCCCCTAATGCATCACCTGTTTCATGGGGAGTTTGGATAGTTGAATTGAGTTCTAAATACTCTTAATCAGCTGTTCCCTAGTGATGTCCCTAGCTCCTCTATTATTTATTTTCTGGAGTAATGAGACACTCTAATTCTTGCACTACAAAATATCCTCATAAGAAGAAAAAAGGATCTCAACCATATATTACATAACTTTGAATTTTTTTCACGTCAAGGGTAGGTTATAAAAAGAAGCATTTTTTTTATAAACATGTAAGTTTATTGACAATACCATTTTTATTATATCATGATATTATAAGAACTAATAACTAAAAGTTACCAATTTGAGTTTTTTATATTTAAAATATACCGTTAACTAAATGTCGTAATATTTATTTACTTTACTCAATAATTATTTAAATCTTGATTAGTTGACTGATTGAATATATGACATGAAATAACACAGAAAAACATTCACAAGGATGAATAACTTTGAAATATTGAAATGAAAGTTTATTAAACGTCGACACGATCCGAATCTCTATTCCCCATTTACTTCAATACTATCCGCCTCATTCGAAATCAAAATTTTCCTCACAGGATCGACATTGACTGCGTTATCAGTTTACTGCCACGAAGCTACGATGAACAACATTTAGTCTCTGCTGTTGCCGATCTTCCTTCATGCTCTTCGAGAATGCTTAACAAACAGCTTATAAAAGCTGTAGTGCTTAGTTTAAATGTTAATTCGAGTGCTCTATATTGTGCTATGTACGATGTACGATTGTGGTTTTTAAAGTCATGCATTTTCCACCCCTAAAAATAAGTTCTTAGGAAGATAGTTTGTATAAAAGGCTTTGTGGCAGTTTAAATGTCGAGTTTAAGATCGAGCCTGAAGATCCTTGCAGGTTTTTTTTTATATCTTCATGGTTATCTTACAACAAACTTTCCAAATCTTTAGTTAAATTAACCAAACTTAACAAAAATTATTAAACATTAAAATGTTATTTCTTTTACAGGACTTGTTTTTGAGTTACAGATTTTTGAAAACATATTCCATTAAATATTTATTACTTATATTAAACAAATTAAGAACACTTGAATAGACCAAGAAATAATTACATTCTCTTTAATTCTTCTTACTTCAATAGCATAATAAAACATCCTCGTAAACTGGTAAAGGAAATTGCACGCGAGATTATTTTATTTAAAATTTTACGTCAATGACTAGATACGCGTCGGTGATCGTTAGTTTACATCCCTCGTAACAGCGGATAGAACATCTGAGATCGAGCTTTTACTACCCGTCATCATCTCGAAGTGTTTGATCTAACAGTTTAATGGAAAAGAACGGCCTTAGCTTAGCGTAACTTTAAGAAAATGGCAAGAGGTGCCATCGATGTTTGGGTGCCGTAATACCATGTATACTAGAGCACAAAGGACGAACCCTAACGAAAAAGCTCAACTCTCAGCTAGGAAAGGACCAGAGACGTCACCAATAAGATCCATCCATCCATCCGTAGCTATTCAAATCTGAAAATCCTTTCCGCCTATGATGAGGGGTGCCGTTTATGTTTGGTTGTGGTGAGAAGAATCAGGTCCTCAAAACTGGAGGGCCGAGACCTTCAGATTTGAAGACCTGAGTAATTTATTTTTTCTTGGAATAACAGACTTTGAACGAAGGCTGAGTCTGATGGGAGACCGAATACTTGGAATTGGGCCGCAATATATCATTATTAATTATTACGTCGCGTCGAAACAGAACGCAGAGCCGCCCGAAACTGATAGGAAATACCTCGCTCTACCTATAATTTATTGCACGTTCTGATCCTACCCAAAATTCTAGGTACCCTTTGTACCTACTCCAAACATGTGTAATGATTTAAGAAAATTTAATATTGGTGCAATAGCGTTTCTTTCTTTAAATACATACACGTATATTATTACATAGAACTAGTGTCAAAAAAACATTTTTAAGGTCTTTTCTGCATTAGTAAGACATTCATGGCATTAAACACATTTTATTTATATTTATATATATTTGGAACAAAAACGGCATATTACATGGAGCTCATAAAAAAAATTAAAGTTGATGGCGTTTTAGGAAAAACGAAACGCCGTACGCGATATTTGACTTAGCCAAAAGACGAAGCTTTCATGAGAATATTATTTGTAGTTTTTCTTAAAAATTTCAAAGTAATGACAATTTTAATAATAGTAAAAATAACAATACGACAGTTTTTCCACGATATTTCCGAAAGCACCAATGTGCTGAAAAACCATGTTTCCAAATAAAACCGTAAGACCAATTTGAACCCAGATCATTCCATTCGAACGAAAGGGGCAATAAACATACCGTTTGATTTTTCGCAACTCTTAACTCTTACATTTCTATAAAAAACAAGATAAATCTTATTATAATTAAAATCAAAAACTGTAATTATTTTTAGATATTCCTAGCTATGAATTTATTGTATATATTTAATATCATTATTTCTTATAAGTATAATTTAATAAGATTTTACCCCCCTAAATAAAAAAAATATATATTATTACCAAAACCCTTGACAAACCGTCTCCAGTGTTTTTCCTTTTAATACCTACCGCATCCGAGTCTTATTGCCGTCGGCAGGTAACTTCCATAATTGCGGGCAAAAGCCAGCACGATGAATATTGAGACAGACTACACTATTGTATTGATCATTACTAACTAATTAAATTATATCCACCATCTAGCGCCAAATTAGCGATTATCGTAATTTGTTGCATCTTTACCTCTTGGGAACATTTTTGCCAAACAGCACGAATACAGTAATTACAGCGATTACAATCTACTGCAAATATCCCATCGCTTTCAAACCTGTTTTTCAAATAAGGGAAAGGGCCTGCTGCTGTTGGTAGCGACGCGAACATCTTTAAGTGTCACTTTCCTCGTTCATTTTTGGGTATTTTAGAATGGGGAAAATAGTATATTATGCAACAAGTTTGATAAACGGCATTTTGAGTCACGAGTGACTGAAAAAGATTATTATTTATATACTATAAGGTTGTTCGTAAAGTCATTTCGTTTTTTCCCGTCAGAGGATTTAATTACGTTTTTTCGAAACCAACTTCACACTTAAGCCGCATAACCATTATATGCCTTGAGAGCTGATATTGCAAGGCTTGTGTGTGAAAAAGTTCTATTAATTCTACGCAGTAGTTTTTGGTTGGTGCCCTTTAAAATATGGAGAGCAATAAGCAGCATTTTCGTCATATTTTATTTTTT